TTTTTTATTTTTTTTTTTAGATTTATTATTGCATTTTTCGTATGTAGGTAGACACGATTTAATAAATACATTAAAGTTAACAGTTGTTTTTCTACTCCTTTTTGTGTTGACAGAGTTAATAATGCTGAAAAGGAGTTTTTCATTTGTCTCTGAAGACCTGAATATGAGATAAGGTGCTTAAATTTTTAAATATGTTTATTCCTACTTGTTCTTGTCGTACACAATAAAGAAAAAAAATGGAGAGAAAATGGTTGCACGCAGGTAAGACCATTTGATACGTAGATACCTACCGACCCTGAAAAAGCCCCGAATGATGTGTGGTAAATATTTGAACAGACAGAAAGAAATATCTGGGACAAAGTTCAAAAGTATTTTAAGCAATAAATCATGGGAACGAACAAAAACAATTGCATTTACTCCTGATTGAGCTGTGCTAGGTACTGAAAAATAAAACGAGTTGGTATAGCTTTTTTCTCAAATAGGTATAAGTAATAAGTTAATAAACATTAATAAGTAATAACCGAGTTCAACGGATAGTTGCCTAAAAGTAATAACCCGGAAAGTATAGGATATGGGACGATATGTATAGTTTATTTTATACTGTGACTAGCTGTTCCGCCCGGCGTGCCGTTGTCAGTTCCAATCTAATTCACAATTTTTTTTTATTTTTTTAAAAATCTCTTTCGAAAACCGAAATCAATAAAATAAATTTAATTGAACGCATCTCCCCGTCTGCCTCGGTGCGATAGATTCGGCCGTAGATCGCACACCGACACGCAAGCGCTTTCTTTTATTATTATACAGATGAAATCAATTACTAATAATTATTGTAATCGAAACCCGATTTTAAATGGATTTCGGTAAACTGGTTGATAGACGAGAACGTAAGGTTATAGTACTATAGTATTGTAGTCGTGTTATTTCCGTGTAGTCAAGATAACCAAGAAATCAATAAAAATAAAACCTTTGTATTTACTATCAGTTTTTATCATTTTTTTTTTTTTTTTTTTGTTTTTTGTTAGAAAAATTTTTCGAAACATGACAAATTTATATAATATGAAGTACTTTTTATACCTACATTACTATAATCTCTGAATTATTATGAAAATAGATACCTAAATTATAAAGTAATAGAATTAGCTTCGCCCATTCCGTAATAATATTATAATATTTTTACAATCAGCTGTCAACGTACTATAATAGAACGCCTCTTCTGGTGAAGAATGAGATGAACAATTTTGTAAATAATGAAACTGATTACATAGGCATTAGTCACGGTTTTCGCACATTTTATGGTTTTGTAATCACTCGTACACGGAGACGATTATACCTAGGTATACATGGAAGAAAACAAATTGGGCCACTATGGTGGGTGGGAAATTGAGAAGATAGAATGTATAGAGAAATATACTTTGTATACTGTATGCAACAATAAATCATGCAGATGGAAAACGATTCTGAGCGGAGTTGGACTAAACATTATTTGATTTAAAGTTAAAACTGTATTAATTTTAAATTTTTATCTATACAAAATTGTATTACTTTTAAATTTTGTTGAATTTGTTCGAATTTTTAACGAATTTTATTTCCAATTTGAACTTTAACAGTTTATAAAAATTAATCGCGACGAATACGACGAATTACTACGATTACTACGAATATTTTATAATATAATTCCCTTAAATTGAAAAACACACACGTAGCGTTATTGACATCGTTTCGGAAAATGATAAAAATTACCGACTAAAATGTATATTTATAATGCCACGTAACGAAATGATACCTGCCCACGTCTCTAATAAATGTAAACCTATTCGTTTATTTATGAAAATAGATTTCCGCGTAACACGTTTTTATTTCCTTGAAATATTGTCTTTCATTTATTAGTAAATACCCACCTATAATATACCTATAGTAGGTACTTTGTTATTAATAATATATCTAGTAAATTCTTATCATATTCTATATTTAGTGTAATCACTTCGAGAATTGCGGATATTTTTGCCAGTTTTGCAATAGTGTGCTGCTATAATATGTAGTGCGTGAGTGACATCCCGCCCAAAAAACAGTGTGGGAATTCGTCAAAGATTTGCAGAATGATTAATTATTCATAATCCTAGAATGCTGAATTGGTACATGTCTAAACGATCGTCATGAAATGACATTGAATTTGAGAAACTTTACTTAGGTGTACGACCTCTGCCACTGATATTTTACTGAAACAAATTTACCAGTCCATACACTGCATGATTTCCGAATTTCAACGAACAAATATTGCATATGCATATTATTTTGTACCTAATATTTTATTTACCTTTCTATGCATTCGTACTTAAATTTATTTATTCCGTAAGTAAGCAATTTTTAAAACAACACGAACATTAATAATCAAGTTTGGTTTAGCATTATAAAATACCCGGGCAAGGCCTGATTCGGAAGAGTCGTAGACCCCACCAGAAATTTGTCCAAAAATTTTCGACAATTTTGTTTAGCTACGTTCTTCGCGGCGTATAAAATAAAGTGGTATTAACGTACAAAACGATTTTGTAAATAGCCGAATTTTCGATGTATTACGCAGCGATTTCACTTAACCTAACCTACTCGAAAGATGCGTATTATTTTTTATAACGTGAATTGATTTTACGCATGATAAAAATATTAGGTATAAATATTACGACAAATTAACGGGAAAACAATGTTTTACTGTTGTTATCAGTTCGATCCGGTCGAAAAAGACAAAAAAAATCCGTCATTTTTTCCGGTGCGTTGGGCGACGGGTGATGATATTATCTCGGAATGACTTGTTGCTCGGGCTTGAAACTTTGTTTTAAACGATCCCTGACGACGACGATACCGCCACCGAAACGACAGTATGTGCCGCACATAAATACCGGTGTATAATACCCGATGGCAAAACGGAAACGATATTATTTTGGAGGAAAAAAAAAGACGAAAAAGGTTGTAAAATCTAACGGGGAGGGCCCGAAAACGAAAAAATATGTGACCGTCGCCGTAGATATTTTCCGCCCTAAAACAAAAACTTTGCCACGTTTTTCAAGCTGCACCGCAGACCGAAGTACCACGATGGATAAAATATAGTTTACGCTCCAAGTGGGTATCTACTTTCAGAGTCTGTGTTTTTTTTTCGAATTCGAATCTGAGGAGTTTTTTTTGTTATTTATCTACCCGCTCGTACTTATTTTTCAAGTTATACGTCTAGTCGAAAGCTGTTGGAATAATTTTCGTGTTCGATTTTGATTCCATCGCGACGCACCGTCGTCGGATATCAGAAACGTATAAAATTACATGTTAAAAAAAAGCTCGATTTACAAACAGTATCATGTTAAACACAAAAGACAAAATATTCTTTGGAAAAATTTTGATTTTCAATTTTTTATTCCTCTCACTATAACAAAAAAAGTGAGTATGAGCAGTCTATTTCGAAAAAAAAAAATAATAAAAACACCAAGAAATTAGAGATAAAACAAACATTTCTAAGGACAAAAAACTCGGGGTTATTTGTTTTCAATTCGCTGTCATAGTATCGCCATAGAACAGAAGCGTTAATAGGATTTGGTTGAGGGGAGGGATATAATTTTTTGGAAGGACTCAATTTTATTATAAAAATTAACATAATAATTTTTGAATATTTTGTTTATTATTTTTTTAAGCACGCATCCCTCCCTAAAAAAAAAAAAGTACCTATACGTCTCTTGCTGTATATTGTATCCGATTACGTGACCAGGAGGTTTTAGAGATAATAACCCCTTCATAATTTGAGATTTATTTGCCAATGCTTTATAAAATACTAATACGTAGTTTTATCATTTTAAATCGTAATATTTCAGACACTTCCGTGTAATATTGTTATTATTATGCCCGTATGCGTGCACTTCATGAATGTAGTGTATAATATTATTATTCCGAAAACCTGTTCGGAAATTTGTTTGAAAATCATAACCCCTCCCTGCACCGAAAAAAAAAAATTCTATTCACGCCACCGATTGTCCTTACAATACATACCAGAGGCGTATACTCAAAGACAGTGATGTGAGTGATACATTCCATTTGGTAGACCTAAACCTAGTTTTTTCTTTTTAAACAACGCTTTACGTTTATTTATCTTCAGATTCAATGGCCGTTTTTGGACCTATTGCTGCATTACACCATTCCATCCATCTATCTATCTACGTCCAGCAATATTTTTTTGTAATTTTCCACTACTGCGGTATGTAGGTATATTGTTAGTTCCTATGCGAATTTATCGGACCGTCGTCACTTTGATCTACTCAAGGGATCTTGTTATTTACAAAATACAAAATATCATGTGAGTCAGTGACGTATATAGAAAGTAATTTGGTGGGGAGGTTATAGAACACGCTTTTGGCTTTTAGATAATACATAGATTAAATAAATTCATAAATACGCACGTGTGCCGTGCCGATTATTAATTTCGGGGTGAGAGGGAGGGGTTCGAACCCCAAAACCCTTCTCTATGTACACCACTGATGTGAAGAACACGTCGGTTTACCGTTATTCAACTGGTACGGGATAATGACCTATAGTTATGTGTTTTTTACGGATTTTAGTTTTCACGAATATTCATATAAACCCTTCCCTTGCCCCCCCACAAAAAAAAAAAAGCCTTAGTAGCGTCACCGAATCGCGTTGATTAACAAAACGTCAGTTATTATTGTCGTTGTGTTTGGCCGAAGAATATTACGGTACGGCAGCGGTCGCCGGGCGTCCAGCGGCCAAGACGCGACCGGTACCTACACGGCGACGACGGCGGCGGCGGTGGTATTTACCGCGGGTTACCGGGTGTTGGCGACAGGTCGCGTTGCCGTCGCGTCGTCGGTCGGTGTGCCGCCGCCGCCGCCACCACTGAGGAGCGCGCGCGATTTCCATTATTATTATTATTATTATTATTTATTTATTTTTTCATTCTTTTTATCCCCGTCCCGATTATTCGCCCGAGCCGCGCGGCCACACAGTTCACGTCCGTCGGCCGTCTCATTCGCGTTCGCTGCCGTAACGTTCGCCGCCGCGTCCGTCTCCGATCGCGGTCGACACCGACCACGTCGCGTAATCGTACGAAACGCCGTAATCCGTTTATTATTATTTTTCCTGTTATCTAAATATTAAATTTTTTTTTCTACCTTCGCTGTGTGCGTTCGAAACGGAATTTTCGACTGGTCAATTTTTTTTTTTTCCCCGATAATACTTATTTCTAATTTGATATTCCGTATCGTTGTACTTGTACTTAACGCGTGTGGGGAAACCGATATTTCGGTTGTTTTTCGTCGGGGACGTCTTCGAATTTTTTGCAAAAGGTAAGGAAATATCACGAGAATTTTACTAATAACTTTATGAGCGTCATTATTACGGATAACAATATTTGTTTTTTTCGCGACACAAACTGTTAAAGACCGTTCCGCCATCCCTTTGAAATCTTTCGGGATTTAAATATAATAATACGGCCCCAAAAAAAAAAAAAAAAAATTGTTTTTGAAATATCAATTGGATTTTTTTTGTTTTTTTTTTTTTTTTATAATATTTTTTGCCGATCGCGTACATTATTTTAAGATTTCGATAGTCGAACAATTAATTATCGATGTGATATCTGGAAATAATAGAATGAAAAATAAATACCCAAAGTGTGAGAGAATTAAAATTTGAATTGGAACTGAAAACAGACAGATAGAATTGCGGTGCTGGCCGCTTAATTGAGAATATCATAATATTGTGATAAGATAATGAATTTCAGTATTGATATTATTTTGTTTATTACTAAAATTTGTACTAAAAAAAATAGGAAATCCTTTCACATCGGATTTCCTATTTTTTTAATAATCGTGTAACAAAATAATCAGTGAATAGATAAAACTTGGACTCAAAATGGCGGGGAACGGCTCATAGCTTGGATTAACGAATTTTCGGTTGTTTCGCACGATCAAATTAATCAGTTATCATATTATTATCATTTTAAATCGGTTATAACACAAACGAGAGATATTCGAATTTTGCATTCGATCGATTTCATGAAGAGCCGGGATCGAGAGAAAAATCGATTAGTTTCGTAATAATCGAAATATCTCGATTGTGCTCGTCAGTGAATTTTCAACACGACAACCGATGACTACACAATTATGCAGAGGCATAATTACGGGGGGGGGGATATGGAGATAGATGGGGATCCACATGAAACGTATTTATCTAAATAATATATTGTTTATTTTATACAAATTGGAAATTCAAATGCAAATTTTCAAAACTATTATAAAATTAAAAAAATATAAATTCTTAATATTATATAGGTATAAGTACCAAAATATTCATAGTTTATTATTATACTAGTTAAGCAATATTCTTAATAGTTAATGTCAAAATAAATGGTAAATTTTACTTTAACCTTTACATACTACGCGTTCAAACGCGATTAGGACGTTGCGATTTTAAAAACGAAGACGTGCCGTTTAATGGAAAACTTCCGAATTTTGGTAATGAGTTATTAAATGTTGGTAAGGGGTGGGAGTTGTATGGGGCTAACCTCCCACGAGGTTGCCGTGAAGATTTATTTTGATATTCCCCTCTCCCTTAAAAAAATTTCCCAATTGCGCCACTGAATATATATATGTATAATACCACTCCACTATGTGTATTATTAAAAATCACGTGCAATATTTGTATCAGTTCAACGAAATATCGCGCCCTTTAATATACAAATAATTCGGGCCGAATATACAAATGTTAAGGAACCGTTGTATTATTACGAATATCGCCGAAGATTCAATAAAACGAGTAAAAAAACTAAAAACAAAATGAAAAAGTCATACGAGTTATTGGTGGGAACGAATATTACAACCCTTATACCACTTTTGTGGCTTTTTATGAAATATAGGTAATTCCCGGTCGACCGTTCGCTAATTCGTCAGCTTGGGTATTTACGTTTTCACATCCGACTGATTTTAGCGATAGATAAGACTGATATAAGAGCGGTTTAACATGGTTAAATACTACAAATCGCCTGTATATTATACGGCATAATATTACAATAGATTTAAATATTAAAATTGTTTTTGTTTAACATCCACGGAGTTTAAATTGAGATACATTTTTATTTTTAACGTTTATGTATTCGTCTATAAATAGTATCGATATTATAATAAACTGTGAACAATATTTTTCCTACAGGTACCAATTATAGAGTCAGCGAGCCTAGATTTTGCTGTGTATAAAATTATAATAATATTCAATATAATCATTTTATAAGAATTCAATTTCAAATGTAATAATGGTGGGAAAACGTTGTGCGAAAAATGGCTACTATCATTAGTTGGTTACTGTCTTATAATTGTCTAGGTTAAGTTAGGTTAGGTGTTATTTTATTTTTCTTAAAATCGCCTCGATTGGTTATTAATTAGACGTTTTTTTGAGCGTTGTAACCGCGTGTAAACTGTTCACTGACAACGTTTTTGCGAATTAATCACTGTAACCTGCCCGGTTACTCTTCCTAGTAAACTGCTTACTGTTTAGTGAACGTTGTAACCGTCCGTTTCGAGTTGGTAAGAGTTTACTGATGCTCTTTTAGTAAGATAACACTATTGTGAATGGTATGACACACAGAATATTATGAATAATAATAATTCTAAATTTAATCGCATACGTGACAAATACGTCGTTTTATAGTGTTTTTACTAGACGACACTTTGCAATGGGAAATACTTTTCATTTTGTCGGTTATCTATATTAACAGAATTACCACGGTTTTGTTGATAAAACCGCGATTATACGGTATAGTTAACTCGAGCATGTAATAATATGTACTCGTGTTGCGTACCCTTTATGATTCACTCGTTGACATTAACTTTCGGGCATAAATGTTCATTCTGAATAAATTGCTAAAGTAAGATTTTTCAGATGAAATAGGTTTCATCCGGACGGTGATATTGTCATTAATATCTTCGTCAGATTCAATTGTACGTATGTATGGACATATGTCCATCGTCATCAATACTCAGGTATCTATTCAGGGGCGGATCCGTGACAAGATAGGGGGGGAGGAAGGGGGGAGGACGATTTTGAATATGCATAAAAAGCGTATGTTAGTGACGAGTTCTATGATGAACTAATAATAAGAGATAAATATAAGGTGGGCTAAGAACCTTAGAGTATTTTGGTGAATGATCGGGGCGGGAACGAAAAACACGATGAGAAAAAAAAAGAATTACCTCATATTATTTTTTTCTCGATTGTAATAGCAGACGTTCCGGTGTCCGAAATGCACACATTTCACGTATTCGGTGATTCGGTAACCGTCTATAGTTTAATCGCTAAACTGTTTACATACAGTCCAAACACGCCTGTTGCAGTAGAATAAAGTAAACCCGTAACAGAATATTATCATCTGTTATTTGTTAAAAACGAAAATTAGCGAATATTATCGTGATATCGTTATGTTCGTATTTGTGGTTGATACGATCGGATTTCAACTGTTCGTAACGCTGAATATCAACAGAATATTATCCGTAATATTATATTATTATTATCACGTTTTGTTTATCGTTCGATACAAATACTGTCCCCTAACAAATTATAACATTACGTTAAAATATTTGACATTTGCACGGTTGGCGTCCGGTGCAATAATCTCGTACTGGATTTTCGACAGAACTCGTGAACTCTCGTTCCGGAACACTAATAGATGACGTGTGTTTAGATATTATATGTTTTTTTTGCACAAATTTTCACCCAAGCTGTTGTTAAAATCCACGCGTCATATTCGCAAATTTAACGCGCGTCTATACGAAAATCAAATGTCGTTGTCACTTTGTCAGAATACGAAGTGCTAATGGCATGCTTTTAAATTGAAATGATTGTATTGTAAAGCCGGCGATCCTAGTCCCGCGAGTTTTTCAAAAAACAAATACTTAAACCGTTTTCGTCGGGTAATAATACTCATCGGTGGCGGTCATATGATTTTGTTGCGGAGGGAGAAGAGGAAGGGATAAAGGTAATTTTTCAATATTGTTTGCATATTTTTTTTCTTATAGTTTTCTTATACACATAATAGATATGTATATAACATATGCATGCTTGTATAATATTATTGAAAGGAAATGAGCCAATGTGGGGAGGGTTGGGGTGGGACATGTCACGAGAAGTACCCGTTTGACCATTCGTGTAACTATTGTTATTGATTTCTGCGTTTTCGTAATTTTTTTAAACGTAACACGATGGACATACAGGCGGTCTATCGTATGTATTTTGATGGGCAAGTCGTACCTTATTATTTATTCAATCGCGTTTATAAGGGTTTAAAAAAAAATTGATTTCGTGTTTATATAGATATAATTGGAGGTATAATCGTGGTAGGCAGTCGTCAGAAGTATACCGGTTAGTGTCTACTATATTAATCGGAGGTATTATTATCAATTCTTCAATAGTATAACGTTTTTCTCTTTCTTTCTTTTATGCTTACGTTTATTTTTACTACAATACAATAAGTAGTAAGTGTTTTTTTAACAATATTATTTTGCAGTTTTTAACAAAGACAAGTTTTATTTCTATTTACCATCTGACTTAAATAATATATGTGCCGAAGATCAAATTACTCTCATTATCCGAGTCATTAGTAGTAGGAACATCAAGACGCTTATATTCGATGGTGCCTATTTCTACATACATATATAAAATCTATCGGAAATAGTGCGAATACGAGTTTTCACTAACTGCGCGTTTCCTATTGATAGTTAACAATATTATCTTTATCTTGTTATCTAGGTGTTTCATATCGATATTTCAATATTAAAATAATGTTATAGGTAATAACAGAGAAATGAATAGATTAACTAAATTGTACGACGAGATTTAAAAATAAAAATATTATGAATAATATAATATTTATTCTTCGAAAATATTTTCTCATTTTCGGTAAATATTCTTGTTCCTCGTCAATCCTTAAGGTTGTTGTAGAACCAGAAATGGATTAAGAGGAGGGGCTAAAAAGTACTATAGCCCTTAAAACCTTAAAGCTTGGACCCTTAAAAAAAGAGGTCCTAGTCAAATTTCGTAATTATAATTTTAGATTCTGAGTGTAGCAAAGAATGTATTGGTTTTACAAAGATGTTTTTTTTTTTTTTATGTGAATACTTTTTGTGCTAGAAAGCTTACTTCGATGTATACGATGTAGATTCTTTTCCAAAATTAAATGTTCTTGGAGAAATACTTTAGAGAGGCCATTTTTTAATTTTCTTGGAAGTTTTCTCAACAAATTTAAAAAACCAGAAAAACACGGAAAACCGGGAAAAACGTAGAAAAAACGGGAAAATCGGTAAAATATTAAACAAATATTATTAAAGAAAATATATACTATCTATTTAATTATTTTACCATAATATGACATATATATATATATTGTTGACAAAGCATCACTATCAATTGAACTCCGCTTAGAATCGTTTAATCATTTATAATGGTTTTATTGTTGCTTACAGATAATATACATTAAATATCCTTCTGTATCCTACCTTCCTAACTTCCCATCTACAACAGTGGCTGCACCTATTCCCATTATCATAAGCCATCTTTTTTTATAATTATAATAATAAAAAGATCTGATTCTGATGCTAATATGTGGGTATCTACAGAGAAGCTCATAAGGTAAGATACATACAGTTAATTACAATATAGATTTGTGTAACGATAAATTCTTGCTAACGAAACACGATTCTGAGCAAAGTTTGGATAAACATCTTTTGAAATGCAGTAATTTTTAGTAAAACTGTGAACTTAAGAAGCTTATAAAAAAAGTACTACATTATGTTTAACATTTTTTTTTTATCACTTTACGTGCGATTTATAATGGACCTTGAGTTTAATTATCAAATGTTTCTTCTTGGTGAAAACTGAATTTTATTCGAGTAATATCAAATAAAACCTAAAAATAAAAACTCCATAGTGTCAATTGTCTATAAGTACTATAACTATATTTAAATATAAAGAACAAGAGAATTGCCAAAATGTTTTAAAAATTTGACTTCTTTTGTAAAGACTATTTTCAGTATTCGTTGAAAATTTTATCTCTAAAATTATTTTTAACCTAGATAATATAAAATGTAATATAATATGCAAATTATTAATGTCGTAAAACTACCTTGGTTTTTCTTAATAATTAAGAAAATATCAACCGAAATCTAAATACGACTTCCTATAGTACAAACTAGACAAAATTGTTCTTTCTAGATAAATGTTACACTTGAAAACCTGAGCAAATTTTCTGGTAGAAAAGTTGTTTACGGGGAAACACAATATAATAATAATGGTTATAAAAAAAACTGAATACAAATTTACATATTCGTGGATACAAGAAATATCTTTTAAATGTTTAATAAAATTTGGGGTCCCCGGGGACGGGTTAGCCTTGGGAAAGTAATTTCATTAATCCGACGGCTCTGTGTACAAAGCGTAATTCTAATGTCCCTCCCCCCCCTTAGGATTTTCAATGTACGAGACGAATAAATATTTAGAGTAAATAATGATACGGATAATATTATTATATTTCGTATTATATAGATTCATCACAAAGAATGTATGAATAGTCGGTACGATTTTCATGTAAATATTCGTTTTATACCTATGTTTGTAATTTAACTTTAGATTTAATATCGAATGGGACAGGCACAGAAATATCAGATACCTTCTTGTACCCATAATATAATGAATTTAAATAAATATTTTTATGTTTCACAAACTTTTACAATCACAATATTATATACATAGGCAATGTAATACATTTCATTATAAATTCGAAAATAAATACTATATTATTATACGTTAATCTAATCTAACCTAACCTAACCTTATTATTGTTATTAATGTTATTATTTTTTTAATATGAGAAGAGAGACGGGCAGATCTTTTTGTAAAATACTCTAAAGGTTTATCTCCCGGTTTCTCTATACTAACTGACCACACCCAAGTGAAGTTCAACCATTTAATTTAGATAAAAAAAGTAATTAGACCATTTTAATAGTGTCTTTACTCGTGATGTATTCCAAACGATATAATGTATTAACATAATACGTACACGTTATGACTTTTTTTTTCTAAAAAATTACTTTTTGTATGTAACTTTGATTGTTTTAATTAAGTTATTAAGTTATAGTTATTTTGTGAACTGTATTCAGGATATGTAACCCTTTATAATATGTAACTAGTTAGTGTAATAGTACTGTAACTAGATAAATGAAAAGTTACTGATAAAAGTAACTTTTAAACTTTCTAACTACTACTTTTCTATCCTTAGTGTGCAGTCTTGGTACATAAAAACCACAAAAACGATCAAATGAGTTAAATCGAATCTTAAATACGTATAAAAAATCTAAGTTTTGAAAATTACGATACATATAGGTATTATATTATAATACATGTATATGTAATGTGCATTACTCCAACATCTCCACATACGGTTTTCACATTTTTTGTTTTGCTGGTATTTAGTAAGTTTTTAGTATGCATTTGTATGGCTATTTTCACAATTTACACTAACGTAAAGGCACCTAAATATTATTGCTTTTCTGATTGAAAACTTAGAATGGTTTTTGAAAAAAATGTATCTAAACAGGGATTAAAACATTAAATTGCGATAACTGTGTATTTACTATTCAGTTATACTCGTATATAAAGTTGGACCAGACTGAAATGACGTAAGGTTTTATAGATTAAATTTTAACCATTTGGTACGCAAGTTTACAATAATATTGATTATATGACACTTAACTAGCTGTATGGTTTTTTTTAAAGATGGTTATAAAATATTACTTTTACATCAATCATGTCAAATTTAACGATGAGAATATTATAATAATAATGTATTAATAGGTACACCTATTTATTGTTTGTCTGATATAATATTATTCAATTGTAACGATAATAATAAAAATCAGGTGTCTTCGTTCTGTCGGGTTGTGTTTTTTTATTTTTATTTTTTTTTTATAGTATTCACTTTTTATATTATAGGTTATAGGTAGGTACTGGTTTCAAAATACCTAATTCAATCTATTGTGTAAAATATTCAAGTGGGTGTTTTATAGAATAGTTCACGAAAATAAATCTACTTGTCATTAGTATTATACAGGTGATAAGGAAGTGACAATACAAAACTAAATCGTGTCAGTCATTTTCAGATCAATTTAATGTTGTCTACTTATCAAAGATTTGTCATAATAATTTTGCTTATTTTTATATGGTTCAGAAAAATATTAATATAAAATAAACGTATCTATGCTTATTAAACTGTAGTTGAAATTAGTAGATTTCTCAGCAGTCAAAATCGTTATAGTATTTTTATTTTCCATACAAGTTGGTTAGTTCACACTAAATAAACAATATATAATCTAATCTAACTTAACCTATAAATATCTATGTTATATAGGATATATAAGATATTTATATTTAAATTAATTTTTAATGCTCCAAAATCGTTTTCCGATAATTTCGTATGTCCTGTAAACAAGTTTTCAACCGAAAATGTTGATCCAATCAAATACTTTATAGGAACTTTCTAGTAGAATTTTAAATCTAATTGGTGCAATGAAGAGTTTATTTTTTGATTTTCCTTTTTGTTTTAAAAATAAATTACAGACAACTTACAGTTTTAGTTGATTTCTGCGTTAGTTATCTATAATTTAGGTACAAAATGGTATAAAGTAACAAAATTGTACATGTAGAAACATAATAGGTATGTTATTATGTCATATGCAAATTTTGAAAAAAAATATCTAAACGGAAGTAATGTTGTAATTCTTGTATGCCTACAGTCAGGGTTTCTACAGCTGATAGTATCTGAGGAAATTAGAAGTCGTTAAAAGCTCTTAATTATTATTGTTCTTTTCTTTTCTTTTTTTACCTGAGTAGGTAGCAATATTGCCTGTTAATAAAGTGATAGTAATAGTAAGTAATTCCGTAGACAAACGCTTATCTCCCTTCGCTCATCTAGATTCTAGATAACGTATTATTATTATTTTTAATTGTATCGTGACAATTATATTATTACGTATTGTAGCATTTGGAAAACGATAATGAGCGGAATTTGCAACTTAACTGCTTTCTCCTGTCTCATGTAAACCTAGGTTCTGTAAATACTTGCATGTGATTCATTTTGCTGTCGGTTTCGTCGTATTTCTTTTTGACTGCATGCCATTATGCGATACGGCATTTTTAAACCGAATCCAAACTCTTCGTTCATCCTAAAATCGAACATAAAATATAATTAGTTTTTAGTAAAAAATCAGTGTATTAATGTTTTGAAAACAATCGCAGGTGCTCATAATTTAAAGTTTAGTTCTTCGATTAGGTTGATTTTTAAACAAATTTAACACGAACGATACAGCTGAGGACTCTCTACTATAAAACCATTTGGAAATAATACAATCTGCTTTACATATTATATTATATTTTGTTATTGTAAGGTTTTAGTTATTGTTTAGGCTGGAATTTGGAAACGTAAGTAACTGGGGGAACGGCCCCGCGGATCTCAAGTCTCTTCCAGAGAACCGGATTGGTTGGGTGAACAACTCACGCATAAAACCGCGGTGGGCCACGCTTTCGAGCTGTTGACTTTATCGAAAATAATAATTAATAACTACTAGTAGTTATACAAATTATTTATACGATTAGGGATATAATTTATAGTAGGTACACTATAGGAAACTACTACTATAGACATTACTATTTTGGTTTCGGGATATAATTAATCACTGATCGCTGCAGATATAGTCAGATGATCTCATCGATAATCATGTTACCCACCTGAACGTATGTAGATAGTTCAATAGGCAACAATAAATTAATACCAAATGATTCAAATTAAAAAAAAAAATAATAATAATAATATTATTATAAATTGGTGTCTATATATTATATTAGGTATTTATATTTAAGTACATAATACATCATCATAATAATATCCTATGTAATATTTTTAATTACAGTGATTCGTAACTGTGTGTTCGGTGAGGAATTTTTTATTTTATTATTGTTTTAAAGATCTTTACTGATACGGCTGACAGAAGATTTGCATCGCCTATAAAAAAAAAAGTTTTTACATTTTTGAGTTTTTAAATATTTACCGATCGCTTATATATATTTTATCCTACACGTAAGCATATTAAATAACAAATTTTAACACAACATATATTTTTATCAAATATAGGTTAGTAAATTAGTTTTAATTTTGGCGCGTAAAATTTTTATCACATCCATCTGATTAAACACTATTCCATCCACAAAATATGCTGATAATATTGCTGATAAAGGAATCCGATTGATTACTTCCCCTCCAATGGATTAGTCAACAACTGAGTTTAGGAACAGTTAAATCTAGCGGCTGACTAATCTGCTGAATTTAGGAACACACGGATTATGTAACCAGATTGATCAGCAATTGTACAATAATAATCCTGTTGAAGATGAAAACAATAAATGTGTTATTGGTTTTATATTTAATAAACTAGAATTTTTTTGGATATAATGCTGTAATTACATTTATCAATTTTAAAATTAATACATATGCTTAAAAGAAACGAGTCATCAATATTAGTTTGCATGATAATTATTTTATTTATTTTTTGAAATATAGAGAAAAATATTGTTATCATTAATATTATTATTTTTTTACTAACATTATAAAAGCTGGTAAAGAATGATGTTTAAAATAACGAGTTACCCGCAGTACTATTATTCTCTTCTTAGCCAAATTCTATATATTCTGTTCGTCGGCTTTTGTCAACCTACCTATAGGCTCGGGTCGGTCCTTTTAAGATATTATAATTATTACCGTTTCAGGGTGGCAATATTTCATATTTATAATATACACTATCATGATAAATGTGTATAGGTATAAATATAACAAAAAGTTGGTTTTATGACATTATTATTTTTTAATAATGGCTTTTTGACCCACCTATTTTTTTTTTTTAATAATTCTCCAAGAGTTTTTTCGTGACTACGAGCTGATTGAATCGTTCTATATAAAGCTGTATCGTTCATCGTTGGCACCTTATAAACAAACACACTGATTTTTTTTTAATTTATGCAATAATATTCAAAATAATAACAAAAACGGTTACCCAACAATTGTACTATTACCCAGGATTCGCTGTACTTAACGGTTATAATAATTAGCGTGCCTAACTAATAGTTATTCTTATTATATTATATATAAAGGTACTATAAGTACTTACATAGTTACATAATTAGTAACGTTTATGTGTACCGACTTTTGATTATATTTCTGTGAAACTTTTATTACTATTGGTTGTGTAAAATGCGATTGTTGTTCTCTTCTCGAATGAGATGTCTATACATTTGGTACTTTGTTTTTAAACGGGTCAGTTTTACTTCTGTGCCGCCAATAAAACTGCAATTGCCATAGTTACAAATTAATTTAAGTTACAAAAGTATACGACTTTATGGTTGTATACCCACTCAAGTAATTTATTGTAGAATTCTACATAGATTTTAAATATCGAATATTATCTATAATATTGTATGATCGTCTAAAAATTATTCTTAATGCCCATCAACAAACTCCATTGGCAAATACAGATAATAATTTATTTTTGAAATATAACTATGTGATAAAATCGATTTTAGGGCAAAGCACTCAAAATACAGGTCAAAATAGGCAGTTAAATAATTAGAAGGAGTACTTACCAATGTAGTGGCGTTATAAACGTAACAATATGGAAAAAAAAATAAATTCCCTATATTTTGTATAAATGTAATTTATGTATAAGGAGTGTTTGTGTTTATAATAATTTGTATACCATAATATACGTGAAAAAATTGAGTAATTGATTAACGGCTATTAACGGCTACTTATTATTGAAGAGCTGCTACTATGATGCATTCAACAACATAATATAACTACAATTATATATTGTAACATTATATTATTAATTTTATTATTATCATAAAACTGGTTATACGCTCGTGTTTATAAATCCCGACTGTAGTGTATTCAGTGTGGGTGGAAAATTAGTTCCGTAATATTTATTTATCAAATACCTAACTACCTGTTTGCAATTGGATAACCTTAAAACAATATTCGAATAATAGGGGGGGGGTTGTACACATATCATTATAAATACTCTCGATCTCGATTATATGTGGCGATTTTACTTTCGAATATTATCCGGTAAGTTGCACAAAATTAATAACTTTAAAGAAAAGTAACTGCGAAATCAACGATTTCGTTATTGGAAAAAAAGAAAAAAATCAGAAAATTCTTCAAATTCTTTAAATCTCTGTATCAAAATATATTAACTATATTTTGTAGACCTCCCTCATCCTAACAAAGTGCTTTTCAATATATTCGTAAAAACATGTCAACAATTTCAGATTCGATGTAGGAAATATAGTTGGATTTATTGACCGCATGTATTGTGCATATTTATATTAAATACAGTTTATTATAAGGTGTACATTTGCTCGGAACGTCATGAATTATCGACAGGATACGCGCGTCGATGAATTGAGTAGTGATTGAAAACGGAAGGGGGGAAAGATTAGAGTGTCCGTCAAAGGAGCTTTGTAAAACTCGCGTATAGAAGACGACGTGTTACAAGTTTTATATAATCAATTCGACCGGCTACTGATTGATAACACGCTGTCAGTAGTTTTCCTTTAGAACGGTGTCTTTCTCTCTCTCTCTCTTTCTCACACACAGTCCCTTAACAACGGTCTTGCAGCGGTAATCGATTAAAAGCCGTTTTCCTAACACGTGCAAAATGTCCTTTATCAAGTTCGAGTTTTTTTTTTTTCATCGCACCCTTGATTTATATACAAAAGCTATTAGGGTTGATAATATATCTCCTGTTCTGCGTTGAAATTACGTCTAGCGTACAATGTATATTTAACACAATAATTAATCTCCAGTCCTGTCGTTAATTAATTGTCGCTTTTATCGCGTCACGGTCAACTTGTTATTGTATACACATTTATTCAATAATTACATCGAATTTTGTCATTGCAACGCATTGTCTGTTACAGGTACTAAACTGTCATTTGAAAAGTACCAAAAAACTCGTTAGTACCTATAAAACTGTTTGTCGTAGATACAAATTTGAGAAATAGGGAAGTAAATAATTTGGTATTAAGATTATAGAAAGCTTAGACTGCTCTAAGACTAGCTTAGATTTTTACGGGTGAGTACATATATAGAGTTCATTGTTATTTTATTTTTTTGCAAAATTCTTCGATTATGTATTTCAATGTGTTTGCTGGAACTATTTCTCTAGTTACGGGAAGGACAATAGCATTTAGAATGTGTTGCCAAATATCTGTAATTGTTACCACTTATTGTTTAGGATTTGTTCCTTTAAAAATAACTAATATTGCCAATGTAAACTATAAGTCATGAGTTATACTATAAACGAATTTATGATATTACTTGAAGAGGATGTATATCCAGTCGAGTTCTGTACTTCAACGGTTTTTTACTAGGTATTAGGTATTCATATTTTATTTGATATCAAATCGAAAGAGTGCCTCCTGACAACATTTCAATTTAAGTTATAATACTAGGTATATTACTGTATTATACTATATTGAATTGAATGTTATGAAGTAACAACCATCAATACGAGTGAAGGTTATCTCTATTAGTGTTAAGACCAACATTTAAAGCTAAACATCTGGTATGTATGTGACTTAAAGATTAGGTACTAAATGCAAAACTAGATAATATATAATGTATATCTAGGTAGGTATTAGGTACTTGTAAATTGTAATATGCCCGCGAATGAGACACATGTTGAGTATAATAATAACAGTGTCAAGTATTATATGCGTGAACGTCAAGTTTTTAATCAAGACTTATACTTATATACTTATATATATATATATATATATATATACTTATATATATATATATATAATATATTGGTACACAGTATATTAATATACACATAATGGTATCGTATTAAACCAGACGAGTTTACAAGTCGTAGAACTACAATTATTTATTGATCGTACAACACCGAGTTCAGTGGCGTGGTATATCTATATAGAAATGTAAGACGGTAATATGATCAGACGGATCGCGTCGTATATCCAGCCAGTATAGATAGTATTGTTATAAACAGTGCTTTGAACCCTGTAAGACGTCACATATACGGTTAAATAACTTTCGGGTAAATTATACGCGATATTTGACTGTGAAAACCGGTTCATAAAAAACTATATACGAGCGATTTAAAATTTGATTTATCGCGAGGTAAACATAACCGTTAAGACAGTAGGTAATTAAACGTTTTGATTGCCCAAATAGCCTATATAGATCGTATCGGGTCATTCCCCCGTCTACCATTTCCTCGTAACCACTTCCCCGTAAGACATTTCCTCGTCCATATTATATTTATATCTACTTGTAAGAATAATAAAATTAATTTAAAAAAAAATCGAATCAATAGATTTCGTTCAACATTTCCTACATCTTTTTTGATATCGTAATGAAAATTGAACAATTGTTAGGCATAAGCAACTAGTAATTGTAATCAGTAACTTTAGTAATTGTGGTTTTTAATCAATGATAATTTATAATGTTTTATTGCGTATAAGATTTTGAAAAAAAATGAGACGAAAAACAGCAGACGATTTACACTTGTAGTGGAATATTTAAATATTTAAATATTTTATCTGATGCATTTTAGTAACAGATTGATTTTGGTTTTTCACGTATCCAAAGGTATAAGTTGTTTTAACTTAGACAGTGTTCGGAGTCTGCTTTAATCTTTTCAAAAATTTGAGCGTACCACTTCATTTAACTAATCAAGGAACGTTTTTGTTGGAAGCATCTTAAATTGGGGGAAAAAAGTTAAAATATTCAAAAAAAATTTAAATAATATACTAGTATATTATATATATGTACTTTTTTGTTTAATCCAAAAGCTATAAATCAACCGAACTTAGTGTTTTTTATCTAATTAGTTATGTGGATTTAATAGTGGTGTTAATATAGTAAGGTATTTTAAACATTTGTTTTTTTTTTTTTTTTTGTGAAATTAATTATTTAATTTACTTTGTGCAAATATCTATTTATCTGGTAGAGACCGATAGTTTCTTATCTAAAACCAGCATACGTCTTCGTTCGAGCACTCGATATTCAACGTACGATACGATAATATTAATATAATATACTACTTATATAATTATATTGTAGAGAGTTTGTTACAAATTACTTCTCTTTACATACCTGAATATACATTTGTATTTTTTTTTTAAAAAATTAATGTAAGCATACTTACTTTTTGAAAAAAAAAAAAACAAAAAGTTTTTTTTTGTAAGTAATAGTTGCAGGTTTTTCCTTTGTTGTGCACGCAACATCGTCACAGCAGTTATCCTGCGCTTACGTCCCGCCGTATATTCAAAAATATTATATTATTTTCTTTAGACTGCGTTTGAAACGTATTAAAACTTTTACCGCTCGGTAAACTCCTTAAATACCTTACCTTACCTACTCACCTACCTATACCTACCGTGTATACAAGACACGCAACCGAATCGTATTCCCTAGGGACGGGTTTTGCACCTATACATTTTCGGCGTGGTTTTGTATACAACATCACTACTGCAGCAACGGGTATAATATGTTTTGATTAAAATGCCCTCCAGACTAAATAACATTAAAAACTCGCTGCTGCATACGCTGCAGTGCCTGCTAACACAATTATCTTTTATTCATATACATATATATATAATACATGGCACGCACGCAGATCAAAGTCAAGGAGAATTTATTACCTAATGCCAAAAGGGATTAAATATAAATCCGCAGTATCCGGCCAGTGTACCTACCTGGTATATATCATTATTACGTGGATATTATATTATTTTGTTTAATTAAATTTCAATAATGTATAATCACAATCTTAATAATATTATTTGTACGTCTTTCAACGAAAGAAAATAAAACAATACGGTTAGCTATATATAATACACACACACACACACCTATAGTATTATTATAGGTGTATAGAAAATGAGTAAAAATTAATAACGTTAAAGATATCCGTTTTATTTATATTTTATTATTGTCTTTGAATGTTTTTTTCACCGCCCTTTGTGGTACTTTATTATTATATTATAGTATTATCATTTTACTTTTATGATTATTTCGCGAAGTGCTGTGCGGATAGTGTCGATAGTGTCTGTGTTATACACCCGCGGCGGGACAACGTTCCGGCAGAGTTCGACGAAGGATGAAATTATTGTTCTTTATACCTACGTGGATGATGACAAAAGTATGACGTTAGACTTCGTTATATAGAGTGTGTGTGTGGGAGAGAGAGAGAAAGAGTAAGAGAGAGGAAATAATGGTTCTTTTTTGCACGAACTTTATTATCCTTTGGAATAACATAGAAAATATCATAAAAAAAAAAATAATAATAATAATAATAACAAGAAAAAAAAAAGGCAAATATAAGTTTTCTGTCCAAATTTCAAGTCTCGACTAATATTTTTAACTGAATTACAATAAATAATAAAAGTATTATTTTCGTAAATTTCCCGTTTTTCATACGTTTCATCCTGGTTTTTCCCAGATATTATGAAAACCGCTTGGAAAATTTAAAAAATTACCCCCTGAAAGTACCATCTGGATAACATTTCATTTCAGAAATGGTGCCGTGCGTATATATCTGAGCAAGATTCTGGTAGAATTTTTGTGCACAGGATAAAAAAAATAAACAAAGTAAACATCTTAGTTAAACCAATACATTCTTCACTACACTCGGAATCTAAAACGAATTATTTACTCATGAATTAAATTTAAAATGCAACAAAAATGATGTCTTGTCGTTTTTCTATTGGAGCAATATGTATGGTAGAAAACATTAGTCGTACAACTTTTAAATAATAAAATCGTTTTTTAGAGATCGAATCGTTTAGAATGTGCTTTAAACCATAAACCATTAATATGCCTACCTTAACAATTTTGAATAATAATGGACATTTGAAAAATAAAAATGTGTATGCTTTTATTACGTACTACTCGTGTAATATTACCATCGTGTTCATTGGGTACCTATACACTTTAATTTACGTAGTTCACGCGCGGTGAAAGATATTTTTTAATTACCGCTTATACAATCGATGTTTTGAAAACTTTTTACAACCCCTTAATTAACATAATAACATCTACATGCTATATTTATGGCGGTTTACTACCGTATAATATTATAGATGGGAATGAGGTCAACGGGGTCTTTTTATTTTTGTTATAAGTACCTTTAAATTTGGCCAAAGTTTATCGCAACGAAATATTTGATAAGAAACATCTAAAAAAGGGATATAATAATGTCGTGTTAATATGCATATGTAACTTGTAACAAACACTGACGAGATGTTACTTAAAAAAAAAAATTTCTCATTTGAAAATCTTATTGTCGTATCCTTCAGAACGAATTAAACAGGGTTGTTTCTGAAGCTTTTAAGTTAGGATTACAATTAAATATAATTAAATGTCATTCTTTTACTCTTACTCGCCGTAAATCATCCTTAGAATTTAACTATTCTATAAATGTGTCTTCCCTTGATTCGTTCCGAGAATCCGTCATTGATTTCGATTTTGTATTCAGTTTGACTCTCAGAGAGTGGAGCGAGCATGCTGAAAAGCTCTCAAAACTATAGGACTTATGAAGAGTATTTTTTCAGAATTTAGGCTAAAATTTCCTTTAAAGATTCTTTAATGTTCGCTTATTAGGCCAATTTTAGAGTACGGATAAGTCATTTGGGACTCTCTCGCGGCGGATAACTCACTTATGCTTGAGCGTATAATTCAGTACAAATTGTTAACCATGTTAGTTATGTTTTTAAGTTTCAGTGTATCTCATGATTATACAATTATATACTTATCCTCCAATAGTAGCTGGTATTATTATATTATTGTTTTGTTATAAGTATATTGTGTTACATTTACGCGATTGTTTTTTTTTTTCAAAGATCCTGTTTGTAAGGGTTCCTATTCATCTAAATGTATTACGTTCGTGTTTTTCAATAGCTGAAAAAAATTCTGACATTTATAGATTGATACGTTTGTTCATTTGGAAAATTGATAAACTCGGTTTACAAAATACGAATCGTATGTACTTAATATTTATGTTTAATCAGCGAATATTCTTAGATAGGTGGTGACACAAAATTTCTGACAATCCCAAATACAGGATTTTTAACATTTTGTAGCGAGTACTTTAGATTTGTAGGTACATCAATTTATTTAGTGACGATCAATAATTCGGGTGCTTTGTATAGTTGTGGGAGATTTTCAACGTTTCGATTTTCCGCTCTTGAATAACGACATTTTATTTAAGGAATTTGATTTATTATATACTCTCGGTTGAATTTGATATAGTTTTTTTTTGTTTGTAAGTGTTCGCGTTCAATCGTAAAAATTACGGTATTTCAAAACACGTTCAAACGAAATTCGCTCAGAATCGTATTTGGTTAGCAATGATTTATCGTTGCACACAGATATACATTAAATGACTCTATGTATCCAATGTTTCCTGACTTTCCGCCTACGACTGTGGCATACCCATCAGCAGTATCAGCTCTTTTTGATTTTGATCGGCAAAGTAAACGTCTATTATAATTGGTATACAATATTAGATATGCCCGCCGGAAAATATGTGAAATAGTCTTCGCGAATCGTAGCGATGTTTTTTTTTTTTTCTAATCGTATTTTATATGCTTTGCCCAACGCCGAGATTTCACTCATAACACCGCTACTACTATTGTAGATTGATTACTACGTTTTTTCGACGGTAAAAAAAAAAAAAAAAAACAAAAAACACAAAATAGATTCTTCAAATAATCATTTCTGCGTGTGTGTATATTACATTATACATATATATATATATAGCGACGATATCGGTATACGACAAAAGGACAATGACAAAGAAAAAATAAAAATAATAAAAATGGGAAAACCAAAACAGTCGTCATCTGCGGTCATCATTTCGCCTGTCACCTGTTATAATACAATAACGCGACGACGATGGACGTGAACAAATTCGTTCGCATATTATCGTATATTATGTATCGCAGTACGGTCCCGCGCGCGAAAATCGCGCATCGGGCGGCATGCACCGCGCTATGCTTACACCGAAACGCTCGCACGCGAGTCCGGTCGCTAGCCATAATCATAACCACTATTACCCTATACCTGTATACCAGATAATACCTTTACGTGCCGGAGCCGGCCGGCCACATGCGTCGGCGAACCGTGTAGGACGCACACACGCATTGAGTCAACGTCCTCCGCGCTCGCGCTCGCTGCGCACACATTCATCTTATGTATTATATATATCTATATACGACTATTATAGGTACGACGTGTACTCGTATAAAATATATTATATTCTGTCCGTCAAGACGGTTTTTTTTTTTTTTTTTTTTTTTTTTTTTTTTTTAATGTTTTGTTATTATTACCGCGGCGCGGCAGGTTATAGGCGGCGGCAAGCCGCGGCACGAGCAAATGCAGCGAACAACGAGAGAGAAAAAAGACGAAAAAAAAAAAATAAAAAATAATAATAACAATAAAGGTAAATAAACCGACCGCGACGACGACGCCGCCATCGTGTCGTACCGGTTTCGCGTCGGTCCGCGGCTGTTGTCGCCGTTATTGCTACTGCACTGCAGTGAATTAAAGCACACACACACACGTGCGATAATAATTAAAAACGTATTAATTGGTACACGCCTCCGTTGGAATTAATATCGAAAATATTATTTATTCGACGAATATAATATTTTTCGCGCAATCTTGTATAATACGATCGGTTAAAAATGTCTCGGACGGTCCTCCGCTGTTTTCTATATTAATTCGCCAGCGCCACTTTAAGAACGGGTCTTTGTAAGTCGTTTATTCTTCTACTTGATGTGCATTTTAAGACTAATGGTTGTTTGTGTGTTGTGATGGTTGGTGTTTACTACACTACGAAATCAGTTTAAAATGCTAGAATAGTGTTTGAAAGAATGATATTGACAAAAACGTTCGATCCAATAACATAATATGATTGTAAATGTGAAGGATAAACAAAGAATTATAAAACCAATATCGCCAAGCTATAGTACAGTTGGAACCTTAGAGTGGAACATTTCCGGTTACCAGACGGACTAATTGGACAGACAACTAGACGGAGATCGAATACTTAGAGACCCAGAAGACAGGCATGACAAATGTATACGAATAAGATTAGGAGAAGACTTAGTATTGTCGAGAGTCGGAAATGCGAAAGAAGTTGCAATTGATAGAGAAAAGTGGGTACAGTGATAGGTTTTTGTGTCATTAAGCCTTAAGAGTATTTGACTAAGTTAACAACAACGGTACGATCATTTTAAGAAATGGAGTTCGTAGTCTTCCTGCAAATTTTACCTGTTTTTTTCTTCGATATTATTGTTGTTATCCACTCCAATTCATTTTTCTTTTCTCTTTTCTAACGTTAAATCTTCGTTTCTGATTTTTTCCGTCTAAGGGATGTAAAATGTTTTTCTACCGCAGCACCTGCGTGCATTTCAAAGGTTTCAATATTTTTTCTTTCCCCTCATTTGAGTTTTATTATATAAAACTGTTTTATACCAATCCGAATGTATCTCTATATTTGTTTTTTTCAATAAACTCTCTAGTATGCATACAACATACATTATGTATAGCATGTACGTAGCCAGACGGGGTCCATGGGGATCGGACCGTCCACCGCATATTTTTTTGACGTGTTATATGTTTTTTTTTTTTTTAACTATTATACTATACTATCTACACTATTTTAAAATGTTGTAATTTTTGAAAATTGATCCCCCAAAATTGAATCCTAGCTACGTGCTTGACGTATAGGTATATTATAACGGTTGTATCTATTATCGAGTGTGATGGACGTTGTGAATGCTGATAGAGGAACACTCGCCGTCGGCTACAATGCACATACACACACACACACACCCACGATTAGAACATCGATCTGCACGAACTTCGCGGTCTTTAAGCTATTATAGCTAGGTGTGCTACTACTACTATTATTATTATGTACAATTTTTTTTCCATCCTATTTTAAACTCGAATTTTGAATGATTGTTTTATTCGATCTATACATGTCGGTTTTTATTTGTATGATATGTTAAAAAAAAAAAAAACAAACAAAATTAACGAAAATTTCTTTCAATATTAGGCGATGATTTTTTTAATTTTATTTCTCGTAAAAATGCGATGTGACGTCCATTATACTGAGTTTTTATTTAAAAAATTATAACTAGACAATCGGTATAATAGATTATAATAATTATATACATAGCATATGTATATGCATCAATACAATATGCAAACAAATTGTTCGACAATTATAATATACCCAACAATACGGGACATTTTTTTATTTTATTATCGTCTAATAATTAGGTATGCTTTATTTTAGCATTGTTTTCAAATGGCGACTTCTGCATTTGAACGCAGATTTGAAAAAAATTAATTTTTCTTAAAATGTTGATATGCATAACACTAATATCGAATTTAAATTGTTTGAGTTATTAAGTTATAAGAATTAAGACATTTAAAACAGATAGGTGTGACGATGGGTAACTAATTTCATATTCAATTTTAAATGATTTTACCTTTATCTAGCTATTCCTCTAAATTTTAAACTTTTGCTACTCATATATTATACACATATATACTCATATATTATGTTGAGTGTATTTTTAATAATATTTACTCAAAATTAGCATAGGTACAATTATTTTTAAAGATATTTCATTCGATATTTTGTAATAACATACACCGATATTCCACTGCGGTTCCGAATATTATAAGTACCTATACATATTATACCTACTACATAATAATTATTATCTTAAAAATTTAAATCATGAGATTGGTATGCCTAAATATAATTACCGCATTGACTGTGGGTTGGTATAGGTATTGTGTAAAAATACATAATTACATGAAATATTATATTCAAATATCTAAACACTAATAATTATAGGTTAGAATTAAATATATTATTATATATTTCACCGTAAACCCGAATAGATTTTTGTTAGTGGCGACCGAGAGGAACATATTATAACGCTGTAGCATCTGATGAATACGTAAAGTTAAATTTTAATAAATTATGTTCCTACTCGCTATTGGTTATAGCCTAGAGGTTATAATATCATATACAGTATACACCTATAATAATAATAATAAAAACCGTATAATAGGTATCAGTACACCACACGAATATAACATAGTAATTTGTTTGTTTATAAAATACAAAAAGTAGAAAATAAATATTGAGTAGGTAGTTAAAAATAAAACGTAGTTTGTATTTCTAATACCTATACAATGTTATTTTTGCGTGAAATAAGTAGGTCGTCAAAAACTGTAAAACAATTTCGATTTATCCTTACAGTGTATAGATTATGGGTAGCAACTATACAATGACAACTGGGGAAATCATAAATGTAACAATAATGGTAGGTGGTTTGAAAAAGAGAACTTTGGTTTAAAAATTATATTTCATTAGATCTGAGTAAAACGTGTTTTACTGTAATGTAATTTTTGATTTTTGTCCATAAACAACTTATCTACCAGAAAATTTGCTCCAATCTAAAACTGTTTGGGAACTTTCTTGTAATAATTTTGATCTAGTTGGTGCATTGGAAGATCGTATCATTTTTTTGATTTTCCATATTAGTTAAACTACATATTAAAACTGGAAATTAGTTCATTTTTGTTGATTTATGCGTTACCTTGGTAACAAGACAAAAAATACGACTAATATAATTTTGCTCAAAATCGTTTTTCATTAGCAATGGTTTATAGTTTGTAGTTGTTTATATCAGTACGTGCCGATATAATTACTTTATATAATATCATTTTTTATAATTTTCCTCTTAAAACAGTGTTACAACCGTCAGCAGTATCAGCCTTTTTTTTTTACTTATCATTACCGACTAAAGTCTAAACGTGAGTACAGTTTTATCGATACTCGTCTATATTAATAGGTACGTGCGAATTTATTTTATTTCACAAATAGCGTAACACGCACTTTCCGCGCTTATCTTGACTGTAGTTTTTGTATTCCAGGCGGTTGTGGTTTTCAATATAGTTTTGTAATGTTTCAGAAAGTTCCGTAAGTAACGTTTGTTATTCTTTTGTTCGGTGTATCCATAGTGAACCGCAAATGGTTTGGTACTTTTGGTTTTTAAGTTTTTAACCTTATTACCCCGTCTGTACTGCAGCACTTTACTATTTGTTGTGAATATATTGTTCCACGATGGTATAGATACCATCGTATTGTTCAATATGGTAAGATTATAAAACTGTGTATTAGTTTATTAATTATTATTATTAGTAATAATATAATATACTACTGCACATAAAATAATATCAATACTTCCGGTAATATTGTTATCATACAAGATAAAATTTAAATCGAAAAAAATACATCATTTCATAAGGTGATTAACATCGATTATTATTTTTAATATAACTATTATACGTACATAATTATAAATAATAAATTATTATTTTCAGTTATTGGAAAATGTGCTGTATTATTTACACCGTACAAGAAAACACGGGGAGTTTTTGCTCGTCGGTATTTTATATGAACAATTTTTCTAGATTTCCGATGACGGTTTTTCCAAACAAATAAAAAATTGTGATAAAATGTTGACGATAAAATCGGGGTTGTTTTTTTTATTTTCGGGTAATAAGAGAAAAAAAACACTAGGTATATAATTATCTAACCTTACCAGTTCTTCGCTCATTATTTTTAGTTTACAATGATTTTTTTTTCGGAGGTAAATTGAAAATATTTGCCAAATTGTCGAAACAAAATTGCATAATGTTTATAATTTTAAAATGTATTTAATAAAAACAATTCACTGTTGAGAATAACGACTGTATTGATTTCAAATGTATATTATTTTATTGCAGTATTTATGGTATATAATATATATATTCAACAATTTCGTTGGAATATGTATAGAAAAAAATTAATTTTATTAATTTGAATGTGCATGTAAACTCTTGGAATCGTTAACACGTTTGTTAACGGTATAATAATACTAAATCGTTTAAATAATTGAAAATAACAATTGTTTTCGATAAGAACACTAATTATTAAGTCAATTAACATCCATTCATTCATTAAAATTAACTGTTTTTTTTTTATTTTATTCGTCGTCCTATCAATTATACTTATGTACATGATTTAATTGTACCCATATTAATATTTTGAATACTTATCGCCGATGCTATTTCATCGCGCACGAAGGCCGTTATCAAAATTTATTGTAATAATATAATAGACGTACATAAAATATCAACGTTTTCGTTGTAAGTATAGTTTTATGTTCCTTTTTGTCGTAAAAATCAAAGTTAAAATTACATTTTATAATATATTTTCGTGTTTAAAGACTATTATTCGCAGTTTGCTATTCCACGAGCTATTTTATGTAACTATAGAATTTGGTATTTTTATGCATACCTATAACTTTAAACGTCATATTATATATTATAATGCAAGTACGATTAGATATATTTTAAGTCTCAAACTCTCAACGTTCATATCGACAAGGCCATGAATATAGAGTTAATTTTCCGTCTACAGATGTAAGCCCGTAGTATATTTGTTTATTTATTTATTTCTACACATAAATTATTTATTTATATACTTATTTACGAGTATTAACCATTTGATAATTTTATTTTTATTTTATTATATTTGTTTCATTTACACTGACAATTTTTTGTGTTTTATCTCGGTTTTTTACCCAAGAGCGCCCGCAGAAATACAAACTGGGGGGAGGGTAAAGTCAAACGTGTAAGACTTTTTTTGCAATTTACAAGTAATTATAGCTTAAATATTTGAGTTATGCAAGTAATAAAACAATTAATATTTAATATTAATTGAAATATCGGGGGGGGGTACTACCGCCCTCACTGACACCCCCTTCGTGTGCCTTTGTTTTCACCATTATATTCTTAAGTACTAATTTTTATTTTTATTTATACTGCGTCTTTTTAACCTGATCTCGGAATTCCCAAATGTCTTTTCCTTATTGGGAGTGATTTTCCGAATTTGCCCGTAATAAGTAGGTTTTAGCATCTCCACGCAAGTCCAGCCCATCGTATTCATTCTTTTTTGATGATCTTTAAATTATTATTTTCTCTCCGAACGTTATCTGTATAGCTTTCTGGCTTTCCTTCATTGTCACTCCCCGGATATGTTATTCTTTACAAGTCCAATGACCTTCCACATTTTTTTTTATCATAAGAAATATACATACAAATATCAAAAAATAAATCTATTTTCGCCTGTTTCCCTTGGTGACCAAATTTCAGATCCGTAAAATATCATAGTGGTCGTATTAAGGTAGTAGTATATAATTGGTTTTTTTTTTATACTTCTATATACTCAATAAAAAACAAAAAAAATGTATGTATAATTATTTCGATACATACATAATAATACGATAATACTGCTATTAGCGAAATTGCGCAGATTAATCAATTTTAATTTGACTATACTCACTGCAGCATAGTAATATCCTCCGGCGTAACCAACCCGATCCTGAAAATAATTCTGCCCCGTAATTTACATACTAATATTATTCCGGGCTCCGATAAAACATCTCGTAAATAATATTATTAAAATGGCAAAATCCACAGGCGAATATTTATCGGTTATGAATCATTAGAGATTATCGTGAGACATTTGGCTGGTATATATTTTCAGCAATGCATTATAAACCATATAGATATATTATTTTTTTTTCAAAGAAACCTATTGAGAATAGAGAATACTCTAGAGAACAGTTGGTGGTCAGAAAAGAAAATGAATAGGTACCAGTTTATAACTGTAGGTATAAAAACCATTATGATCGCCTAGGACGTATACTATATCGCGGATATTTATAACTGTATTTTTTTTCTAATCGTTACTTCGTAAGTAATTTTTGTTATCTCTGAAGTCGTATACTGCTGCAGTGCTCTGTGTTTTACGTTTATTAAACTGTTGTTTAGTATAACCATTTACACCAACCATTTGCAACAGAATTTATAGTTAAAAGATAATAATATTTTCGTGCAGTGCGAATTATTAACAGTAACGTTTTATTAATTATTAGCACCATATAAATCGTATTTATCGAGTAATTTTTATTGCTGCGCGATTTAATAAACTACTGTACATTACTGTTAAAAGTATCAAACGAATTACCTTTTGAATTTGTATTTTCGAACAAGATATCAGTAACTTAACTCAATCTTATATTGTTTTAACGAATCCTTTTTTAAATTTTTGTGTTATTATATTTTACGGGGTAAACCCTTTGAAAATCTTTACAATCTGATATAAACAAATTTTTAATCAAAACTTACAACGAAAACATTTTGAAATAAAGAAAAGAGAAAAAACAAGCTCACAAAATATACTCATGTAATGAAAAAAAAAATCAGATTCATACGAATTTAGAACACTAAGTCGGAATGCGTAAATATTGGCAAGCGTAATCATAGTAATGCACAATTAGTGTTAGTATTTGTTTTCTTACTATGTACCTAATCTAATCAACTGAATTATTTCAGGGTTTCTATAAGCATTTAAAATATTATTGCCTTTACCCTGTTGAATTTTCGTTGAATCGTTGGCGTTGCCGACTTTGCTTCGTATTTTAAATACCTACCTAATAGCCTATCTAATCTTATCTCTAGACTATATTAAAGACCTAAAATTATAGTCTTTGACTTAATTTTAGCATATGTATTATATAATTACTTAATAGTTCAATTTCACTAGTTCAGTTTAAACAACAATAATATTTTTTTTTCTTTTTACGTCTACGTACCTAAAGAGGTATCCTTCTTGTTTAACGCAGTTTTTAAAGTTGCATATTAGTTTACTGTTGTAAAAATTATTTTATAATCATAATATTATAACCTAAGCGTATAATATAACCTTGCTCTCGTATTTCATTGAAATTATATAATTTCACTCTCCCACGAATGCATGAATGTGCCCGTTGTTCCCACACGTAATTCGTCATCATCGTTGTTGTCGTTTATTGTTGTTGTTCGGATCTAATCGAGCATCTTATACCATCGTATCAAACCCATCAAGGGAAATTGGGGTCACATACACGATAATATATTTTTACTTTTTTTATGCTTACACATGCATCTGCGTGGGCGCATGTGTGTAAAATATTGCGAAAAATCTAAAGCGAAACGACCGACTTTGCCAGTCAGTGAGATTACTAATTTTTCGTATTTCGTATTTTGCAGTTTAATAATATTCACTGAACTGAGCCTTGTTTATTTATTCCATCGAAATATTAGTATGCGCACACCACACAATTTGAATTAAAAATACAAGTTGTGTACAGTAATAATATGTAACTTATCATTTGTACAAAAATGCTTTACAAATAATGTTACGTTAATCAACATGTATAAGTATCTGACAGTGTTTTGAATTGAAAATAATATTCAAAGAAAGTAAAGCCGAATATACCCTGCACCACCGATATTTGGTGGGATGTAAGATTTTCATTCTGCCGAATTTCCATGCGCGATTTGCCCGTTGGCCGTATTAATTGCTTTCTATACTGGCATAACGTTTATTTTCGTGCTTCTTTGGGTACTGAGGTCATGTTCACAGCACCATAACCATATTATAGGAGTTAGAATATAAAATAAGTACTTAACTGCTAAAATTCTGGTAATAATTACCGAAACGGTACGATTATATTCATTTTTAATTCAATATTACCATACTATAATGATAATGCAATATCATATTTAATATTTAGACTCATTTTTCCGTGGTCAATATATATATTAAAATATGCCATCATAATTGCCGGCTTATTTATTTTTAACGCATTTGAAATTATTTAATAGACAATTTTTTTTCAAGTGCCGGGTACTTTTCTTTTATTTATTTTCACGTATTTTCGGTGGTTTGTTTCGTTTTTACGCTATGTGACGATGACATATACTTGTTATATATGTTCGATTTTAACGGAAAACAGTAAATTAAGGGGCACCTATACAATAATAATACTCTATACCTAAATAAATTTTGACATTTTAAAACAGCTTCCACCAACTGGTAAAATTAAAACTAGAACAATAACAATATATTATAAGAAATACTGTTTAAATTTTTTATCCTTATCTGTTATTATTATGGCTGTATTATGCAACAATTTATGCATTAATTCAGATAATACTCGTAATGTTTACTATTTTATGTTGGTACTACGCGTAATTACTAAATTTCGTTTTTACCCTACAAAATAACTTCTATTTTACCTTTTTTTTTTTATCATATATATATGTACAACAAATGAAAGTCCAATAAAAAATAAATAAATAAACGAGACCCTTCGAATCCTCGAATGTTATGAAAAACAGAATTAAATAATATTATAAATACACATTATTACAAATTGATATCGAAATATCATACGACTTTTAAGTTTTTATAATTATTTAGACAAACCAATGGCACACATTATACAGACATTAGGTGCAGTGTTTCAGTGTTTATCTGGAGTAGTTCATATAATACGGCATATGGCTTAAAATGTTATCGTTTTGAATGTTTTAATAACCGGATCACACAAATTATTATTATTATGTCTTGTTTTATGTCAACAGTTAAATAATTATATTTAAAAAATTTAAATTTCCAAACTTCACCTGTTAATAATTAATATCAATATCAATATAATACGAGTATTATTATTTGTTTAATAGATACGATTACATTTGTGTAATCTAAATGTAACTAACCACTTCCGTAAACTCCGATTTTTTTCTTACATATAGACTCGTTGGACTCAATAAGAAAATTTTCCTGTATAAAATGAATTCTTCTCAAACCAATAATAATATAGTATATTATAGAATTTAACTCCGTGGATCAGATATAAGCCTTCGAATACACAGACATTTCTGCAAAACAAAAGCCTCCGTCGAATAATCAAGGCGCCATTTTATGTTTCCATCAATCATACCTCTCTAATCTTCTCTTTCTGTTAACGTTTCCACTTCCTTTCATTCAACCACCGAAATACCCTAATATATTCCAGTTATCTACTTCCAATATACCAGGTAATCTTGTCATACGTTTAAAGCGTTAACCGGTACAGAGACCCGCTAACTGACTGATCACCAGCTCACACACCATTATTATGGAATTCCATTACAACGGACGGTGCCTCAAATCATGCCAATTACTACTTATATGCACTAATAATTTATACAATTGCGCTTATTGCAAAAACTATTTACTGATTGTACAACGAAAATTATTACCTAATAATAATAATACAAATTGTACTTATTATTAAATGGTTAAAAGGTGCCAAGAGTTAGTTAGGTAAATAGGTTAGGCAGTTTTAACTAACCGTGACACATGCGGGGTAAACAAAACATCACGCACTTATAATATATGTGTTATTTTCAATGTAGTTCAATGTTATATTATTACTAGTTATTTTAATATCCATTTGCGATGAATAATATTAATACAGGTCTTATTTATTAACTGAGCGCATTTATTGTCCGTTTGGTTTACGATTGTAAACGTACGCGTGCGCAGGTCATCTTGGAAAGGGAGGCAACAATATTTAAAATCAAATCTTACACAAAGGGCTAAAACCCACATTATATTGATTAATGATTGTACATGCTTAGTATTTACTCGGTGAGCACTTTATTTAAGGAGGCTTGTTTGAGTTTTTGGGAGTGGGGGGATTTTAAATCCTTCCCTATTTGCATTAATACACAAAATTCGGGATACTACGTAAAGGTTTAATATTTAAAAAAAAATGTGTATCAAACATGTTTTTTAAAAATATGTAAACGGAAAACCTCGTAGGGAAGGCAGTAGCCTCTCCTGCCTTCCTCGCGCGCACGCTTATGATTGTAGATACTTGCATATCTTGTAATATCATGTTACCGAATGGTTAAGATATTTCTATATAAACCATACTATAAATAATGTTTCACATAATACTTCATACTTTTGGAGTAATACACTATGTTTATAAATCCTAAAAAAAAATTTATGTTGCATAATTTGCTGCACTATCAGCATTGTAAATTGTGGTTTACCTCAAGTTTTAAAAAATAAAACAGAATAGTTAATATTTTACTGATAATAAAATATGTATATTTTTTATGTTAATTTAAACAAAATAGTTATAAAAATGCCAACCAAATTTCAAAATGAGCAGTTTTTTGAGGTACAATATTAATGATAATTGATAACATAATTTTGTTAAATTGTCTAAAATATATAATTATTATTGGTTTTACTATGATTTATTAGTTCATTAGTTATGAGTTTTCGTTTTTTAACTTCTCTGCAGCTTTATTAATAATTAGGTAAAACCGAAAAAAAACATAAAATAAATATTGACAAATTTACGGCGTTTCACTTACGATTTCATGATTTTAAAATTTTTCGGCTTATGTTTTCTACCATAAAAATATAAATAATATTATGAATATTACTCCAATAGAAAAACAACAAGAGATTTTTTTTTTGTTGAGTTTTTAATCTAGTTGGTGACCAAGAAAATTGTTTTTGGAAAAACTTTGTACAACAGAAAATGTATACTTACTTTTTCTAGATGTGGTAATAGATATGGTAATGATTATTTTTTTAGCTTTTTATAAATAAAAATTTAAATTTAAATTTGTGAGTTTTTTGTGATTTTTATTTGGTAGGTAATTTGTAGATAAATTTTTAGACTTAACAGAAATGCTTGATAATTTGTTAGGAGGTTCATTATAAGTCGTACTTAGTGGCCAAAAAAAAAAAGTTTAATGTAATATTTATTTATCTTTTTTTTTTTTGAGTTTCAAAATCAAATTTTGATGAAAATCGTAAATATTACGCAACATCAGTATCAGCTCTTTTTTAATTAATTTATTCTGAAACTCAATTTTAATATACCTATGTAGAACATATTTACACACATTTTACGACATTGGACTGACGGTTTATTAATTGTAATAATACCTACGTAATAGGGTTTTAAGTACTTATCCGAGATTTAAAATAAAAGAAAATGATGGATGGGGATCTTAATTTATTTAATTATTTTTTAAGACAACCCTTCTACTTATCCGATCCAAAGTTAATATAATTAAAATAAAATATACAAACCGTTTATCTGATATTATACAAACTAAAAAACAAAATATACTTTTTTTTTGGACTTTGAATTACGTTATACATTTTATTTCACATCGGAAAAATCTAAAATTCTATATTATGCTGCAGTTTATGTTTACAGTAAGGTTGAAATAGCAATTTATGATATTCTATTATGTGTATAAAACATACATTTCTCGGGAGTTTATTGGAAGATATTACTGTTAATGTTTCCGTTTCTAAAGCATTCCTATATGATTTGATATATATATATATATTAAATAAATGTATTTATAAGGATTTTACTATTTCTTTTAGATTCTGAGTGTAGCAAAGAATGAATTGGTTTTACAAAGATGTTTATTTATTCATTTTTTTTTTTTTTTATGTGAACCCTTTTCCTACTAGAAAACTTACTCCGATGTAAACGATATAACCTTTTTCTGAAAGGAAATTTTCTTGAGGTGGTACTTTAAGGAGGTCATTTTTTTTTGATTTTCCTAGAAATTTTCCCTATAGAAAGGAAAAAGTGATAAAAAACGGGAAATTGTACGAAATGTAGGTATTACTTAAAAAATATTCCGGCCTTCTTTTTTCCTGTGGACAATTTTACTACCAGCGATTTTGCTCCGATTAAGTACCAATGATAGCACTTTTTCTAAAAGGAAACCTGACTGGGAATGTACTTTAGGGAAATTAGTTTTTGATTTTCCTAAGAGTTTTCTCAACAAATGGGAAAAACCGGGAAAATCGGTACAATGTTGAACAAATATTATTAAAGAAAATATATAATGCCTATTTAATTATTTTAATTAATATGATACGCCATAATTATTGTTGACAAAGCATCACTATCAACTGAACTCCTCTCAGAATCGTTTTTATTAAGCGATGGCTTATATTTGCTTACAGATAGAAATTAATTTTCCTTCTACATCCTACCTTCCCAACTTCTTACCAACAACAATGGCTGACCTAATCCATCGTGCAAAGTATGTCCGTCTTTTTTTTTTTGTTGGTATAGATTCTATTTCAAAATACGTATTCATTATGAATGTTTATACATGTAATGTTATGCGATGTTTTTGTTTTTTATCGCAACTAATATATCAAAACTCTGTATAGTAAAATCATTTGATTCTTAAAAGGTTAACGAAAAAAAATTTATTTAAATTTAAATTTTTTAAATTAATTCACGTTAGTTTAGGTAGTTAAGTCTTATCATGTTTATTTAAAATAATATACCTATATTATATTTTGTTTGTTTTGTAGAACGCACACCAGGTATACCTATTTCAATAAGAAAATTATTAGTTTATTAAATTTCAATTGATTAAATATTGAACTTTAATGTCGAACAGAATATAAATATTTTCTCTTAAAACGTTTGTACATTTTGAGTACAATTGGAAACTATTGTTTAACTTACGAATAAGCTTCGACGTGCCCGTTACTCGTTTCATGTTTACTCTTAAAAATACATTTTAGATCCATTAAACTGACGTATCTATTTGGGAATTTTACATGACTCTATAGCAAAAATATATTTCGTGCATCGATTGTTCAACTATAGCCATACAATTGTATAACAGTTTCGTCATAACGACAATTATAAATTAAAAACATTACAATTTATATACTTAATATTAATGAAATGTTATTGATTCGTATGTCTTGATATTATTGCTGATACGTGCGTGCACACTGTGCAGTATTTTAATGAATAGTTTTATATCCATAACGCAATATTCTAATACTTTTGGAATGTATTTTTTCTCCGTGCTAAAAAGTTACACATAAAAATTACATAACTTTTAAAAATCTAAATAATATAATCTACGAATTAAAATTAACAATAGGCATTCGTCACAAATTGTAATCTATTTTTTAGTGATTAAAAACAATATTCAGAATACGTGTTTGATTTTATTTGTAAATAAGTACAAAATAGTATTATTTGAACAATATATTTATTATGGTATCTACAAAACATTGTATATTATGAACTACTGATAATTATATTTCTATAATCGATAATAGATATTTCGACGTTAAATATTCGTGAATATTTATTAAGTTATTATATTCAATTTTCATAAATTCAAAAGTACTTTAATTTTTTTTTTTTAATTAAGCGTTTTTCATTTTGTTCAGAATTGAATCACCACTTCGTGTACTTGAAATAATAAACAAAACGTTATCGCGTTTACCCAATAATTTATTATTTAAGACAGACTTATTGATTTTATTGTGCAAACTTCAATAATATCATTAGGTTTTTTCGTATATATATAATATATACATACGAGTTGGAAGTACTTACTAATATTCGGTGAGTAAATCGTAAACAATGTCGTATTATATTATCTGTAGAGCCTATGTGGCGTTTTCAATGGCCGCATGTTGTTTCTTCTCTATATGTTGCGCAACTGTATGTAGTGTATAAGTATATCCAGTGTGATTTTTGTGACATTTTGGGGACTAAAAATTGACAGCCTTACAATTTCGCCGTTGTTCGTTCAGTATGGTTCGAAACTTTATGTCTCCAACTTTGATACGAAATATGTTATCCATATATTTACCATTGTTATAGGAATTTATTTATTTACTTACCCATTAATTGTTTTACTGTTTCGTATCTTTTTCTCTTTTTTATTTATACTTTCATTTTTATTATATTTTCAGTTATTACTATTTTTACATTAAGAATGCTACAAGTATTTTTACATGCCATACGCTATATTATTATTATTATTATTATTATTAGATTGTTATTATATCTCGTGTTTATTATTTCGACCTTGGGACGAGTATAAGTATATGTATTTAAAATAATATGTCGCGCACACCAGAGACTTCCTGCTTCCATCTCGCGGTCCACATCACGATCATCGAACGATTATTGTTACCTACTATACCTACTATATCATTGTTGTTATGGGTCTGCCGCCGCCACCGCTGCTGCTGCTGCTGCTGCTTTACAGCAATGTTTAACCCGATTAATCTTGCGGTCATCAATCTCCTTTTGCAGTTCCCGATCGTGTGTGCGCGTGCGTTTTTTTTTATATACCTTCCTATGTCTAATAATAATATCGATATTATGTATATATATTTATAAATACGGACCAGAGCGGACACGCGGTGTTGAGAGACGTAATGATTGTTTCAAGGTCACTGTATCGCGACCGGATACGCCTGCGGTGGCGGCGACGACGACAGTGTCCAGTGACCAGAAAAAAAAAAAACTTATATATTATACCCTTTCATAATATTACGAAATATATAATATAATACCAATATATTAACATATAATCTCAGTCCAAAGGTATATGCGCGTGCTGCTGCGTGCAGACGACGATGGTTCGTAAAAATCTGAGGTAAACCCCCTGTTCCTCGTCCAAGACCTGCTTGAACTCCATATAATATATTAGGTGGGTAACTCGACTATAACGAATCGTTTTTTACATGTATTATTATTATTATTATTATAATACTACGTGCGTACCGTCTATGTACCGCGCAAAGGGTTTTTTCCCCCAGTTTTAATTTTTTTTTTTTTATCGAATTTCAACACTAGGTATACGTATAATATTATTTGAACATGCGATTCGTCACGTTCGATGAACGCACCACGTGGCCTTATAATAGGTACGACTTTCGTTAAACGCTTAATATAATGTTCCAGAACATTAGGAAACTGAATTGACGAAACGTATTGAAAATAAAATGACCAGAATCTAGAAAACCAGTAAGTATAGTTTTCCAGAAAGTGATATCTGTAATAGTGATGGTGTTAGTTTTAGCCCTGCTCACCTGATAAGGAAAAAAAAATCATAGAACATAATACTTTCAAATATTCCGATATTTCTTCATTTGAGAATTTCGGCCACTTCCACGCTCGTTTATGTCGGGGATCTATCGAATAATAACTCTCTGTTTATTATGCATAATCACGTCGGGTAGGTCAGACGAAAAAATATTATATTAAAAATGTGATATTTATATTACTTTTTGGAAAATTTCTTTCTGTGATTGAAATTTCTGGCTATCATATTTTTAGCTTGGTTTACTTTCTGGAATTCGAATTTTCTGGTCAATATTATTTTCTGTAAAATTCCCATTGTTTCAGCGACAGGGTGTTGTATATAATACTATAATATACTCAGCATATATAGGTATACATATAAGTATATAGGATAGATGGATCTCTATATCTCTATATGTATAGTCAACTTGCGTCTACATTGACCTAAATTATAAATAAGATGTGTTATATGGCCCAACATATCTAAAATGCATTTGACATTCAAACCAAAATAAAAATATATAATATATACCATCGCGGGTAGTAAAAAATATATAAAGTCGTAGATACATATTATTTATATATTTTTTAAAACCCATTTATTCTAAAATGATAATTATTTTTTCTATACGTAATAAATAGGAATTTGTCACATTTGTGACATTTTTATATTTTTATCGTTCGACATCTATAATATATTATAACATCTTATTTGTTCGTAACTCTATAATCTATTCGTAAACTTCGATATTTGTATACGTCCATTAAATCGCAATAAAGTTTTGATTTAATTGGACAATATGACAAATCCTTAATTTGTTTAAATTATATATTATATAATATAATATCCATTACAGGTATCGATTTATCGATATTGATAATATTATTGCATATACGTATTATGTATTGGTGCGCTATTGAGCTATTGATAATTTTTAACCGATTCGATGGGGTCGAAGCGTGGTAGTGGTCTGTGGGCTGTGACTGATGTTTGATGTGTGAACGAAATACCGATCCTCGAATAATATAATAATAATAATAATAACACAAATAAAACGAGGATTATTTTGTCATCGTGTTTGTACGTATTGTTATAATACCTCCCACTCAAACGTATATGACTTTTTTTTTATCAAACCTTTAATAAAACATTAAGTGAAAAAAAAATAATACCTAGCATCGCCGTGGAACTAATCTACTGCGCGTACACAGTCTAATTCGCATGCAGTCGCAATTTATATTATTCTTTTTAATATTATAGTAAATTCTTTCAAAGATAAACACGTGAGATTAATAACAGCCTTCAGATGTAATCAAATTATATAGGAGCTGTAATGGCAACGAAAGAAATAGACAAAAAAAAAAAAAAAATACAAGTTACAAACTATAGTGATAATATTACTATTATAACCGACCACTGTAATATAATATTATTATGTTCTGCACTTCTACAGTATAGTTCTGTTTAATAATACAAGTTTTGTACTGCCGCTACCAAATTATAAATATAGAATACAATATAATGTATCTTATGTATCCGTTATTGTCATATATTTTATACAAGTTTTATGATTTATAGCAGTTTATATGCTCCGTTTATTTTTAAAATAATGTTTAATAGTGAAATATTGATTATTTAACTGAAGTTGTTTTGATATATGCATTTCAATACTATAATATGGCAGTTTTGTTTGTTGTGTAAAAAAAGAAAAATTTTATATTCCGAGTATAGTGAAGAAGCTGTATCAATAGTTTTACTAAGATGTGTTTCCCCCCCTCCTCGAATACATTTTTTTTTGATCAGTAAAAATGATCCAAATTATTTACGTATTCTTCGTAAGTATTTAAAAACATGTATTAGTACATAGTTTGAAAATTTACCTTACGGATTCGTGATAGTTTTTTTAAGAAGTATTAAAAAAACAAAAAATTACAATCATTGGCTATGGTTTCTGTTGATTTCTGGGTTACCTTTAGGCTACACTACCAGCAGCGTTGTCTATGTTCTTTATTTATTTATCGAGGAAAATATGAAAAAATTACCGTATCAGGAACATTATTACCGTACTTATTATTGTAATCTTGGAGATGAGCTGATATTCTGATAAAACCCAATTTTTAAGATTTTCTTAAAATTTTAAGTTTCAGTTATTTTATTTTTTTCTTGTTTAATTTGTCTCCATATGAAGTGGAAATTTCCCGCAATTCTCCGATAAAATTATGTTGAAAATCTGGTTGGAAATAACATTACTTACCAGTTTCCTGAGTTCCTCTCAGTACCGTATAAGTTAATAAAAAATAAGTTCGATGTAATTTCTTTAATAGTTATACCTAATCGTCTATCGTAAAATAATAATAATAATAACAATAAAAAAAAAAACATTTATTTCATATATATATATATATATATATATATGTATGTATGTATCGTAGTTTATTAATATCGATCAATAGAAAATTCGAGATTTAAAAAATAAAATGTTTCGTTTCAGGATACCTAACTTATATGTAATGTACCTAATGCAATATATAATATACCTACATATAATAATGTCTATAAAATATTTTTCCTTTTTTAGTTATTATTTGTTTATATAATAATTGCCTGCCTAATTTGCATACAATAAAATCACCGCTAATAAGTTACCTCGTAGGTATATTTTTCAACATTAAGTAGATATATTATACATAAATATTATCAGGATAATTATTACTGTTAAGAACGTTTTTCGCATTATATTTCATATTTACGTACGCACTATATTATAATAATTAATATTTGTAGAAATAATAATACACAATATTATATTAAGTCTTCTGGTCACGAACTGCAATTTAAATTTATTCGACCAATCCAGAAATATATATAAAATAAATATATAATTAAAAACTTTAGGTCCTTACATATTTGAATGGGTATACGTAACTATAACCGTAATTTTCGACCATCATAGTGTTATATTATTTTATCCACACCATGAAAATGTCGAGTAATTATATCCAATATTTAAGTCAATGTGTGCGGGGAATATTAATTATGACGGTTTAATTTTTAAATTTTTTTTTTCAGATTCTCCTTCGTAAATACGAAACAAGAAAAATCGAATTTCAATCATCGTATGACGTAGGTGAGCAATCTATGTTTATAATATATTTAATGGTTTCATATATTGTATGTATGCATATATCGATCAATCAATATAGTATATAAAAGTAGATACGTTCAGTATTAACTGTTGAATAATAACCGGGCAACACCGTGAGCAACTACTTATTATTCGCATTTTAAATTATATGCAATCGTTATTAATGTATATAGTTATGGCGAATAATTAATTTTATATTCTGTGGACATATTTTTTACCGTTGATGTAAATATTATAGTATACAAGTTGTATTTTTTGAGGTGTAATAATAATTGTTTTCCTCAACGGTCGCATGTCAATATATCCTTGGTACCAGAGAAGAAGGGCTTTGATCTCGATTTTGTATAGTTTTTAATGCAAGCTAATTAAACTTTGATAATTTTTGAAAATGACTTAATGTCGTAATTGTATATAATTATATGACTTATATCTATTTGTCAAACAAAAATTACATCATGTAATGACTTGAGATATTTTAAGGTTCAGCATCTATAACATGCGTCTGACATACACTTATGAAATTTAGACGAACAAATAAAAGGAGGAAAAATTGGCATAAGTAAAAATATTATAAAAAAAATTGACTTGAGATCTCCTTCTCTGGGACCAAAAATATACAGTTGTAATTCACGATTATATTTGTCATAGTTATGGTAACAAATTTTACCATTGAAGTACATGGAAGTTATCACTGGAGATGTATTAATAATAATATTGTTTTCCTCGGAGTTATTATATTAAGGTTGTATGCGTATAATGGCCTATTTTTTTGTACCATGATTCAGCGATTTCCTCGAAATATTTTAAGTAAATTTGATTTCTGTATTTTTTCTCCTTCCAATCGTTATAATACGGATATCAAAAATAAGAAAAAAAACACATTATATTTTAAACTTGAAGGTTTCCAGGGTACGAAATATTCATTTTAGACGTTATGATTTGTATCAACGTGATGTATATATTATAATCGCTAGCTAAGAACAAAAAACAGACATCGCACAACTGATGCACTCTTTATATTCATTGTTGTTTTAACTGGCCGCTATTTATATTCTAATATGATGTATATGTAAATACAATTACTCGAGATCGTAATTATAACATATAGATCCACCATTGTTCCGAAACTGTTTTACATACTCGTATTATCGAAATACATATACCGGAAATATATTATAAGGAAAATGAAATATCTTATATAAGATTAGAATATTATTAGCGTCGGAGTTATTACAGTCGGCAATTTATTTTTATACGCGTACGCGTAAACGTTTTGTACATTGATAAGATTTTTCTATGCAGATTAAAAAAAAAAATCCTTTTTACTGACTCTGACTCTCTCTCTCTCTCTCTCTCTCTCTTTCTCTCTCTCTCTCTCTTTTTCGTCTATTTCGCCTGTACTCGTATTCGCAGCAGTATAAATATTTTTCAGTCGATATAGCCCCGCAGTTCAAGAGGTATAGCTAGGGTACCTATCCGAAATTGGAATTTCGCTTTTTTGCTCCAAAATATCAGTAAAACAAAATCGTGTCCCTATTAGTGTGATGGTAGATACCGATCTGTAAACAAAAAAATTACATTTGAACTTAAGGGTGTTGGTTTTTTTTTAAACCTTTAATTTCCAAAAACATACATAAAAAAGCTCGTAACTATCCAATTACATTTCGCGAATGACGCGATTATTTCGTTTGGAAATATTTTACGGATTTCGGATTTCAAAGCATTACCTATATAATAGCTACTACTATATATACAGGGAAATGATGCTGAGTTTTTTTTTTTTTTTTTATTATTCACATCCGACCATTTTCTAGTGCGTATAGTATACAACGGCTCTCAGGGGACTATTGAGAACGATATATATATATAATATATATAGGAGGAGAGAGAGAAAGAAAGAAAACGTTTACGACCTGTTTGCCGTTCACGGGTAATCGTGTCAACGCACTCCATGCCAATGCTGCTGCTATTAAAATAATAATTTTAAAAAAATTGTCAAACATTTCTGCCAAGTCAATACAATTTAATCCGCATAAAATTTAAAAACAAAACAATTTTTTAAATAGCGAAAAAAAAATCGCTAGAATGTTTTGAAATTTTACCACATCTAGAAAGAGTTTGCGTAAGACATTTTTGTGGAAATTTCAGATCTATATACGATTATTTTTAACCGAATTACAATAAAAAAGGAAAAAAAAGGACAGACACACTTCGCATGTGGATGCAGTCACTGTTGTTAAAAGTTAGGAAGGTAGTATACAGACGGGAATTCAATAAATCTGTAAGCAACGATAAACCATTGAAAAAATTGATTCTGAGCGGAGATTCCGTGACAAAAATTATAATTTAAAATAATTAAAACTTAATAATAACAAAAAATAAATTTAAATGGTTCCCAATGACATCCTTATTTTTAATCTTTTTATCTTTTTTAACCCAAAGAACCGGGTTTTCGTCGTTATCTTGAATACTAATGAGAGTGTCAAAAAATAACCTCTTTAAAGTACCACCCAGAGAACATTTCCTTTCAAAAAAGGTGCTATACTAGATGATCGGAGTAAGCTTTCTAGTAGAAAAAGTGTTTACATAAAAAAAAAAAATAATAAAGATCATTATTAAAACAAATACATTCTTCACTGCTCTCAGAATCTAAAACAATATCGATAGGAATTTCCTGATTTTCCACCTTTTTTTTCCTGATGTTCAAAAAACTTTTAACAAAATCGAAAAATAAAAATTAGAAAAAGTAGTATATTTTTGGAACAAGATTTCTAGTAGAAAAGTTGTTTATAGATATAAAAAAAAAATTCTCGTATATTGCAGTATAACCAATACACATTTATCATTGCACACAGAATGGTACAGTATTTTAAATACGGTACCGGATGTGATTATACATGACAGTCATATATGAATATAATATTATTATGTCGGTGAAAATTGAATTGATAAGAATACGTCGATTTAGTTCCTAATTTTTTCTTTTTTTTTATCGTTCCGTTTACAATAATATTTATATTAGATGGCTTTTGTTAGTCAATATATTAACGCGATTAAAAAATAATCAAAATAGCATATATTTTTACATATTAAAAAAAAAAAAAAAATGATAATGATATAAAAAAAATATAATATACTAAATGCGTAAAACGCATAGATAGTAATTTATGATGTTTGACGTTTTTTTACTCTAGCTGTTATATTTCTAAATTATCTCGGAGCTGTCAATTATAATATCATATTATAGTGCTAAAAAAATAACACTAAATATACACTATACTATGGGTTGCTAAACTTTTCCAAGTAGTGAGCAACATTCAACATTTTAAGTCTTGACTTAGAACAAGATGATCGATATTATCTATTTATTTAGGTTTTGGGAATATTATTTATATTTTTGAATACATTCAGTGTAGAGTAAGTGTACATCGTACATTATGTAAATATATATTCTCTTAAAGTTCATTTTAATAATACGTGAAGAATCGGTACACACTTTTTTGTTATCTTACGATAGTTGACATTGATTCTTTGCAAGTTTTGAGAATTTTGGCGTATAATTAGACATAGCTGTTCGTAAACTTGAATTTCAATGTCATTAATTGATTGTCATTAAAATGTTCATTATTGACCAATATTTGATGTATTTTAATTCGGAAATGCTAAATTACCTACCTAAGTTGAACCAAAAAATTAAGTTAAACGAGCAATATCTCATAGATTTGTCTATTTTTGAGTACTTTTATGCTTCGAAAATTTCAATGAATCATAAGTGCTGAAGATTTCAAAAACAATATTTTACTATCTGATTATTTACAACGCGATCGATCGATGACGGAAAAATTATTTTTTATTACGATCGACCAATGTTCCCAGAAAGATTGACCAATCATCACGATCAATTGGTTGGCAACTTCTGTATTTTATGATTCTAAGTTAGAACTTTTAACCAATCGCCGTTATGAATTCATAATAATATTATTATTCGACGTAAAATTGTAGAGCTGCTTGTTTCTTAAATATTCTATAAAACAAATCCTGAAAAAAGTTAATATTTTTCGAGATAATAAGTGTACCTACTTAATTGGATCACCTTGTATAATGTATTCATGGTTTTTTTTTTAATATATATATTTTTATTACTTACCTACTTTTATAATTATATAATAATAATAATGATTAAAGTTACACCCTGGGTTTTGTTTTGTTTTACCTAAACCTTTTAGTATATATTATAATAACATTGCTGTGTGATTAATGATGAAAGTTGCATATTAGATAATATATGCACTATCTTATATATGAAAAAAAAAATTAAAAAAAAAACTACAACAACATCAAACTATGTTTTAGTTTTTCGTATAATAGAATCCAACAGTGTTGTTTTACGCACTAAACAACCGAGAGTACATGCAGCATAATATGTGGTTTAAAACGTGGTACAACTCATATATTATAATGATATTACGTATAGTTTATTATTTTAATATATGCATATTATCATGAGTGGCGGCGGTTAACTGCGTTTTATCCGCGAGAAAACACAACTTTTTTGACCCGAGTTGTCTCTAATATTATTCACGGAGAATGCGCGAGTTAAAGAAAAAGGCCTAAGACTGCTAACGAATGTGCCACTGCTGTATAGTTGGGAAATTGAGATATATTTCGTTTTTGTTTTTTTCTCGGCCTTTAAGACCGTATTGCCGAAAAGTCTTTTCCAGTCTTATATATTCATTGCCGCCTCATTTCAGTCCTAATCGTCTTGATACTCAACTAAATATTTGAAAATTCCTGCTTAATACAATCTTCCCATTTTCTGTCTCCGGGATTAATATACCTTTTTACTCATGGATTCTTGTTTCTTCATATTCTAGATTTTTTCTTTATATTTCGTTCGCTATTTCTGTTAGTTTGAACAATTCTTCTAACTATTGGGTCTTTTATCAAAAAGATAATCTTGGTTGTTTTTTTAATTTTATGGGTCTTGTACTCTGATCAAAACATGGCTTAGTTGGGATGCATAGAGTTTTTCAATTTATATTATCTGTAAGCAACGGCAGGTAAATTATTTCGGTAACGAAAAACGATTATGAAATTCCTTCTTAAATACGTTTTTAAATGTCGTGATTTTACTAGTTTCGTTTATATTTGACCCTTAAACTATTTGGTTATTAATTTTCAATACTTCTTATGAGTTTTACTGATCACGTGTTGACGTATATTGTAATTACGTGAATTGAGTAAGTACTCTATAACATTATAATGCAAATTATGGTCTTGATAAAAAAAAAGAAAATGAAATTTATGGATTTAATCTTGTTTTATTTATCTCACGAAAATTAAGATATTTTTCGTATATTTTGTTAAAATATATTTGACAATCGAAATCCTTTTTTAAAATTAAACCCCAAAATCCATAGTTTTGTCTAGATTTTCGGTCCGAATATCACTTTTCAACGAAAATTAAATAAATAGTACGGATTTATAATAGGTTTTTTCTATAGACATTCCTGAGTCTGTGCAAAATGTGATATAAATTGTTGTCGATTAGGAATTATGCAGTTTTATTAAAGAAAAATGACAGCTCATCTGTTTTAATTCGAATATTACCAGCTGTGACTATCACCCGGGATTGAGAACCAATTCGTATGCTTAATGACGGACACTTTCGAGTTCCGAATAGTTTATACTTTTAACTATCGATAGTTTTCGATAATTTGGTTGAATTTTCGGATATTTTATTTGAACGTTTTAGATTCTGAACGAAGCGAGGAATGTATTAGTTATACAATGATGTTTATTTATTATTATTTTTTTATTTTCTGCAAACAATTTTTTTATTAGAAATTTTGCTCTGATGTATCAACTGTAGTACTTTTTCTGAAAGGAAATTTTATCTGGATTGTACGTTAGGCATGCCATTTTTTTATCAAACGGTTTTCATAATTATTGGAAAAAACAAAGAAATATGGGGAAATGTACGAAATGTATTATTTTAAATTTTGTTTTTTTTTTGTGATTCAGTTAAAAATATTTGTAGATACTTGAAATTAACAGAAAAATTATATTTGTTTTTTTTAGACGTAAAAAAATTTTCAAAAAATGTTTAGCCTTATTCGAGCTATTTATAGACATTTTAATTGTGCGAGTTTTTTTACGTAATTTTTATTTAGTAGGTACTTTGTGGATTAAATTGTTAGGCCAAACAAAAATGCTTAAAATTGAATAGGAGGTTCATTATTAGTCTTAAATGATTGAAAAAAAAATTGAGCGTAATTTATAATTGTATTTTTAAAAGAATTTTTATATTAAAATTTGATGTAAATCATAAATATTATGGTCTTTCAAAACACGTATAACCAAACTCCTCTCGTAATCGATTTTCGTTAGTAATGATGAATCGTACATGCACATTAAATTCCTCTCTATATTCTTTCTTTTTAACTTCTCCCCTGCAATAGTGGTTCATCCATCGTGTGAAGTATGTCCGTTTTTTTTTCTCTGTGACCGAATAGGAAAGTAAGGATAGGAGATAATATTTTGAATGTTTTGTTGTTATCGAGAATCGAAGAATAAACTATTCACACTGAAATAGTTAATACGATTATTTCGTATTAAACACAAAATTCGGCTGGAAGGAGGGGGTTGCTTATGCATTTAGGCCTATTGGTACCCTTCTAAAACCCGCGATTATTTACACCTTTCACCCCGTCACTCGGGCATGGTTTCGCTTATTATACGCGCCCATTATTAGAATATTATATTTTGTTCGCGATCGGATCCTTCGGCCGTCGTCGACAGATAGTTCGGAAGAAATCATCTGTATACACCTGTGCCAGTTCCCTCCCGGGTGTCACGTGGGCTTCCACGAAAGTGCACCTTAAGATCGTCTGTGATAATAATACTACAGGTTTAGTGAAAGCGAGATGAATTGCCGCCGTCGTCTATGTATAGGGTCATCCATCATCCGCGGATGCTGCTGCGGGTCGAACCGTTTGTAATATTATAATATATTCTACGTATATTATTATTGTCGCCGTGGTCTTACGTCGGAAATCGACGGAGACGACGATGACGGTGGCGATGACGCCGGAAAGTCGTTTAAAACATTTTTTTTCGATTTCAGACGACGGTTAGCGTCGTTGTCCACTGAAATTTATCCGCGGCCCATCGTCCGCAGCAACATTGACATCGGCCAGCGTGTATAACACTAAGTGTATATGTGCAAAAGACGATGAAAAAAATATCGTGCATACAGGATGATCCATTCACACTAGTTATTTCGAAAAGTATTAGATATTTTCAAACAATGTTTTTTAATCACCAACATTTTGGTGTGCGAAATATAACACTAATGTTCTTCAAACAGTTTTAACTAATACTACTCCGTCTATTTATAGAATTTTTAACATATATAGGTTGCCGTTTGAAAATTGAAAAAAAGATAGTCGTTTCCTAAGCGTAAAGGTGCAAATAGGAGAATGCCGGAGGACTTGGCGTCCTCATCGAGTCCTTATCAAGTAATTACTGTAATTATAACGTATCAGTATTAATTGACACGATGAGGATTTAAGGCCCCCCCCCAAAAAAAAAAAAAATATTCGGAATAGTTGCGCCTACAATATGCAATTTGAAATCGTCGAAAACATTCGAATTATCGCGGGTAGCCACTATCTTAAACGGACGATCGCTCTGTATAATATGGAATTTCAAAAAAAAAAAAAATAAATAAATAAAAAATACATAACTTATCGTCGATCACGCGACGTTTTCGAATGTATACATACACCCGCAACCGCGTATAGGATACCGGCGCGATCGTTCTTAGCTTTTTAGGCTGATCACCCACCCACCCTCCACTCCCCCTATCACCCGTTCACAATACGCGGTACACAAAGAGCCCGGGGTCTTGCCGCGGACATTTTTCCGCCCCGTATGGCCGTCCGCGACGATCATTTATATCGTCGTCGAGGGTTTCCGCGCCAATAATACCTGCGGCCGCGTACCCGTGTATTACAATTGTACGCGCGTACAATACAACGCGCGTATTCTTCGCCGCGGCGAGTCCCGCGCACTCCGATAGCGATCGATAATCGTGACTTATCTACCGCCCGTGTGCGATCACGGAGGAGCCCGTCGTCGTCGCGGCCGTCGTGTCGTTCCCACGCGACTCGCCGACTCGCCACGATTCGCCGCCGCCGCCGCCGTGATACGCTCGCGCGAAACATACCCGAATGCGTTTTGTTGCGGTCGCCGCGTATACCTACGACCTGCCTGCTTGCCTGCCTGTCTGCCTGTCTGTCTGCCTGCCTGCCTACGGTCATCGCCGTCGCAATCATCACATGCCTAGACGTCCGCGAATTTTCGCGGCGGCCGGTCGTGATCCCGACGACGGGTTTCAGACGTTACCCGTATTTTGTAGCCAACAGACGCAATACGAACGTTAACGTATTGTAGGCACATTATAAAACCGCATCATCCGACCGCACGCCAGCGCGTCTACCATTGTTACAGCCGCTGCATACCAACAATTGAGTCGCGTTGCCCGAACGGGGAAAAAATATTATACTAATCGAGTCCCGGGTACAAATCAAATATCGTTGTTTTATCAAGTTCAGGCGTGTAAAAAATATTTACACTAATATACATACTTAAAAAAAAATAAATAGTAAGTTTTGAAATGTCGCTCCTCATATAATATCCGCATAATATCAGAACTTCAAAAAGCTAGAATTTCGAAACCAAGTCAGTCCGATTAATTCTGACTATATCATCGTTATTAAATCGATAAAAAAAAATACTACATTAAGTTCAAATTTTCTTTTTGACCACAAAGAACCTCCTGCTAAATGTTCAAGATTTCTGTTTAGTCTAACAATTTTACCACAGAGTACACACCGAATACAAATTACGCACAAAACACGCAAAGTTAAAATGTCTATAAATACCTCAAAAGTGGCTCAAATATTTTGAAATTTTTTCATATCTAGAAAAAGCAAATTTAAGTTTCCTGTCCAAATTTCAAGTCTCTATGAATAATTTAAACTGAATTACAGTCAAAAACAAAATTTAAAATAATAAAAGCATTATTTTCTTATGTTTTATCCTGGATTTTCCAAGATATTAAGAAAACCGTTTGGAAAATCAAAAAATGACCTTCTTAAAGTACCAGACAAAATTTCTTTTTAGAAATGGTGCCATATTTAAATATCGGAGCATGATGTCTGGTAGAAATTGTTGTCACGGTACCTGGTGATCCATTTAAGGTGGGTACACCTATTATCTCGGAAAGTATTGACTTTTTCTGGAATTTGTTTTCTAGAACATTTAAGAAATAAACATCTCTATAATATTATGTTTATGTTAATTTTTGTTCCCCTTATTTTGGGGGTGGAACCACTCACTACCTACTTTTGATTTTCAAATGACCACCTAGTGTATGAAATCTTTGATTTCTGTTAAGCAGTTGACGAGATATTCCACTTTAAAGTTTAGGTTGGAGAAGAGTAGTGGAGTAGATCATATATGTGGCGGTACGCCGTGTTAATAATCGGATGGATCTCCCGGTACTAACCGAGTCCGCGGTTATTAAACCAAAAATATACTAATATTGAATCCGAGAATTATTTTGAGTAAAATATAAAATCAACCATAATACGTGTATGAATATATAGAGACGACTACGTGATATTCTTCATATTATCGCCCTTAGGACTTTCGTCAGATAATATGCAGTTCTATATTTCAGTTCGTATGCAGCCATTCTAATAACATCATTTTTGACGCACGGTCCGATACGTGACTTTTTTTTCATGAAAATAATAAATTATTATATTGTTATAAATTGTTATTACTCGACGTGGACTTATTGAAATTTAAAACTATGATTTTTTTTTTCGTTTTACATACACGCACGGAAAAGTATATTACGTTTTAGGGCTGGATACGATTTCGTTTATTCTGATCGTTTTTCGATTCGATTTATCGTCGGTCATGGCGTTTAAACTAAAAATCACCCCGTCTCATTCTGTGCCGACTTTAAACAACTTTCCGGCTACAACGGTACCAATAACGCACCAAGTACCTACCTAAGGGCGGCTTTTTTTCTTCGAGTTTTCGAATCGTATGCTATTATTATTTTGAACTCTTATTTATTTAAATCGCATACGCGTAATAACACGTGTAGTATTTTATTGTTGTGGTTTTTTACGTATACGAGTACATAAATTATGATAATTATAGCGGTGATAATATAGCGTCTGCGACCGGAGTTGTGTACATAAACCACGGCTGTCTCGCTCGTTGTAATACGGATGAAAACATTCTATAAGTGGCATTATAAACGTTGTATTATTTCGTTATCGGAACCGTGTAATATATTATGCGACCTGACCGGCCTACGCGTTTCGATTACTATAATCTGACTGCGGGTTGACTTGGAAAGTTTTCATTCCGAGACAACAACAATATAATACATCGTGGGTACGAAGAAGCTTCAGGCGGCCGGCCGGTTGTGATTCTGCGGCAACGCAGATGACGGGCAAACCGGTTTAACGGTCGTAGACGGGTACGTTTTTTTTTTTTTTTTTTTTTTTTTTGTCGAGGAGGACGAGGATGAAGAAGTGGAATAGGGTATTTAAAAAACGAGTAGGTAATACGTACCTTTAGGCCAGTATATATTATTATAATATTATTGTAGAACAGCGAGAGAGTCTGGTACCTATACAATTTTATATTATATTACCGCAGGTACATCGGTTGCGAGTGGAACGTACTCGGAGAGACTTTCCCCGCGCCCTGTGTCAAAGATACGCGTTGTTGCATTTTTTTATTATTATTTTTTTTTTTTAAATTTCATCGAAGACGACCACACGGCAACTTATGTGTGTGTGTGCGTGTGTGTGTGTGTGTGTGTTTGTGTGTGTGCGTGTGACCATGTGGTACAAGGTTGTCGCGTTGTTGTCCCGGACGCCCGATCCGATTTGTTTTTGCATCTGTAATAATGTGACTTTCGTTTTTTTTCCTTTTTCTTCTTTAATAGAGTTATAATAAAATATTATAACAGTGACTAATATAATATATACCTATGTTATGGAAATGCCAAACAAATATTAAATACGTAGAGCGTACTAAATTGTGTATACCTATATCGTATTGATATATTAAATATTTTATTTCACGACGAGTAAGACTGCGAAGTGTGTCTAAACATCTACAGCAGTTTGTTATATTCAAATTATTATTTTCCGACGACGGCTTATCTTTTACGAAACCGGTCAGGATAACTCCGTGTTCAATAATATACGCACCGTCGTCACGGCTTTGCTTTATTTTTCGTATCGTAATGTAATATATTTATTTATATTATGTTTATTTATCATTCCCCCCCCCCCCCCNCCCCCCCCGTAACGAGTATTTTTTTTCGCAACACACATGCATTAAAAAAAAAAAAAACATATTTCTTCACCGTTGTATTATTATATTTTAACAAATAATTAGTTAACCAACGAGGAAATATCATGAAATCATCTTGAGTTGAATAATTATTGCGTGCGAGTGAGTTTGTTATTGCCGTAAAATACTACGTTTAAAAAGCTAAACGTACAAACGTACAGTTCGTATCATGGGTTGGCCACTATTATAAGTGGGAAGCTCGTCGGATTATTTGTAAGTTTTAGGATGTAGAACAATATTTAGTTTACACATATTAAAATCAACGATAAATCATTGTTGCAGTAAAAAAAAACCGATCTAGAGTGGAGTTCAGTAAACCGGTATGATATTTTACTATGATCGTGCTTTTCCACCTTGTAGCCAAGGTAACTAAAATCGACAAAAATAAAGCCGATGAATCATCGTTTATCTTTATTTTTTTTTTTTTTTTAGATAAATTATTTTGAAATCCAATCGAAAATCATCATCTTTTCAAATATGACACGAACAAATATTGGCAAAGTAATAAACTTGTCTTATATGTATAGACATATAACATCGATAACAATTTATTATTTAGGAATTTTTCAAATCAAATCACAAAGTCTAATTATTTTATTTGCATTCTCTCTGCATTTGTTGAAATCCGTTAAGGTTAACGTCAATGTTCAAAATCCTAATTGACTTCGATTCGATATAAACTCTATTGCCGGAGGTTTTTGTTAATCAAATAATACTTCAATGAAATCGGTATAGCTCTGCCAGTTATTTCCGTTTACAGTCATTTTAAATAAAGCTACTTGTCAAAAAGCAAAATAGGATGTATACCATTTATCATCTTTATTAATAATCCCTATATATAATATTATCCAGCGTATTATCCTAATTCTGATTGTCAGCATTCAACTAGCATTATGTGTACTATACTCGCATATTATTATTATAAACTGTAAAAATACTGGATAAAATATAATAAACAAAAGTTAACTTTATACAATATGTAGGTATCTGTTTCGTCTTTTGTTTTTCATATAACAGATAAATAATTATTATTATGTGTATAAAGTAAATTTTTTTTTAAAAAACACTGTAATATAGTATCAATTAATTAATTCTAAGTATTAAATCTTTTTGTAATAAAAATAACATTCAAGTCGTTTGTGTAAAATTTGATTTCTGAAATGTACGAGTAAAAAACGTCGGTGGTAAAAATAGCAGAGGAAAAAATGTTTGTAGTCAAAAATTAAAATATTGAAAGAAAAAATAATAATTTAGGATAGAAAGGATAGAATTGAAAATTGTTGCAAGATCATGAATTACCATCATAGATGTTTCAGTAGAATTATACCGTGTAAAATCATATCCTAACAAATGTCTGATATTTTGATATTATTAATTTTGCATTGAATACGAATATTAGATATATAAGATGTATACATAAAACGATACGGACTTTAAATTGTATTACTATTGGGAATGTTCAGGATCAGTTTGAGAATAGATAACGAAAATTTCATCTAGATAAGATACAGATAATTGTATATAAATTTATCTGGATTAGAAAAATATAGTTTTAACTTTTATCTAGATAATATGATAAATAAAACTAATTTGTATTATATTTAAATAACAATTTTTCTAATTTATAGCCTACGTAAATAATTATATGAATAAAATTACGGTAATATAACAATAATATAACTTTTTTTCTCTACAATGATATTGTGTAATAACTAATACTGTGTGGCGAATGATTACACGCGTCCCTGTCTTCATAAATGCGGCGATTAATCATGCAAAATATAATACATTTAAATTCGAGCTTCGCCGATTAATTACCTAGTATTTAAGCCACTTAAATGTTTTTACTATGTGACAATTTAAAATCAAGACTTAAAACTCATTTATACCCTCAACTTTAAAAAATATAATAATGTCTATAAATTGCTCATCTATTATCTATATAGTTTATATTATATAACAATAGTAATGTTATCGAAAATCTTCGAGTCAAAGTGTCGTAAAATAACGTTTTAAAGTATCAACTTTATAACATTTTTTTATTAGTACATGGGAATCTGGTAATACTATGAGTATATTTACTAACTGTATAGTATTCTGATAGAACAATTTTAGTAAAAAAAAATGAATGCGATTTAAATACAATTTATCTAGATAAGTAAATGTATCATCTAATATAACCAATAGATAAATGGAACAATAGTTGTCTAGTTAAAATAATAGATAAGTAATTTTTTATCTAGATAAGTCTCAACACTGTTTGGGATAATAATAATATACTTTTGATAGTCATGCAGCTTGTTGTGCCAGCCAATTAAGTAGGTATGTTTTGAGGCTGCACATTTTATTGTTTGTGCGGAATACTTGTTTACATTACGTTTCTTATGGTTTTCGTTTTGAATTAAATCGATCTGCCTTTTATAAGATAAATACACTTGGACAATTTCGTACAATAATAATATTATATACCGAAGCGTATAATTTACATTAAAAAAATAAAAACATCATTTTAAAGGCTATCATTTTCTCCTTCTTGGGCGGATAATAAGGATTCAAATTAAACCAAACTTTTCTTTTATTATGGGGGAAACAAATTTATTTCGCATTATACACAGTCGTTTTTATATTATTTAAACGTATACTCAAAATATTATTGACATAAACGTTGCGTAAATTTACTGCTAAGACCGTCTATTTATTTGTATAATAATCTGAGCAGATAATGACCGTCTTGTTTGCGAGTATTTACCCGTTTATAATAAAACGAACAATAATTATAAACATATATAATATTAATAATGTGTATTTAAATAAAACTTTAAATACTTTTATAACTTCTTAACTATATAATATGATGAATACACGAAAATACACCGTTAAAACGACTGAGTTAAAGTGTGCAGATTTATTATAATGTAAAGACGATAAAGCGTAAAAATAAAATGTATACATATATGTATACATATTATGTTATAAATGTATTTAACAAAAAATTGATAAAAAAATCGCAGTAGTTTAACGTAATTTACTCGATTCCAACTCTGTTCGAGTAGAAATAATATAAATTGGTATACTATATGACTGTAAGTAGAAAAACTATCGAACTTGGGATTTTTCCGTAAATTTCACTAACATCGGCTTTACTAATTTTTATTCTACATTTTTTATTTTTCTTTAAATACGATTGCATTTTATTGCTGCGTTAGGTAGTTTTTAATTACGTTAAAAAAAAAAAAAAAAACAACAACAACCGAAGTCAATAAATGCTCGCATTGGCTGGGTGGAGTTTCCGAACATACCTCCCACGCGTAAATTTTAGCGTACTTTTTTAATTTAACCAAAACAGGAACTCTAAGAAATGTCTAAATTGTTAACATTTTGAATCGAAATATTTAACGTTTTTTGAGGGAAGATTTAAATTTAAAAATAAAAGTATAATATTATAAAATATCCTACATCAAAGTTTCTTATTTTATAACGAGGTTATGTTAACGCGGTACACAACGTACATACCTACTATATTATATGGTTTATAATACGATTTATAGTTGGTTGAAATAATAATATTATTTGCTGTGGGAAATTATTATTGTTATTCTTTTTCTCCGCACTTCTTTCAAGCTCGTTTTAAGAAATTTGTTTCGAAAATTTTAATGAATTGTATTAATACATTGTTATGTATTATATACCCGCGCGGTAAATTTAAAGACAAAATCTGCACAAAAAGTATACCGAATAAATTTAGTAGATACCAGCCCGAATATAAGTTTATTATATTATATAAGTTCAATAATAGTTTAATTAGTTTCATTTTTTGACGTATTAACATCCCTTGAAACCCCCTATATAGATTGAGAGACATTTATTGAAAATATATAGTATTGAGGACTCGTGATAATAATATTGCGGATACTACAACAGAAAGATTGAATGACTGACTCTTATCATATATGTTATAATATAGATATGTATATAAATATATTTACATAATTAGGAACTTATATACAGTATACATACTGTATATACCTATTACATAAATAATTTTTGAAGTTTTTGTAACTATTCCTACGCAACGTATACAATTACTCAGGGAAAACGTTATACTGGAAGATGTGTTAAAATAAATATTTGACGTTTGTGAAAAGTTATTGCTGCGATATCGCCGACTATATTATATGAACACTGTAGGTCTCTCTAATTTTTAAATTTTCTTTTAAGGCGTACTACCACATGCAATTCGACCATAAACTACTCGTACTATATACCTAATTAAGAAATTAAATTTTCACCAAAAAAAAAAAAAAAAAAAAGAGAACTTGCACTGGGCAACGTTTGTTTTAGTTTTTCGATACTACAAATAAAAAATAAGTTATTATTGTTCTACAATCTTATAATTTTAAGTTTTTTAGTTTTTCAAACTTGAATAACCATATTTTAGTACGGCCGTAATGATATCGAAAAATTAAAACCAACGTTGTACAGTACTGCAGGTTCGCGTTTTTTATGGTAAAAATTTTGGTTTCTTAATTAAGTCTTTAGCCCGAGTAGTTTTTGCCTGCTCAAAACAGTCTTTCTATAAACATTGTTTTAATTTTAAGCTTACATAATAAATACTGGTAATTACAAGACAGGACTTCATGTAAATGTATATTAAATTGATAATGAAAATTGTTGAGTTGATCAAATTTTAATTTACAAACATTTTTTCCAAAAATTTCTAACATGAAACATCTTATGGAAGAACGTTCTTTTAAGAATAATATCCAAAATCAAAATTATCGTATCAATCAATGCTTTGTAAAACGCGTTTACTGATAAATTTGAGTATAAACTTGAAATCTGATTCACAGTGGATTATAGTATTTAGATACACACATAATTTTATCGGAGTGTTTTATTAATTTTTGCAACCCTTATAATTGACTCGGTTTTGCGTGAGGCCACGGTTCCTTTAATCTATTTAATATTTTTGTTCGTGTTATTATACTTGTGTACACGGTAGATACGTCACGTAAATGATTAGCTTGATTAGGTTGCGGAAACCAAACTACCGTTAATAATTTATATGTTCATTTAACCGGAAACCGACAAACTTCTATCGTGCATTTACTTATGGTCAACGATGGGTAAAATTAATCATTAAAGAGTAATCGCTATGTCCACACTCGCGTGTTTCGCAAAAATCCTGTGTTTTTGTTTATGCTCCCGTGTGGTACCAGTGTAACGATCGCCGTTTCATAATACAAACAATTTATAAATATAGATTTTAAAAAATCGTCGTTCATCGTATTGTTTTTATTTAATCAAGAGAAATACGAGTGTCGTATAATGCTTTCTATATCAAACAAATAACCACTCTTGTATGCTATCTATACATCCGTAGACATTTTTACTTTTATTTTTATTAAAGCCTTTAGTTTTATAGTTGATTTTGATCTATGTTTTGACGGTATAATTGTCGTCTTATAAAATTATGACTTAAATGTTTCGTGAAAAACGTTTAAAGTCATTGCTCCGATTGATTACGTGATGATCACAACCAATTATTCCTATATTTAAGAAGGATTTTAGCTCCACGTAATCACAAGCCGCATTATATTTTACTCTTACGTGTTTCCATAAACACTCATTCATTTAAGTTTGATGCTTGTGTTTGTATTTTTTGCTATGAGAAATCCACGATTTTTTGTAGTAGGTACACTTTCTATAAATTTGAATTATAAATATTCTTGAATATATTCAACATACGTATATAATGTTTGTTTACGTTTACTATTTATTAACTATAATATTTTGAAAGAGAAACCCTGCGTCAAATTTTTGGACCAAAGAGAAATCAGAAACTGGATTATATTATATGATATATGAGGAAAAACCAAGATCTATAAAAAAAATATGTGTGTCGGGAGAAGTGGATGAAGTGGCTCAGGAAATATCGAAAAGTAGAATTATTAACTAAGAAGGACACGTGCAGCATGTACAAGAACTTAAAATTATGATCCGAGAAGTTTGTAAAACGGAACAAGAAAAATAAGTAAAGATTAAGAGGACACCCGAGACAGAAATAGATGAACACATTACAGATGGACGTAAGCTTGCTAGATATAAACAGTTGTGAAGAGACTGTAGTTGGTATAGAGATAAACTGAGAGAATCGATGGTTCCGGCGAAAGGCTTGAATAACTTATACATTAAGCCAACGTAGATGAAAAATATTTTATCTTTTTTTTTTTTATTTTTTTTAATTGTAATACACTAATTTATGATGTCTCCAATACATTGTATATACATCGCTATAACATTATTCAAGTGAGTACTTACCGTATTTACTCCGATGTAAATAACGAATTTTTTTTTATCATACAAATCAAACATATTATTATAGACGTGTACATGTAACCAAATTATAATATTCGGTGCGTATTATTTCGAAGACGGATCTCCGGCTCCGAATACCTAAATACTCGGTACGTAAAGTCTGTTTTCGTGTTGACAACGGTGGCGTAGTGTTAGCTTAGCTTTTTGTTCATCATACCGTGTACTGACAGTACAGTTTAATAGATAAATTAGTTAAATAACGGGCGGCACTCCATTAAAACCGGAAGTATGACTTACACGACACCGTGTTTCGTTTCGTATACACGTGGTGTAACAGTATCATCTTTGTATAACTATATTATGGCGCGCGTACGCGGCAGTTAAGCCAAAAATTAACCTCGGTGTAACTTTTCACAAAAGACAATACCTACCTACCTACCTATCTACCCGCTGGTGTATACCGGGGTTAAAACTTTCCAGTCGGCCCGAGTTAGTGTTCATCTGAGTATAATAACTGCTGTACGTGGTATATTGGCTGCATTATGCTTCCGTGTGTATCCATATATACATATACACGCATTTTATTACTGAAATAACTTCCGTCCAATTGTTCGACATGGTATATATACAGGAGTGTAGACTGCAGAGCAGTGGTAGAGTTGATCCAATCAAATGTTTTGATTCTTTTGACAAAGGCCGCAATGATAGTGAATCGATATAGATATGGGTATAAGAAATATATTGTATAAGTAATTTATTGGTATTAGCTGGAGACAAGGGTACAGCGTACAGCGTACGATCACGGTGAAAAATCGAATTTGAAAACTTTAGTCCAATGAAAAAATATATACCTACTTACCAATGCTTTGTAAAAAAAGTACGCAAAAGTACGGGTCTAACTCACATAGGTATACAAAATACTGTATAAAATGCGAAGTTTCTTTTCTTGGAAGGAATGAGCTTTGACATTGTATTCCAAGTAGGTATACATAACTCAATTCGTGTAGAATGTAGCGACTATATGAATATAAAGCTTTTATTTTGCATTTTTAATTAGTATACAAAATAAGGGAAATTTGGAAAGAAGGTCATTGTAGAAAAATATCAAAAAAAGGCGAAATTAACATATGGATTATATTCTCATACAACTCATACAAGTAAAGAATAGTAGAAAGAGAAAACTGCAGATTTAATTCGTGATTACAATATATGGACCAGATAATAGAAGATCAGGAGTAGTGGAGAACTCATACCTGAAAATGAAGAGGAAAGCAAACTATGAAAAACGTGAAAATATCTGCAAATCAATCGGGTTGAAAATTTCAACAGAAGGAAAAGAAAATGAAGAACATATTTTTGTTTTATAATCTTCACCCCGAGAGGACCCTATACCGGCGTTCGTCGTTTTTGTTTATCTAGCAGAAAACACAGAAAACGACGTGTTTTCGTACTATCAATAATAGATTAAAAGCTCTAATTCTGGTTCTAATGGACTTAAAACAAAAATGATTTTTATCAAATTAAAGATGAAAATATTTTCTATGTTTACACAAAAGGATTTTTTGCCATTCGCATTACCTAAACAATTTTATATTGAGATTAAATTCCTGAGATTTAGAAATCGAAAATTCCATGTGAAAACACACTCGTAAATGCGGTTGACTTTTATTTGATAAAATATTATTATTATTTTTTTTTTTGGCGCTTTCGAAAGATACTCTACATGACACGGTTCGTGATGTGAACCTCTTCGTAAACAAATGTTTTACGTTGCATTTTTCGATCTATGTCTAAGTTGTTGGTGCTCTTGAAGGGCGTTAAAATCGCGGTGAATACTGTAAAGGCATTTTTCGAATCGACAGAGTTGTTTTTAATTTTTTTCCGTTAAAACATTTAACTCTGTACACTAGTGATGCGCATTCTCTCGCTGACAGACTCGTCGTCGGAGGAATGCATCGAGTTCTTATTTATATTCTTATGTACCCATACTAAATACGTGACGGCCGGTCCCGATTTTGAATTAATAATGCGTTTATACGGGTGTTACGAAATCACTCGCATTCAATAACACAAAGCGACCCACGCTCGCGGACGACACAGACCTTGCGGTCCGGCCCGTGACATACACTCGGTATTATAATAGTATTGACCGCTAACCTGACTCGGTATACTCGGGTATTTTATATTAATAATACTCGGCCGCCGGATATACCTATTCTATACTCCCGTGCGGTACAACACGTGGTGGTTTCACAGCGGTCAGATGAGATCGACCGCGCGAGCGATAGGCGGCCATACGGTTTTCATTATCGTCTCGATCTTTTCGCCTTCATTGTTTATTCGACCCGCTATTTCTCTCTCTCTCTCTATATATATATATATACACGCGAGCACGTATACGATCAGGTACCATTACCGAAGCGTTAACGAAAAACAATAATAATTATCATAGTTCATAGATACTTTTCGTTCGTATAAATTATACACATAAACTAAATATCCTGATTTTTCAACTGATGATATTCGTCTAAAACAGTGGTTACTGCAAAAGTATGTTCGGTTTTGTTTTTTTTTTTTGTTTTTTTTTTTTTTAATTTTAAGCGCGTTTCGGGGGGAACCATTAAGGGTGGGGGTGGGTGATTGGGTGCCCTTAAGAGGTTTGCTAAGCGCGTTAAATTCACAGCCGTAATAATGGATATTATTTTTGAAACGAATCGTATTGTATTATCGCATTTCTTTTCGTGTAGAAAAAAATAAAAAACAAAAAAAGAAGAAAAAAACTCGGCTGTGTAACCGCTCGACAGTCTTCGGAATAGTATATTTTTACGCGGGCTGGTGTATAGGTACACTCGTCTTTATGATATTTTCTCGCATTTCTTAATATTATTATTGTTATTTTTTTGTTTATTTAATGTAACTTTAATAATAATAATAACATTTTCTCGGCGGCGGCGCGGCGGTTCAATAAACTGCCGGTCCCGGGTGTTATTTAATTTATTTGGAAGCATTATATTATATTACGTTATTATTATTATTATACAGTATAATATACTTACCTATATGACGGTATACTATAATAAATATACCAAACGGCGACGCACTATTGTATTGTCGGGGACTTGAACCAAGGCCAATTGTGTCTCGTCGTCGCGCGAGTGTGTGCCGTGCGTACACACGTACTCAATAAACCGTATAATACCCTCGTATCGTGTACGCACACCGAAGACATCGCGCAGTACCATTATATGATTGTCGTTACGCGACAAAGAAAAAAGAAGGGGAGAAAAGCGAAAAAAATAAGGGTCGATATACCGCGGTCGGTGCGAGTATACCGCTATGTAATTTACTGTTTGATGTCATGTATACGTAATGCTCGGGTCCCCGCGAAGTGACGACGAAATTATAACAAAACGGAAACTATCTGTGTTTTTAGACGAAATCAAAACATTTCAAAAAAAATCGAGCTTTTCACAATAAAGTGTTGGATTATTTTTTTTTTCGAACCAAAGTCGTGTCTCCATATAGCGCCGTCGGTAAACGACAAAGGTTTCGGTTTTGTGGTCGTTGACCATTGCTGGGATTCCGTGAACAATGGATTTAATGGTTCATATTCCGTTGAATTTTCACTCAACTCGGTATAGACGCGTGTTTTGTTATTTTCAAATAACACAAAAAATAAAAAAAATTGAAAGTTTGCGGTTGAGTTTTTGTTTCTACGATAATTGTGCGCGGACCCGGCATAATACACCAGGCTCCTATAGTGATCCAAAAACTATATATTGATTTCGTCCTCTGCACCTAACCTACCTACGTAATACCTATTACCTGTTCCTATTACACCTATAATAGTATTAACTGTGACATTATTCGTTCGCTGTAACGGGGCGGGGTGTGGGAGAGGGAGGGCTTGGTGTTGACAGAGCGTACGAGAGCACAACGCACTGATATTATACGCTGTTATTATTATGTACGGGACCTCCCACGCATACGGGTAGATTTCGTTGTAATTTTTTTTCCCGCCAGTTTTTATAATATTTTTTTCCCCCATACTCGGACCATACATCCGGCTGCGCGAGAATCGTATTTTCATATCTACATAATATATTATACGAACGATTTTGTTCGTTTTAACGTTTAATAATAACGAATCCCGTAAAAGTCGTCGGTATATATTGTTATAATATTCTATAATAACAGTATAGTATCGGCAGTACCCTTAACGCGACTGCTGTTGCTGCTGCTGTGATTGAAAACGCAACTACCTATACATAGCGTTTTACGTACGAACGAAAAATATTTAGGTTTAAATTTCTATAAATATTTATACACAATATTGTAATATATTCTTCTTACGGTGTTATTATCTTTGGTGGTAATTTTTCTTTTTCTTTTTTTACTCGTAAAATAATCTATTTCGGATAACCACAAGTGTTCTTCGGTGTTCTCTTTTTTACAATGCACGCCCGTATAATGGTTTAAACTCTATCGAGGTTTTTCGATTTACATTACTCATCTGTGTTCGTAAATCTATGTTTATATACGACCCGAGTGACTTGAAAATCTTAAGTAAATGAGCATTTTTCAAAATTAATAAACTTAACTGCATCGAAAATTGCAATGGACGAGAGTCATTATATATAATTATAAGATATTTTCAGTCCCTGAGTTAATACAAATACTTTCAATACATTAACTGTTTCGATTATATTTGACGAGATTATAATTACATGCCCAAACCTAAGTACTCGTATATAATTTGTTTCGAAGAAAACCGTATTTATCGTTTTTCTAATATTTTTTTTTTATTTTTTCTTATGTTTTTTACAACAAATGTCATATTTCAATTGGATTCCCGCGGGACTTCAGTTGAATTTCAATTGCTATAAATCTGACCCGTATACAGACAGGATAATCCATTCGAACGTATTATAGTGAAATCATCAAAAAAATATAACGGTTCAAACGAGCTCTATATGAATGAGGATTTATTTAGAAATTGAAATTGATTATACTTATACAATAACCAATAACATTGCGGATATTTGTGTTAGTAGGTGGGATTTCGTCCTTACCGTTCGCGTGGGCACGATTATATAATGCGTATATATTATGTAAATTGAGATTGTGACCGAATAACTCTCATTTTCGTTCCGAATACTACGATGTCATATTTTTTTGTTAAAGCATAATATGCGAGTGCATTACAATATCTTTTGTATAGTATGAATAATATAAAATATGGACATTAAAAATAATAATAATAACAAATTATTACTGTTATAGTCTACGACTTTATCGTTTAGTTCTATACATCGAGCGATAAATTTGCGTAAAGGTTTGTAAATCACGCGAATTTTAGTATTGTATATTTTATTAAAAATTAAATTGTGTTTTATATTTATTAAACTAATTAATACTACTAAAATTATTATGCAATTCAATTTAAATTTATATTAAATATTATGATTAAGTTATTTAGTCATAGTGCAACAACCAAATGTATATAATTATATATAATATACAGGGTGATTCACTAAGCATGCTCATTTCATTTTTTTGGTTAAAATTTTGCATATATTCTAATTCTGATTTTGGGAATTTTTAAATGTATATAGTTAATGGCGATATTTTTTAATAGGAGATACAGTAACTATATTTGTTCTACGTAATTTTTTTACAAAACAATTCAAGTCACTGTGAATATTTTTAACTGAATTATAAATGCGTTATTTTCGTAAATTTTCCCGTTATTCCGACATTTTATCTCGGTTTTTCCCTGATATTATGAAAACCGTTTGAAAAATCAAAAAAATTACATCCTTAAAGTATTGTACAGACAATTTTTCTTTTCAGAAACGTTGCCATATGTACATATCGGAGCAAGATTTCTGGTAGACATTTTTGTCACAGAATGAAAAAAAAAAAATTAAGAACTAAGGGGTAGGAAGAACATAATATACATTTGTTTGATAATTTATTAATAATATTGTATGCAGTGTAATGTAATGTAATGCAGTATGTTTAGCTATTACACACACATACCACTGCAACAGTAAGATTTCATCTAGAACGATGTTGCTAATAATATTGTATAAACGGTATCATATTATTTAGAAAACGGGAGTAATTTAATTAGTGTGTCTTTTGTATAATGAATTCACCGATGCAACGTTGCATGTTACAAAATAATGAATTTTATCAAGACTTCGTATAATAATAGTGTGCATAAATGTATGTATGTATACATACGGGTTGATTAAATGTATATACACAGGGGGATTCTTTTGTTTGATTTCCTCGGAAGATATTAAGTGCATTTTATTTCCGGTTATTTCCCCCCTCCCCACCCAATCATCATATGGAATCGCTTTTAAGCTTTATTTCAACTGCACCGTTTTAAAATTGTCACCCTTACATTATACCAGAAATGAAAAAACTTTGGGTTTTAAAATAGGCATTCCTCCCTATAATATTTTGTATAAAAACATTTATTAAACAGGGGATTGCTATTCGAAAATCAAGTTGATTTGTGTTTATGACATAACTACGTAAAAATTGTGAAATTTCTAAAATAATTATGTAAATAAGATCGCTAAACAGTTCTATAATAATGATTGAAGAAAACCAAAATGGATTTTGCACATAATTTTCGTATAAAAAACATCACGATAAAATAATCATCCTGTATATAATATAAATGCTGTTATAATATGAAATAATAATAATAACCTATTTTTATTATTTTTACTTTCTTGGTGGTTATGGAAATGTATACATTAATTAATAAGTTAATGTGTAGGTAACTGTCAAGTTGAATTTTATTAATTTAAAATTTAAATATATTATATGAAAATATGATTTCACCGGTTACCTTTAAACACACCGCAATTTGTATGATCTGTCAGATTCATTACACATGCACCTACAAAATTAACATACCTAATAAATAATCAAATTAATCATGTGTACAGTGACTATTCAAACGTATAAATACAATTTTGTATTATTTATCGTATTGATGAACAATAATATACTGCTGTATAGTTATTGTAATTTTCGAATTTTTACACGATGTTTATTGTTGTTTCTTAATATTTACGATCGTATAATATGTATACATGTATTTTTATTATTGCTATTATTATTATTTTTTAATAATAATTTAGAGAGTTTATTGTCTTAAGAGGATTAAAGACTGTGATTTTCAGTCTTTGTCTGACACACGCGCAATACAAGAATTTATTACATGTCTTTACATGTCTAACTTTATAATTTCACTCCTACCCTAATCTAATCTTTCTAATTTTCTTTTTTTTTTCAAAATAGTATGGTGTATAGTTCTGAATTTTTATTTTTTATTGTCTTCAAAAAATACATATTTCTATAATAAAAATAGGGGTGGGGGGTATTCGAATCTAGTGACAGAGTTATGATGCTTAAGGGAGGTTTTTTTTTTGTTCTAGTATTTTCTAAATAATAATTTTATTGTACCTTTTCGTTTTATTTAACTATTTCAGTATATACCCAGAAAAAGGTGGAGGTCACACAGTGGGAGAAATTGATCTTTTAAGTGGACAAAACGCAATAAATTTGATATTGCCGTAATCCGTAATGAACCAGATAATACTAATTTTGATGTGCAAAAATAGAAAATAGAAAAACTTCATTTTATTATGTACAGTTTTACTACAAATATATGATTTAAGTTCATATTCTCGATAGGTAGTACGTATCCCAATTAAGAATAATATGGAATTTTCAGAAATTTTATTTTCATTTATTCTCAGTTTTAATACAATATTTTATCAGAACGAACTATAGAGAGAACAAAATAGCTTTTAATCAACAAGGTAAGCTTATATTTTATAATAATTATAGTTTTTAATAACCAAAATTAAGTTGTAACAAAATATAATGTTAAATAAATTTAAATAATATAAAAACATAACATTATTAGTATGCAAAAAAAAAAGGAAACTGGGGGGGGGTTCAATTGATACATACAACTATACAACCATACATATAACTTCGTAAAATAGAAGTTTTGCTTGCCTTTAATTGCCTCAAATATCTTAAATCATATTTTATTTATTATTTTTGAACACGCTTTTACTAGTTTCACCTGTATGTTTGTATGTAATGGAAACTTTAAACATTATTTTCACCCACTTTAAAAGATCAGATTTAATTGAAATTTTGTACACTTATCAAGGACTGATGAAAATACAATAATTTAATATGTTTGTCTCATTATCTTGAACAGAATAGTCAAGATGAAGGATTTACTAAAAAGAATTAACGTGATTTTCTCCCACTTTAAAACACCACATTTAACCCGATTATTAACCCCGATAATTAATTTTATTTCAGTATATAAACTATTCAAACATTGAACAAGTTAAAATATTTTACATTGTGAATTTATATTATTATTAGATTTTTCGACCTCTGGGTTTCGATCGGTTTGTACACAAATGTACACTACACGAGGACATAATAAAATTAATATCGTATTTATAAACTATTGTAACGTACTTTCAAATTTTTTATTTTAAATTTCAACTGCTTCAACTTTTTAGTTTTCAACACAAACTATACTTTTTATTTAATTTAATCATTTATTTTAAATAAAATATATTTTTAGTGCTCTTAGGGCTTCTTCTTTTTTAACGCCAAAATACTTATAATTATGCAATTATTAATTCATTTTTTGTAGATTATTTACATCAATTTTTGACCATTCGATTAGTTTCTTCAAACGTTCAACTTTTTCCCTCAGTAACGTAGAGTAAATGTACAGAAGATAAATAACTGTAACAATTGTTTGTCATTAAAAGTATGTATAGTAATTAAATGTATTGTAATCATTGATGTATAAATGGGTGTACGGGAGTATACGGTATATATTTACTTCTCTAGTTTTTTTTTAGCGTATACTCTCTAAATAAACGACGATACGTGGATATACGACTGTATAGTCCCGTATATCTATTAGAATTTTCGGTGAAGAAAACAAAATGTTCTATAATTATTTGTAATTTTCATTTCTCAAATGGTATTTACTACTTAGTACACAAAATCATTAGTTGATTATCAAATAATTTTAGGAATCAAATACCAGTATCAGATTCCGGTATAAATATATTATGTTTGCTTTTAACTCGTTATGCTTGTACATTTATAATCTGTAAAATTATGTATAAATGTATAATTGTGTATGGTACTATATGCATTTATATGAATGTGTGACCACATGAATGTGTGGGTATGAAATATATGCAGGTATATGTAATAAGTATATATATAATATCAAATAATAATATTTAGTTTATATACTGAAATAAAATTAATTAAACTTGACCTCGTGAACAGGGCTGCATTCTGCTCAATGTCGTAGTAACAGCAAAAAGTATCCATTTTATCATTTTAAAAGTAAAAAGAAAAATTTAATTATATAAAAAAAAAAATTTTGTTAACGATAAACGATTTTATGGTTGCTTGCGGTTTACGGAAGTTAAGTTTAAGATGATTGTTATTTGTCGTTAAGGCCAACAAAAAAACCTAACCTCACGTAGATTCACGTAGAATATTATTGTATTATCCACAAATTCGTTGGGAGTAACCGTTGATTATTTCCCCTCAAAATTGGAACCGGTTACAAAATGATGAAACTCATTTGGTTTCACCGGTCACACTGAGTACAAATCGGTCACAAAATGTTGTGATTATCTCGGATAGACGGTCACGATCGGTGAATTTTCATCATTCCCTCTAGAATTATTATTTCGTCTCGTTAAGCCATCGGCGCGGAGTCTTGTTATCATTATAATCGTATACTTTATCCGTTTAAGTTATTGTTGCTGTCATTGTTTCGTTGTCTATCGTACAAAATAAATCTCTTATTATTATTTTGCAACAATAGGATGTAAGTTAAACAGATACCATCACCGCTTCACCGATTACTATGAATTGTAACCGTACTAAAATGGTTTACTATCAATTTGTGACCGGTGACTTTCAACGAATTTGTGGTATATATTTTGTTTTATAGCCGCTGTAGTGGCGCACGCGTGCTCGCATGTACTGCCTACCTTTTCTATGGCTATACCCATCTTTAACACAGCGACCTTTCGTCGTCATTGGACGCGACCGAAGCACCTGCCTTTACGTCCATTTACACGTTGTCTCCGCGGTAATGCCTTTCATCACTCCCAACCGCGTGGATTACTCCAAAAAGTCACTCCAGCCGCGCTATGACGGACCTTTTCCCATTCTGGAAATTCAAAGATTTTCAAGGCCCAAATCCACCATCAAATGAGTTGAGTTTCAGTGGACCGCTTCAAACCGATATATTTTTTCTGCGAAAAAAGAAAATGTAAAAACCTGTTAATTTTCGATAAATTCATCTCTAAGGATGAAACCCTTTCATTGCAACGCGTAGGGAAAAAAATGTTCTACCTTTTTCGAGATTTTATACACACATAACTAAATTTCACTATACTTAGTCGGTAATGAATATCCATCAATTTAATCGTGGGATTAATAATCATAAGACCTAAGCATACTGTAGGTACAGAGTACGTGACAAAGGAAAGAATATCGGAAACTCGCAGTAGCAATATGAAGACAGAGATAAGCAATTAGAAAACTAAAAAAAAAGTTGTATACATATATTTTTTTTAACGAAAGATGGTATATAAGTAATGAAAACAAAAGAATAATAATAATAAAAAAAAAACCTCATTTTCAAATGTTTACTCATGACCCTGGTGTAATTGCTAACGTTTCGTTTACCATTATAGGTTTTCTTTTTTTGTTTTCATTAAAAAAAAAAAGGTTAATGATTAATTTTCTCGGACGATCTACAAACTAATTAATAAGACGTTTATTGTTGCTGTATATTAAATTGATATTGGGTTTACCAACATAATAAAACTGATCAATTTTTTTTTTTAAATTATTACGATAATTTGCTAAATATTTGTGTATGGATACGACACGAACGGATTAAAAGCACTTGAATATTTTTTCACATTTTTCGTTATTAAAGTGGTTTGGTTACTTTTTGGTATCCGGTGGGTGTGATAGTCGTTATATGACAGGAATTTTATCAGTTACATATACCTATAAGTCTTTGATTAAAAGCACTACCAGAAAAGTTTTCTTTCCACGACTTTTAAATATTTTCAATTTTGTAAATATACAAGTGCAGTTGCACAACATTAATACGCCGTAATGCATTAATGCGTATATTTAATAATGGACTGTGTCTTAATTCATATAGGTAATAAGACCAAATAATATTTATGATAATTTAATATCAATGCTTTTGCTCGAAAAATGTTTTTTTTCCTTTTCGGATACCTCTTTTTGCTAATCAGATGTCTAATTTTTTTGATTGGACAATGGATATAAAAAGCACAGTACACAATAGGTATTATGTTGTCGTGTATTTACCCATGATAACGATAATATTATTTCAAATATATTATTATAAATTCGTACAACATTTTAATACAGCTATTGATTTATTATCATAGGTTTGCATATTGCACTGGTACATATTATTTACTATTACTATAAATTCAAAATTGTCTAGATAAATAGTATTGTAATATGAATCGTTTGAGTCTTGGTTTAAGTAAAGAAGTAAATATTGATATTATTACATGATGTTTGTACCGTATGGTATATACTTGAGAATTGTAATATAGTTATTTTATACATTTTGTTAGTCTTTAAAAAACGAAAAAAAAAAAAAACAAAAGTAAACAATTACATTATATAAAACATAATATTGTTCTTGTACATATAATGTTTCAGTACATACATACATATATATAAATATATATAGCTACTGGATATTGTCCTGTTGTTTTATTTGCTCTCTTTATATTACGTTGTACACGAACCATGCTTATTTTACCAGTAAACACGTCTACAACGAATTTCTTCCCATTTTAATTACAAATTATTTGTACAGAGACATCGGGCAGGTATAGATGTGTGTTTCTAACGCGTTTAGTTTCTATGCCGTCGTCGCGTCATTGCAAAAAGTAATAAAGAGGATTTTTCAATTGTTTTCGATCGAATTTCATTAAAAATAAAATCAGAGGACTAGCAGAGACAGTAGCAGCAGCAGCGTGTTTGAGGTCTTAAAGAGGCGACAAAAATATATAAGCTGCAGCGGTGTGAAATCGATTGAAACTGCGGAGACCGCGGTGTAGTGCGAATCGGAATTGTCATTAGGATTAAAAGTCTTTTCGACGAGATAACACACCGGACGAAGATTGGTGTATTGTTGCGGCGGTGCTCGAGAGGAGTGGAGAACACGTGTTACGTGAAAACCGTGTTCGAAAACTTTGTTTCTTTCTGTATATAAGTAATACTGTATTAGATAATGACATTATATTATTATCTTACTCGATACATAGCAATGGTCTTTCTCTGGTTTTTCTCTTGGTTTTTTTTGTGATAGTGACCAATGATTACATAGGATGTTTTAATGAAGCGTTATTAAAAAGATTAAACTATTAACCTTAATTAACGACTCAGTGCTGCAGCGGTGAAACTGCGGATATACTGCAGTGCGATGAAATATTTTTGAAGTGTACAAGTACGCTCAATTACAGGCCGTAATTGCACATTTACTTTTTTTTTTCAATTGCTAATGTTTTTTTTTTGTAACGCGGTGTTCATCTTTATTATGGGGTAAATGCCCTCGATCGATGCGATTATTTAACCGTAGATGGTAAATTCCTTCTTCTTCGATCGTAAATGTTCGTTTGTGTAGTGCCTATACACGTCTCGTCTTAAATGAAGATGTCCTACCCATAATCATTTAAGAGGTTGAATATGAGACATTTTATCGACATTTTTTAAGTAAATGCAATTTTACAACCTAAAAAGTATTTAAATTTATTTTCAAAATAAAACGAAAAACCGTATTGCGCGGGTAAAGACTGCGTGGCTACGAACCAACTTTTACCATGAAACAAAGGAAACTTGCACTGTGCAACAATGGTTATAGATTTTCGATATAACTATATCACGAAAAAAGTTATTAGAGTTTCAAAACCTATCAGATTTTTAAACAATAATACAATCGATGTTGCCCGATGCGAGTTCCCGTTGTTTTCATGGTAAAAAATTTGATTTCTTAATTAAGTTTATAGCCCGAGAAGTTTTTTTCCCCGCAAAATAGGTATGTCCTCTTAAAACACCTTAAAACACCGTCACAACGTTTCTATAATTTTTCTATGGGTACGTATTACGTATGTTTACAGTTTTTACGTTCGAGATTTACGAAAAATATCTCGCGGTGTTCCAATTATAAAGTATAAAAGTGGATTTTTTCGGGATTTTGTGTTATGTGTATATCCGCAATGACTCAGCCATTAGGTAGCCAGACCGACCGATCGACAGCTATACCGTAGCGCAGAGGTATTTTAATAATATAATTTAAAAACAATCGTTGACTGCGACCATATTAGTCCGTTCTCAGATAGATACAAATTGAGTTACGTATAGCGATTTCGTCTCTCGCCTTTCCTTTATATTGTATTGTCTTTCGCGTCGATACAATTTAGATCCGACCAAATACCAAGCATGTCGAGAAGAATTTTTTTTTTCACAATGCTATACGCTCGGAATAACCGTTTTTTTGAAATCGAAGATTTACCCGCGTACTGCAGTACTGTCTGACCCGTACATTTGAACCGATTCGAATTTTTATAAGTCATATTTTATCGTTGTTAAATTTCAAAAATTGAATCTTCACGATATTTTCACGGAATTATACTGCTATAAATGTTACAATTTCATAGCTCATTTAAATATTTTAGTTTTCTTACGTTCGCCGTTTCGTTTTTAACTTTCATGTATTTTCCAACCAAAGTGTAAGTATAATAAATATTAAACATTTTTCGTCTGCGAATTTCATACTTATTACATCATTTTGGAAAGATGTCTACAGGATATTATTCCATTTTATAAAATTATTATTCGGACGTAGTTCACTCCATAGGTAATATAGACGGAAAATTTGAAAGGATTGTGATATTAGGACATACTGATTTATGTCTGAATAACAACAATAAACCATTTCAATCATAAAACGATTCTGAATGAAGTTGATTTAATAATCCTTTTACCTTTTCTTTGAGCATTTGATCAGTTACATATACCTCTAAGTAAATTAGAATTTACATTATATACCTATAGAAAAACTTACTATTGAGTATCTAGCAATAATTTGTTTCATATAATGTACCGCCAGCCATAAATTACGTATCATTTATAGGTAGGCACTGAGTGAAACATCTGGAACATTTCACTGGCTAAAAGAGTATTAAAACGTATAAAAAAAAAAAAAAAATTGGGAATAGGAATGTTAACAAATGATGCGAATGAATTATTAGTAACATCGGGAACACAATTTCGCATTTTTTAAATGAATGACGTAAAAATATCGGAGAATTTTTACTAACTCAAAAAATGTTTTTCACACACACGTCTTATTAAAATGAATTAAAGTCTCGAAAAACTTGAAATCTAAAAAAAATACATAATTTACCATTAAAAAAAAAATAATAATAACAATAAAATGTGTCTGTGTTAAACATGATAGATAATAAAATTACACAGGAAAAACTGAAAAAAAATAAAACATTTTCGTCACGGTACGTTTCTGCTAAAGCGATTTTGTCACGATCATCAAATTTATATTTTCTAACGAATTTCGTTATAGTTGTGTCTGTTGATGTAATTATTGTGTCGCGATGCGTTTGGCGTTTATTATTTATTATATTTAGCGACTAATTAATATAAACAACATATCGAATTGCATACGTATTCAGAGGTGGCGGGATGGGAGGGATATTCAATCGAACTGGTGTTTTTTTTTTTTTTTTCACGGCCAAAATATATTAAGCTGACGAGTTGCTAAACCGTAATAATTAATGCCACCGCATTAGAATTAATATTTAAGTCTTTAAGACAGTCTACGCGCTCTCCACTTATTGTGTATACAAGCTACACAAATTAATATAATACTTTATATATACATATATAGTGATATATTATAACGCGCAAATATCGAACAGTGTAGTGAGTGTGTACCTACATAATATATATATATTTTATTCGAATTTCATTTCAAGGACGCTAAAATAATAACAATGGTAATAATATTCATTCACGTGATCGATTGATTGTCATTTGTTGTAATTATTTTGAATTGTGTAAACAAGTCGGATACTTCTAAAATCTAAAACGTTTTTGTTGAAATTGATCCTGTAAACATAATTACGATATTGGTGTATTGCAGGGGTGACCAATTTATATTCTTGGAGGACCACACATAAGGAAGTTTGACAATTTTGCGGGTCATTAAAACTCTATTTATAAATAATGTTAGAGCAAAATAATAAAAAAAAAGCGCTTTATATGTGAAATAATATACATTTAATAAATATTATAAAATATAGAAAATAAGTAAATAATTTAATTAATTATTACAAAAACTTACAATGACGTTAATGAGAAAAGTGTCCAGCCTTCCTCTTAATCAGCTGTTTGAAATTAGGAGTGAAATATTAGTGCACGCTATCTTCATTACCATGTTCTGATGTTGGTTGGTGGTTCATTTTTTTATGATTCATTTTCGAAAAAACCTACTCACAAACGTGTGTGGCGCCTAACCTCTGTACACATTTTCACTATCAATAATTTCAATGTCGGATATTTTTTTTCTGATACTTATTTTAATTAAAATTTAACGTAAAGTCATTTTTAGGTTTTGAATACTTTTCATTATACACATTTTTATAGGATATTGTCTGCTTGGAATTCAATGATTTCTATTTCAATATATTTAATCGACGAAAAAAAAATAGTGATTTAGGTAGGAAGCTTAGACAGTATGGGGCGCACAGGATGATTAAGTTTATATTCACTCCGAAAGCAACGATAAATCATTGGGATCGAAAAACGATTCTGAGCGGAGCTCCGTGAAACCGGTAATAGTCGTGTGTTTTTCCATTGTAACTAAAGTAATCCAGAAATCAATAAAACAAACTTAAAATCGACGCACAGTGGTCTGAAATACATAATATTTAGCTTACATAAAATTAATACCATTTAAATTTGACGTCCAAAACTTATGCATTACATTAATAATTCTATTCTATAATTGGTTTTGGATACGAGGAATTCAAATTGTTGATCAGTTTTTTATCAGTCGTGACGTACCTAACATAATTTGTAATCAGTTTTTTTGTAATTTTTTATTTTTTATTTTTAGAAATAATGTTCAAATAAAGAACCGTCATCGAAAACTCCGCATCTTTACGGTACGATGTGAAACAATCGGGAGAGTTTTTATTAACCGAAAAATTGTTTTCCGAGAGAAAATAAGATCCGCCGGGTGAATTGTTGAGAATTTCATTAAACGTTTCAAATAAACTACCGCCGGACTCTAAATCCGTATCTTTCGAGGTATATCGTGAACAAAAATTGATCCGTTTTTACTACAGAGAAAAAACGGTTTCCGAGAAAAAACCACATCTTATTAACTATTTTAGTGTACGCATCCGGAATCTAAAATCCAAAAATACGTTGTCTAAACGATAATAAAAATTTGTCACGAAGTCAGGGAGTGGGGATGGCGAACCTTATCGTGTTATTGCGGTTCGTCAGAGCAGAAGAAAAAAGAAAAAAACCTATCGGCGGTTTTTAGACGTTTCGCGATAGTGTTTTACGTTTCCGGCAACGTACCGGCGCGACGCCGCACCGGAAGTCTACAATATATCCCCTGCATACATACCACGTATATTGTGTATATACGTGCCGTGTGCATATACCGGACGCGCAATAATATTATTTCGAAGCCCGGCGTGAGATACACAGGCGTTTTATAATAATAGTATATACATAATATACCGGGTGATCCGTTTAAGCGGGTACACTCATTATCTCAGATTTTATATCTGATATTATGTCGAATATCGACTGGCATTTCGTCACTGGCATTTATTTATACTAGACATGTCAAACATACGATATTAATGGAAAATTGTTAATTATTAATTTCGTGTCGCATTTTAGAGAATGGTATATTTTTCGTATACATTACCGTAGTGTCTTATCTTCTGATAAATTATAACGGAATGATTGTATTATTGGTGATTTAATGTGTACATACATACTATATAGATTATAGATTAATAATTTATATCTTCGACACGCGACACGTGTGCCTCTTCCATTTTCAACATCTAATCTAGTCGTTCGATAATCACCGTGTGGTTTATTTAATGATTAATTATTACAAATACTTACAAATAATTAAATTTCACCTGTTGTGTTCGTAAAAAATAAAATTAAAAAAGTCGTATAAAATGTTTTTTTTCGTTAAATATTTATGTGCGGCCCGCATAGTAAATTGTATATTTAATACAAGTTAGCATTTTTAAAATCAAAAATAGACGGTCGTTTTACCGCCAAAAGGAAGGGTGACAAAAATAATGGCAACATAACATTTTAGAGCTGCTTATGATTGTTAATATGTCTACGAGTATGTTTGAAATAGTTCAAATTGTCTGAAATAAATGGATCATTCGGTATTTGAAAGTCAAACGTTTTCCCGTATGTCGGAACGTTTCCGAATTATTTTTTTATTTTTCGTAGATAGGTATATAAACACAACCGAAATCCGCGTTATCATCAATCATCATAATATTAGTATTGTACATTTTCTAAATTAGCATATTATTGTACATTGTGCTCGATATGTATACGTTAGCGAACTCGAAAAGCCGCACGAATTCAACCACGTTAGGAATAAAAACACATAAAACAATAAGCGTGTCGAGAATATTATTGCGCGATTCCGGGTCGTAAAGAAATAATAATAATAAAAAATGAATTTGCGCGCTCCTATAATATACATTATTACACAATACAATGGAATGATAATATAGCTAGATGACCGTGAGGGTGACTTTTAAACAATGTTCGTAAGTTAATTAAAAAAGAAAAAGTTCGTAATTTGGTAATTTGGTTTATACACTGTCTAAACACTGATAAAACGATTCTGAGCGAAATTGTTTTATTATTCGAGTTTTTCCCCTATTGCCGAAGGAATAATCTATATATCAATTAAAAACCAAACATCACAAAAAAAGACCTAAGCAGGGATTGTAAACTCCTGAAAATGTCGATGAAACACGTTTTAAATAAAATTCTACTGTTCAGTAACTCCGCATCTTCTAACATAGACAAATCATAGTATTTACCAACCCAACTAAAAACTTCATGTTAAAAAAATAAAATTGAACAAATGATATCTGCGAGTTTTTATTGTACATTATTTCCGGAGATTTTCACAATGAAACGTTAGAAATTGTAATCCGTTGAATAGTGTACGGGGTGATCATTCTATCGTAAGACTCATTATCCTGGAAAGTATAAACTTTTTACAAATTTTTTTTTTGAAAATTTAAGGAACATCCAGCTCTAAAATGTTAAATTATCATTATTTATGTTACCCTTATTTTTAGAGGTGAAACTACGATCTCTACTCCGTGCCACGAGAGAATACGCATACGGCGGCGGACCAAAACTCGTATATTTTCGCGTATCCCTATAACAGAATTTGCTCAACCGATTCCCACTACGAAACACAACGACGCGTTCGATGACGGATCGCAATCATTTGGATGCGCGAGCCATATGCGTTCTCTTGTGATACGGAGCATACCTTTGATTTTCAAATTGCAACCTATATTAAAAATACCATAAATAAACGGGGTATTAGCTTAAAAGCATTTTAGTATTTAAATTTTTGAATTCCGTTAATCCGTTGACGGATAATCCACTTTTTAGTTTAGGCAGGGGGAGAGTAGGTAGTGTAGCACTGGGTGCCGTGCCGCCACATAAATTATGCTCCAATACTCTTCCCCTACCCAAACTTTAATGTGGATTATCTCGTCAACGGATTGACGTAAATGAAAAATTTAAACACTTGAATGTTTTTTAACTAATAATACTCCATCTATTTATAGCATTTTTTTTTATATTGATAGCTATTTTAAAATCAAAAGTAGACAGTCGTTTCACACCCAAAAATAATGATAATGTAACATTTTAGAGCTGGTTGTTTCTTAAATTTTCTAATTTAGCGTGGTCTCGTGATGTTTTTTTTTTTTTGATTTACTTAAAGTCGACTCGGTAATAATTATAATATACGTTTAATTGGGTTCTTACCATCTTATTATAAACTATAATAGTTCACGAGACTACAATTTTTTTTTTATTAGAGCATTAATGAAAAACAAAAATGGATGTTCGGAAGTATAGGTCTTTTGTGAAAATGAAGATTCGTATAATCTAACAAAAAAAAAAAAAAAAGAAGCGTGATGAGACATTTACAAATCCTGAAAGTGGGCGTGGATTTGAAAAATCTGCACTGCAGTATGTGCGGTTTTGAATGCACCCGTGCTTGTGAAGCGTGTGTTGTGTATATATAATATAAACGAATGTGTGTAATTTTTTTTGTTGTTTATTTTTTTCTTTTTAATAAACATCGAGCGGAAGAGATTTTCCCGTTTTTATGTCTGCGTGCAAGAAATAAATGGTTTTCACATTAATAATAATTGTTTGCTGGTCGGTTGAGAGAACGCGCGCATTTAACGCTCATTTTCTCGCCTTTGCACCTCGGCGTGTTTAACACGCAGTTAAAAGGTCGTATGGGTTATTTTTTTTATTATACGATAGAACCCCTTGTTTTTCTCGACGGAGTTGTAGTTGTTTTACCTACACACACCTGCAATGGCATATTTTTGGCGTGTTTCCCACCCTTCCTAGAGGCTTTTTTTTTTTTATAGGTCTGTACTGAGACTTATATCGTATAATTTTTATTTTGTTGTTATATTGACAATATCATTGTGTTTTATCTACAATAATATTCATCACAGATTATTATATTCTGTGTAACGATCGTGATATTCTGCAGTTTTTTTTTCATTTGAAGTCATAATTCGAGTTTTTTTTTTGAAAGAGAGCTGAACTATACTTTTATCACACCGACGACGCCCGCGGTCTAACCACTTACACGCATAACTTGCATACTATTTATGGGCTCGGTATGATTTAGATGGATTTGGCCATTTTAATTGTGTTAATACAACTACGTCCTTTCCAAAAAAAAAAAAAACAATTCGTAAGTACGCCACACGACGGTAGGTAAAGTAAACCACCTGACGCATAAACGCGCAGAACATCATCGTTTGGCATCTCCAGAGACAAAACGGGATTTACCGGACTTAAAATCATTTCATGTTGCAATGTTGCAGTGGTGAGGGAGGGGAACACAAAAACCGAAAGTTAAATATTTTTTCCGACGATTATTATAATATTGTTATACGCATGCGTACGTGTGTATGCGATTTGTTTGCGCGCACATGAACAAAACGAACGCGTTTCGTGAAAATGAAAAAAATAAATTATCTGTCTTATAGTACGAACTTATAAAATCGATAATTAAGTGGTTTTGTCGATTAACATCGTCGACGTCGTCGAGTGTTCAAAAGATAATTTTTTTTGAGTAGATTTGTCTTTGTTTTTTTTTTTTAAACAATTCAAAAATAAATTATATTCTACCTAGTTCGGAGTGTACTCGAATTTAAATTATTTTTAGAGATTGCGTAACTGTGTATACTTTTCTCTCAAGAGACCGCTGCAATGGTATTTGCCACTGCTTTGTCTCTTTCTATCGGGTAATACAGAAAAAGTATGCTAAAACAAAAGGCATATTAAATCGATTTTAACGATAAAAAAAACTATTTCATACTATTTTCAGACGAAGACGATGATAACGACATTTCGGGGACAATGGTGAGCAAGATTAATATAATACATTATATTTATGTATAGGCAATTCCCGTGTTGAAATTAGGTACCATTTCGGAAAACGCTATTGGTTGTTGGGAAAATAACCATACATTACAAATTTTTTTTTTTTTTAATCATTTCTTACTAATATTCTAAAGAAATTTTATCGTGTGTAGATAGATATAATATATTTGATTCAAACAATATTGAATATGATGAAACTAGGAATATAGACAAGTGTCCACAGATACGTTACGGGGAAAAACAATTGAAAATATATGTTACATCGTGGAGTAATAATCGCGATAATATCCAGTGCTATTGGTGATCGTACGGTGTAAACTACAAATCGCTCCTCCAGAGTTTCATCGGCTCGAAGACGATCTCGTTTTACAATGCGTCAAATAATGTTAAACTCGTTATTGAATGTACGGATGGAAATCGTATTTAAATACTTCAAATAATTAACATTTCTAAAAACGCCGATGACAATGTTTTTAAAATGACGCTGTCTTCAAATCGTATAATGGGTATTTTATATCACAGTACGTCCGATTTTAATCACCTTTTTGTTTGTTTTGTACGTAAACACATTTTTGTCTGTTATAAAGACAGAGACGGCGAAATTACATTGCGACGGCCCATAAAGACTATTGGAATTCGTATTATTTTTCGACATCACCGCAGTACTCGTGTAACGCGTTTATAATCAATCCAACCGCGGTGTAATTTTTGATTCATTCATTGATTTGTGTTTACGTCAATGAAAATTACACATTTATCTCATAATCAACATATTTTCTAACGACTGTATCATTTTCGCCTATTCAGACGGATCAGTTTATTCGATATAAAATTTTGAAATGTTTTCATTTAATCTATAGTATTACTACTGCTATTGGTATTTAATCTGACGATTAAAAAATAATTTTTGACATATTTTAGACGTTATAATGTTACCAATACTCATATATTTTAATATAATTTCGTGTACAGGTGTTAATACTTTAAAACAAAAATCGTTATTATAGCCTGTAGATATACGTTACAATTAAATATTTTCTTAATATGTTTTCAACCGTTGCGTTTTATATCGTCATCCGCACGTGGATATCGTTAGTTTTTTAATTGTATGTGTAAATATGTGTGTATAACAAATGGAAAAAAATTATTTTAACAGACACGAACGTCTTTTCTTAAAAATTCCACGCAATAGATATCCGAAATTAAAGCAATTAAATTTATTTACTCTTCGGTGCATATTATATGAGCACAGTTTTATTAAAATAACAATATTAAAGGTTTCATAATCATTTACATCTACATAATTTTTTTAAATATATACGATTGATTATACCACATTTTCGAGTTCTAATTTCAATAGTTCATCAATAAGCTCGGCTATAAATGTTAGATCCTTTGTTTTTGTTTCACGTGACTATAATATCTTCGTTATTTATGAACATTTTTTAAGATCCATACGTTTTCCAGGAGAGCTCTTTGCCCAATGATTTTTCCCGGTATTCGGGTATTCTCTTATATCGTTTTTTCGGCTTTTTCTTTCTTTTTTCAAACCTTTACAAACACAACAATAATAGATGTTTTTTGTCTAGACTCTATACGATCAAATTTAATTACGATGCGCAAGTTTAAAACTCGAAATAAATTCCTGATACAAAGAATATCAAATACCTAATCATTTTTAAATGTACCTACCTGGAAGTATATTTAAACTGCATATTATGGAATATGCTAATATTATTTAAAATGTCAAGGTTAGTTTCAAGTACTAGAGTATTACATATTTACATCAAATCAAAAAATTAATTTTATGAATATTATAAATTATACGTTTATATAATTTGTAATAAAAATAAAAGTTCCAATTTTATATAAATACATGAATTGTTATTTACCTATTTTTGGAGTTCATTTGCTTTTTAACCGTTGCGCAATAATTCATATTTTCTGTAGCGAGAAAAAAATAACATTCATAAGTTATTTTTTATTTTTTTGTTCGTATTTTCATTTCTAACTTATTATGAACAATACATTTTTTTTTTTTTTTTGAGTCACCATTGTATTATTACGTTGTAGTTATGTGTTATGTCGTATATCATATAGATATGAGATTGAGTGTGAATTAAGTGTGAAACTGTGCAATTAATAATATCTATTATTTATTATACAAAATACGTATATATCTTGGTAGATTGATGGTATTATTTTGTGATGTTAATTTTTCAAACTAAATATAGCTTTTTAATAAATATATTATATTACATGGTTTATCTTTATTTTACACTCTGAGTGTATCAAAGAGGTTATTGGTTTTACTGAGGTGTGATTTCCTCCCCCCTCGAAAAACATATTTCGGGATAGTATAAATGATCAGATCTTTTAATACTATACCTTAAAAAATATAGATTTTTCATCGAATGGTACTCTAATCAAAATACTTTTTAAAATTGTATTCCCTAGATCCTTTTTTTTCTTTTGTTTAAGAACACTATTTTACCAATAGTAGAAATACTCCAAATTATTTACATTATACCTAAGAATATGTGGATTTTCTGCCCAGTATTAGGTACTTTGGTTGAAATCAATTTTTATATTTCCAACAGTTGCTCTATTTAATTTTAGAAAAATCTAGTCTAAAAACCACATTCGTTTTGAGATTTTACATTCTACTGCACGATTACATAAACTACAGCAAAATTGTGAGATATATTTCGATTAATCTGAACATTAATTTGGTCGTTTTCCACGAAAATAACAACGCCTTGTGATTGTGATGTGTATCAATAATTTATATTTGCGCATTCCTGTTTTGTTCTAATTCCCGGCAGTCTCGTGATTGCCGGGTGCTGAGTGATTGGTAATTTGTTTCTCCGTTTTCCCCTCTCATAGATCTCGTCCGTATAATACCTACGTATTACACCTGCCTCGAAAGAAACACCAATTTCCGGCGGGTTTCTCGATTTCCGGGCAACCGTGTTTACGCGGCACAGTTAATATTATAATAATAATTAGAAACGCACAGTGTGCCACCGTCATTGGCGCGTATAAACAATGACATATATAATTGTGCATCGCGTGCTGCAGTATGTGTACCGGCATTTGCTACCGACAACGTTCATTTCTTAAGTTAGATTTCAACAGCTACTGCGGTCTTTGTTTCGAACACGCATCGCAATAGTAATACGTACAACGAATAACCGGGTCGAATATAACAAATTAAATTCGCAAGTCACACGCGCTAATGGATTAATTTTTAACGGAACGATAATCTCGATAATATATTATACGATACAGAAAGCTTCTAACTGTTCGAACTATTTCCAAACTATGTTTTTTCTGCAGTGGGTTTATATACATATATATATATATATATTGTTCATGTTTTAAAAAAAATCTCTTGGCTCAATACTAAGAAGATACTTATTAAAACATATTCTGTTCAGAGCGTAGCATCGTGTATAAGATTCTTAACGCGGACTATAAATTATACCAAAAAAAAAAGTACTGAAAGCCGATGAAATGCAGGTGTTAAAGACGTACAGAATATATATGTGAAATAGATAGGAACACGAAACGGAGATATAATCGGAAATGCGTTTAAGAAAAAACGTATTCTATGTATAATATGTATAGTTGCTTATGTAAAACTCTTATGCGGGACACTTTTCGAAACTTTCAAAGAAAAGGTATAATAAAAAGCAAGAAATAGACAAAAATTATATTATCTTTTTCTATCTTTGGCACTATCTATGTCCAAATAAAAAAAAGATATTAGAAACTTGAAAATAAAAAACACTTAAACAACGTTTAAAAAAGCAAAAACAATATTTGGATTTAAAAATCTATCAGATGGTGTCTCTTCCTCTAACCTAAATGATTAATGTTGGATCATGTTGATCAACTAAACCTACCTAACTACCGCCACCACAGGGTGTTCTATTCTTTTGACTAATGTTCTCCTTCAATTTTTATGTTATTTATTTGAAATAATTACTCATAAATTATATAAGACATGATAATGTACACTGTACATAATTTTTGATATTTTAACGAAATTAGAGATATTAAATTTTAAGGCGGTAAATAAGTTTAAACACTTATAGCCCCTTCTAAGAGCGTTAACATAGCCCCCCTGGATTTTAAACTCCTTTATAAATTATTGATTGTTTAAAATGATTTCTTGGCGTTTTTAAGCGCTTTTTTGTAGCTTTTAAGAGCAAATAAATCGGGCTCTTTTAATAATAAGAATAATAAATTATCAAACGTTATTTTTAATATTCGTTTTATTGGATATTTTTTTTTTTTTATTATGAATATTCCGAGATGTAATAATAAGTCGCTTTTGTATGATAATATTATATAATATTATGGTGTTCTTAGATCTTTTCGGCGAAATAAATGCGATTGTAAACGGTATCCTTTTAAATTGCTGTATTTCTTTGCGACATTTACATATGTACTCGTTCGGTTTTAATTTTAGTTCTTCTTATTTTTATTTTTAATAAATATTAAAATCTTCCCTGTAGGTTTATCGAATCGGAGTAATATTTTATTAACCTAAAATATTTTCTTTCATATTGCAGAGTAAACATTAATTTAAACACTAAATACAAATATAATAGGTATAGTAATGTAGCATAATATTGGAACCTGACTATATGCAAAGTCATCGCATACTTTATATGTGTCGTCGTATCCTGTATGTAGGCATTTCATAATCAGTGTTTCTCGGTAAATCACGTTCTATTATTTATAAGTGTGTTGATACGGAATATATTTTTTTTATGATATTCAAATTAGTTGGAGTTGACGTTTCGAACGAATTCCTAATATTTTTATCTATATATTTTTACGTGCATAAATCAAATGTTGTATTATTCTTCTTCTTGTTTACCTTATCGATCTGCTGAAGCCTAGACTACTGCTTCCATCGCATGGACTACTCTCGAATTTACTCTCTGTTGTATACACCAAATCAAAAGTCGCGTTCTCTTCTATATGGTGCTTTAAATTGTATGATATGAGCAATAAAATTCATTCAGCAAGTCCCGAGTGTTCCTAATTGTCGTTTTATATTTATTTTACTTTTTAACGTCTATTTTATTACTTACCATGCATTTTTGACTCTGAGTGGAAGGACGAAGCTTATGATTTTGCAATAATGTTTATTATTATTATTATTTTTTTTTATCTGTGACTAATTTTTCTATCATAAATATTGCTCAGATTATTTTTAACTGTCGTTGGACAACATAAGATACATCTTTAACTACACATTAACTGATAAACTAATGACAACAAGAGTATACTAGACGATATTAACATTTCGTAACCGTACTATAGGAAAATTGTCAAAATTTCTGGTAACCTTATCATATACGCAATTTAGGCTATTGACGATAATTAATAGCCCTGCCGGACCATCGAATAAATTATGTATATTTGTGCGTATATACCTAACACATGTATAATGTATTTCGGTCGAACTTACTTTTGCCGTATATAACGCACAAATATAAGACACAAATGAACTTCCGAACCCCAGTATAAAGTTGTGCCAAGTATCGGTTTTAGCTTTTGCTCCACTCCCATCCTGGGGTCTAATTAACGTGGTAGACCGCAATGTATAATCCGCCGGATCCGGCCGGCAAACATCGTCCTGTCATAGTCAGCCGTTTCGCGACCGTTGGCGGTCGCCGATCCGAATACTAGAGGGTATAATAATACGCTGCTAGACATTGGTATAATAATAATAATAATAATATAATTATTATTATTATTACTATTACAATAATTTTATATATATTATACAAGGTTTGGGTTCATAATATATGTATACCTAGTATATATTATAGTTTTGAAGTTGTTGATCAATAGGTCGGTCGGGGCAGGAGGATTGGGAGGAGAAGGATGATGATAATAATGAGGACGTGTCGAGAACGTTCACTAAAATGTGCAAGACTGGCGAGTTTTGCATATCAAGTTCCGTATTCGCTAAGTATCGTATATTAAATACTACGATGGCTAACTTGGAAATTCGTTTCGAGGTGACAGGATTCGATACGTGAAGTCGAAATTTTAAGAATACATTGCCTACATATAATTCCATTATATTATTATACTTCGAGGTTTCGGGGATACTGGCAGACTTGTATATAAAATAAGATAGATACTATTGAAAGTATTTCGAGTACCTACAGATGTTATTTTAAAAAGGCATTTATTAGAACAACACGACTTTAAAGTATGTCTGTTTGTTTTTTGAAGTACCTATATATTTAAAACACAATATCGAATAGATCACATAGAAACATCATATTTTTAAAATACTTATTTGAAAGTTCAAATATTTTTATTTTAATACTTTTAATCGAATACATTATAAGTCTAGTTTTTGGCATAATTTACACCATATCAGAAATAATATAACATTAATACTAACTTACATTAGCGCTTACATTTTTAACAAAACGAAATTAAAACCTATAATATATTTTTTAAAATTGTATGTAAATATCAATGGGTTATTTTCAATGTGCATTTTTACGAGGATACTATTTCGAAAATCAATATTTATTTGTAAAATTTAAAAATATCTAGGAATTGTATGTATAGGATACAATTAAAAGTTCTCACTGTATATTTCTGTATATTTGAACTTTTTTGAGCGAAACTGCATACCTACACATTTGACCGTGTGTATGTGTGAGTGTGTGTGTATGAGTTTACGAACTTATGAGTCCCATCCATGTTCATTTGAATAATACGAAAAATTTAGTTTAGCTGAAGTTCGAGAATTAGTATTTTAAAAAATAAAAACAACAAAATTCTGAATCGTGGAATCGTGAAATTTTGAATTTTCGATAAATCCTCGAAAAGTTATGACGTGAACGCTACAAACTATATAGTTTAATATGTTGTCTATGAGATAATTCTGTCGACATGGGGAGGGGAGCCGACTAAAAAAAAAATTCAAACTTGTTCATATTTTTTTAACGCATCCGAGTACGTTTTTACTTAATGTCTATGCACATTTATCATTTCATATTATTTATAGAATTGGTTTGATTTTCCTTGAACGGCGAACTGGAAAAATACAAACGCGTATCGGCAGTGGAATGTGCTTTCCTCTCCGTCCAGGACACAGTTTCCCCCTTGCATGCCATCCACCCGCGATAATTTCAGAAAAAATAAATGCAAATATTGCATAATAAAACGCGAGCGTCCTATCTCACGTCGAATTTATCACTGTTCGGCGCAAACATTTTTTTATTATATTTTTATGTTTTTTTTTCACGGACCTTCCATTAAGTATAGGTACAGTTATTTATGATCATTATTGCACTGTCGTTGATTTTGAAACGAGCCCCCGTAATTTTTCATAACATGATATCGGTATAGATATAATGTGTATATAGGATGGTCGTTATTTCAAGTACGCCCCCTGCATATTATAGTATTATAGGTATAGCGTTCAGTTGTATATTACCGTGGTTTTCAACTGGTGTACCGTGGTCCACAACTGGTATATTATACATTATATTATTATTATACATTGAATTTTAAGTTCGATTATATATGTTTTGAAAGTCCATGATATTTACGATTTTCGTCGAAATTCGATTTTAAAATTCTTGTAAAAAAATAATAAATACTGCACTCAATTTTTTTTTTCTACCACAAAGTACGATTTATAACGAACCTCTTGTGAAATTTTCAAACTTATACCATGTCTAAAAAAAAGGAAATATATGTTTCAGCCTATGAGCACCCTTGGAAAATCAAAAAAATGACCTACCCAATTTACCAACAAGAAAGGATTACCTTTCAGACAAGGTGCGATAGTCGCTATAGTTTGGAACAATTTTTCTGGTAGACATAAAAAAAAAAAATACAAAAACACATCATAGTAAAACCAGTATATCCCTCGATACGCTCCGAATCTATAAGGCAATAACCTGTAATACTACGCGAGTAATAAAATATACTATTACAATCGCCTAGGAAATCTTTCGAGTTTTCCCCGGATCGCCGACCATTATATTGTTTTACGTTAAACTTGCTCGTAAATTTGGACGTTTGAATGTTATCGGTGTTCGAATTTTCGAGTTGAGTGTCGGAGCCGTTAAGCAATCGCAGGGGTCAACGGAAAGTATCAGGTAGACCCGCCGTAGTAATGGCCAAAACCCACTATTATATACGGCCACACGAGTCAACAGGGAAACCCGCTTCGCGAGAGCCACGAGGACGTGGCGACAAGACGTGGCGGTTGGTTTAAGGAGGAACACCTCTCGCTGACATCCGGAAGGCGCTCTGTACTTCCATCCGCCGACCAACAAGTAATGACGTCGCGGACTTCCGGTTCGATACCGCTCGTACTCACACGCACCGAACACGCGTACGCCCGTACGGATTTTCCGGTTTCGTCTCCGTCGGAAGATTCGCCTCTCTCCCTCCCCCCCCCCCCCCCCCCCCCCCCNCCCCCCCCTCCGACCCTTCATCCCGCGATAGCGTTATTATTTCTGTCCGTTGTGCATTGTACAACAATAATACTGTACGAGCGCTGTAGATTGTGGACGTTCTAATACACGCGCCGCGGAGACAAAAGCGACGCGACCGCCGTACACTGCCTATATTATAAATACCGAACGCGCATAATATTATCGTCGACCCGGTGATGCGCCTTTTAACGCGCCGTTATATTATAATATCATCATTATACGATATCGTATATTATTGTTATTATTGTTATCAGTATCGCGTACGCGCGTGCGTTACGACCGAATCTCGAAACGCCCGGTCTTTCCGTTACTACGTCACGGGGGTCTCGCGCGCGTCGTACGACGGGCACGACAACGCGCGAAACAATCGAATGTATTCAAAGGCGGCGGCGGCGGCGCAGGGTATTGTGCTCCGGAGTCGTGCGTAATATACACACAGGTATAATACGGGCGGGAAAACGGAAAACGAACGACGACGTTCGGTCGTTGATATTAATATAATAATAATAATTATAGTTTTGTCGTTCGGCGACACGAGATTTCCGACTTTTACGCGAGATATACGAGCGTCTATTATTATTATTATAATCAGCGTGTTGTCGTGCGGGTACCTATACTGCTGCGATCGTCGACGTCGCTCCTGGGCATCGTTGAATTCGTTTCATGCATTGGTACTTACTAATTTTATTATTATTATTAATCGAAAATTTTAAAAAAAAAAAGTTAACTTTTTTTGTGTAAAATGAATATCAAAAATTTGTTAAGAGATTTATAAGAGATTAGAGATAATGTAGCTATCATCGGGATATTAGCGGTTGTTACATTTTTTTGCTTTGCACTAAACATAACTCTTCGGCTGTGATATGCTTATACTTTATGAAGTATACTTAATGTTATACATCAGGTTAAAAACATGGCTGAGAAGTCAAATATCCCTGCAAAACTTACAGGTTTGACTTTAATGAATATTCATAGAAATATACCAATTAATTTTATAAAAGAAATAGAGTGATTCTCAAACACCAACAGAAAGTTGGATTTTGTTATTTAAATATTTAATATTGTAATTTGTATATATATTTTTTTTTATATATATATATTTGTTAGATATGTAGTATGTCAAAAGTTAAATAAAGTTATTTTATTTGTTAGTTATGTTATTGATGTTGTCTGCGGTAATTATCAATGATAATTTATTATAATTTTAGAAATGCACGTGCAGTTAACAAAATAGGTATAGAAATCAATTATTCATGTTGTAAGCAAGCGGAACGATCGAACAATTTTGAACCGCCGATCTTGTAACTCACTAGTATGATTAAAGTTCGAATTTCAACACCTCCCCCCCACCCCAGGGAAGAGGTGGATATGAGCCGAATACGCCCCTGCGCCGAATACAACATATTGTAGAAATAATAATAATAATAATAACAAATTCGCCGAAATCGCGTTTGGCCGACCGATTTTCCGAAAGATTCTGCGAATCGCTTCCGCGCTATTTCGCCGCCGCACCGCGCGTTCGGCGGTCCGGAAACGGATTAGGACGGCACCTACGCGGTACGCGTACCTGCCTACCTTTATTATTATACTGCACCTACGCGTACGAGCGAGACGGGAAAATCGCAATGTTCTCGCGCGCGAGTTCCCGGTCCGCGAAACCCCCGGACGCGTTCCGATAAAGGCGCGTGCCGGGGTATGCGGCAGACGTGTCTCTGAATAGAAATATACGCCCGAACCGTATGGAAAATCGACCGAAATTTCCGCGCGAATTATTCTAATTTCGCGCCACGAAGGGCGAAACGTCTTCGTATTTCGCGCGGTTTCACTATGACGAGCGTCTGTTTACTCCCCCCCTCCCCCATCCCCCCGGTCATTGAACCGTTTTTTCGGCCGCGCGGCCGTTGGAAAACGTCCTCCGGCGGTCGCATTATCGGCGCGACGGGCGAAAGTCACTTTTGTGTGTTCGGTTTGGTTTTTTTTTTTTTTATTATTATTATTTCGTTTGACGTTTTTTTTTTTTGGTTTTATATTACTCTAATCGATTTTTATTCGTTAGGAAAAAAAAACCTATCAAAGTTTAATATTATTGTACGCATCGTGAGAGTTTTTCTTCCGTGTACGAAATATACGACGGGTCCGTCGATTTAACACTAAAGCGCGTTTATTTTGGAAATTCGAACGGATTTTTAAGGTGTCTTTTCTTTCTATTTTTCGTTTAACGCTGCAATTAATTCGGTACGACAATATGTCCATCGGTTTTCAATATAGTATTCGTCGACCGCCGTAATAATATCTGGAACTCGGCTCCGCGATATTTTATAGACACGCGTATCGAATGCAATATAATAAAACATGTTTTGACACCGCCGAACGGAGCGCAGTCATTCGCTAAAACAAATATCACCTGTACTACGAAACATTACATAATGTATTCCGTTCGCGTAAGTACGTCGGTCCTTTTTTATGATTTTTTTTCACGAGCCATTAACTATAATAAATGTGTACCAACGCAATAATATGTACACGAGGCTATTGGCGGTCATCCGTTACGTCGCTTTTGCGAGGGCCGACACGTCGCGCTGTGTCCACCGATCGCGAGGTACGGCCGACACAAGACTCGTCGCAAGGTCGCGATTCTCAGAAGACCGTATTGTACGTAGCCGCGAGGAAGACGTAAGGACGATAAAAAAAAAAATAATAATAATAATAAAATAAATTAAAAGAAGAAAAAAATAACCGAGAGAATTGATGACTGGTCGCAATTCCTAATAATTATTAAATCGCGCACGGGCGGGGAGCGAAATTACCGGAGACGAGCAAATGTTTCGAAAATAATATTATGTGCAATTGTGCATTGTCACCGTGACAATCTCTGCGCTGCGGATCTGCGCGATAAACCGAATTATCGCCAAGAGGACGTTACACGTGATTTTGTTGTCTCGGTCTTACGAACGCACGGCATAGCGAATTTGCATTCAACAGAAACAATCGTATGCTTTTAACATCAAAGCGAATTGACCTATCAAACTCAAAGGTATAACAATATTATTATTGTGATTTTGCTCACAGAGTTTTCTGTTGTGTTTTAATATTCAAACGAGTTGCAAACATTTATGAATTGTCATGTCACACACACTGAGGTATCTCGCTTAAAAATTAAAATCACGGAAACACCGATATATAAACACAAATTGCAGATAATGTTTTTCCCTTTTTCAATTAAACCATTCGCTCTAATACTCGTATTAAAAATAACGGCCCAAAATTGGTTCTACTGAACGTAAGTTTGCGTTCAGCAGGAGCGTGAAGTTTAAGTGAACTGACCTATTATCGGACTCAGAGATAAAAACATCTGTACTACTTAGGTTAGGTATTTTTTCGATATTTTAATGTTCGAATGAGATACGATTTGTAACACAATATAAAAACGCTTAACATATCCCAATGACAAATTGAAAACCCTTCCTTACACCTCCGATTTCAATTTTAACCCGTTATAAATTAGCAACGGTAATTCCGGTATAAGTTTTATGCATATCAATAACGTATTTTTTTTTTGAAAATCAACAGTCTATATACGTCTGTGTTATGAGGAATAGTGGATAAAATGTTTTAATGATTCCATATAATGATAGAAAAAAATGAACATAGAATTCACTTAGAATTCTCCGAGAGAATTGCCAGTTCATGATAAACGGATCGCCCTGTATAGAAAAAAAGCAGCGCACTGTAATTAAATATTTTATGAAAACAAAAGTATTTCGAAACAGAGTTTTTCCTTTACTCGATGACGTTAGAAACACAATGTTGATAATATTATTATATTTCGTCTGTTTTTATTTTCGTATATTTTGTAAACAGCTGTTTTTCAAACATCTAGTTTTAATTTCCGACCGTTTAATAAGCGCAAGTTACATTTCTGTTAAACTTTATCCAATATATTATTTTATGTATTATATATATATATATATATATTGTTTTGGAATTTGTTTAAAAAGTTTTTCTGAAATCGAATAACGACCACTGTGGTGTTCTCGAGCTTTTAAGTTACGCGGCTTTTGTTTTATACATTATTTATATTTTAGAATTTGTTCTGCCAACGCCGAAACGGAGTATTATTTTAACACGGGAATATATATCCCCTACAGCCGATAGTAATACTTAAACTGAGCTAAGACATTTTACCCGCGTTTTTTTTTTATATAATTATTTTGATAGCTATGATTGTTGAACGTTAATAATATTATAATCCATGTATTCGCCTACATTCGACTTTACGATCGAGTTAGAAATCCGATATTCCTCGAAAATATTAAACGTCTGATTGCTAATCCGATTGCCAGTCGGTTCAGCCGGCGGACAACCGACCAACTAATCAATCGACGCGATTACGGGGGCGTGAGGCGACGGAATTGATTAGGTTTATCAGCAATTCGTGGTTCCGCCGGATTCGACGCCCACTGCATCAATATAATACAAAAAATACTAGATTGCTGATACGAACTGAAATCATATAGACTGGCACCGGGACCAATATCTGTGGTCGAGTTTTGATACGGAGTTTTCATAGTGGAACAAACACAGTGCCTGAAGTGAAATCGTTTAGTAAACCATAACTGTCAACCAACGTAAAATTTAGTTGTGAGTGACGTTTGAGTGTCGGCGGACCTCGATCGCGTGCCGATTAAAATTGTTTACGGTTTGTTTATTTTAGAAACACGCCGTTCAAATCGATAAAAATTGTATAATATGAGAATACAAGTAAATATTATTTCCCTAGTGTAACCCCACTCCTCGAATCAAAATTCGACTGCACCGTTACCACTCACCAGTGGTAGATCCAGGTTGAACAATAGGTAAACTTGCCTTCTCTTCTAAACACCGTAGTATAGTATTCTTCTTTTGTATTGTGGTAAAATATACACCAATTTTCATTGTTTTAAATTATTTTGCTCATTCAACCTTCTAAAAAAAAAAAAATGATATTTCAAATCTGCCGGGTGTCGTCAATCTGCACTAAAATTGACCCTAAATATATACAAAATTGATAATTTGTACCAACATTTTTTAACTGCACTTGTAATTTGCACCAAAATTCAAATCGATTATTGTTTCGATAGTATTGTATCTACGCAGTCTCGATTTTGAGTGGTTAATTCACTTGCCTATTTACATATCTTTATTTTGGTGCAAATTACAAACTCCCAATTCGCCGCTACTGCCTGCCACTGTTATTTTCAACCACGCTATCTTTTTTTCGGCATTATTGACTAATGACGAAAATCGGAGACAACCATTTTTATGAAAACTATCGTGATAAGAATGATAAGAAGTGAGGAACACACGCAAACTGATAAGTTTATTGATTCGGACGCGCGCCCGGTTTTTATACACACGAGTCTCTCTAAACATTTTTCTTCATCCCGACGGACCACCAAACGATTCGCGAACAAATCGGCTTCCCTCTCAAACGTGCGGTTCTCTCCTCCGCTGCTAGGACAAGGGACGAGATGGGTGTAGACATTTTTAAAATCCTTCCTGACACAGTTATCGTTAATGCCCCTTAAGCACGTGAAATTCGTATGTATACACAATAACGTCATCCTATAAGTATATAAATCACTTACGGGTGACGAAACACGCACATAACTCGGAGGCGTCGGTGGTTTTTTATTTATTTATTTTTTTTTTTTTTATTATTATTGTTCGCCCTCTATCGTTCCACAATTGTTTCGTGTGTTCATATTATATTATTGTTATTATTATAGTGTGTATCGTAATATCACGCACCGGCGAAAATTTTGTGTATATAATATTATATTGCATAATATATATATAATGTATACATATTCGACAAAGATTATTCGATAAATGCAATAACTTTTCTTGTTCGATATTTTTTTGTTTGTGTAGTAATTATTACTAAACCTATTATTCCTGTATTTCCACATATTTCAAAACTGAAACTAAAAATTTAAATTTCTTAAAATAAAATTGTTTTTAGAAAATTCGAAATTAATGCACGTATTTTGAAAATATATTTCAAGGCAAAATGTTGGTATTACAAACATTTGCTCATGACAAATCGTTAAGTTTATTACGAGTTTTTGAAGTTTACAAAAATATTTAACAAAATTATCGTTCACCAGGAAATCGGCGAATCGGTTGTTATTATTTTTCGAAGTTTAAAATAATTTAAATTATTCTTATCGCGTCATTGCGAAAAATAAAAATTTAAAATCTTCGAATGGAACAACAATTTATTGCGTTCGTCGATTCTTTGTGGGACATGTTATTATTGATAATCTCAGTCGGTTCGCGATCAAAGAACCGTATATTACACTCGAGATACGTTATCCGAAGGGGAGGTGGGGGACACAAGTGTTCAAAATATTCTCTGGGCAAACGCTCGGCCTATATACATCTCACCTATCGAATACACCACCACTGCTCGAGGCCAATACGCGTCGTCGGCAGAATACCGAAACGAATGTCGATGATCAGTATCGGGGAAAATTATTATCGTTATATTATTATTTACAGTGTAAATCATCGAATACATCGTACAGATATATAAAAAAAAAAAAGTAAAAGGACATCGTCCGGCCGGCGGCGACAAACGGTGCTTCGTCATCGAAATGTAACCCGGAGAGAACGTTTTCGGGGGGGGGGGGAGAGGAAAAAAAAGGGGGACCTCGTAGGGACCTCGGAATTCTATCACGTTTCGGACCTCATTAGCGATAGTCCCTACTTCCCTTGCCCTTGGACACGTGCGAGTATAATCCAATATATTTATATGTTTTTCCCGCACCATCTACGTCGTCCGACCGTTGAATTAACTCTAAATGAAATCACCACGATCTTTATATCCTCTGCACCTTGCTAAACGACATCTGTACACAAACGATTCTAAATTAGTTTCGAGTACCTATGTATGAAGGGGAGGAGGGGGAAATGGAAAAGTTTAAATATGATTCTAACGTCCAATGACGACGAGCCGGCTACCACAGAATTTTAACGTTTTGCGATTATCGTGAGAATAGTAAAAAAAACCTAGTTTTTATGGAATATAACAAAATTTAGCATTTGAGACTTATAGTTTACACACCAGCTACAGTCGTATATCTGGGATTTTTCAATGAGAAGCGATAAACGAGAAAACAAAAAACATTGACAACAAAAAAAATGTTTTGCAAAATACATAATTATGACGTAGTACAATTATATTTGTGTGCAATTGAATAATAAGTAGCGCAAATGTGCAGTGATTGTTATTTTATTAGAAATATATACATTTTTCCGACTGAATATTTATTAAATTTCGTATTTAACACGGTGAATGAGAAGGACTTTGGATGGGACACTGTATACTTATCTAGGTAAATATTTACCAACAGTTCAATCCTTTGGCTTATTTAGAATTTTGCCAAAGAGGGAGATATTGAACTCAGAAATTGTGTCGCTGTGTAATTAATTATAAAACAATTAATTAAAGTGGTTATAACGAATAACATTTTCGATTTTTTTCAGGCGAGTCATGCGGAAAAAAGAATCGGCTTCTTCCGCCGCACCGCGTACGTCCCGGCCGTCGTTTGGACGCCACTGATAAGACCCACGACGCCAACACCGCCGTCACCGAAACGACGACCGCCGACACCGTCTCCGGCACCGCCTTCGCCAAAGTCTCTTATTTTCCCTCCTCTGTCATCTCCGCCGCTTGACGATGAAAATCGCGTCTTACCTGTACCGCCGCAAGTCGGCGCTGCTCAAGGGCCTGGTGCTCGGGTGTACCGTTTGGCTGACGGTCACCGTACTGCTGTTCATGGAGGATAGGCGGATCAGTCCCGCTCCAAACAATAACCCCACGGCCGACGGCGATGGGGGTTATCAGCAGCAGCAACAGCCGATCGCCGCGGCGCAGCGCATGTCGGCCATGGCGGCCGCGGCCGTAGACGAAAACCAGCTGTTGGAAGACGAGTTCCCGCTGGAGGGCGGCGTGGAACAGCAACCGGCTGTCGCGGTCGTCCGGGAACAGCAACAGGCCGCCAGGACGTCGTCCAGGCGGTCGCAAATGGCGGTCGGGGGCCTGCAGAACGGCGAGGGCGTTTTACCGCAACCCAACAGCGCCCTGAACGACGACAGCAAGACGGTGTACGGCGAAATGGGCAAGCCCGTGGTGTTGCCCGCCAATCTGACGGCCGAAATCAAAAAACTCGTCGACGAGGGCTGGAAAAACAACGCGTTCAACCAGTACGCCAGTGATCTCATATCGGTGCACAGGTCGTTGCCCGATCCCAGGGACGAATGGTGAGTACTTGTTTAAATATAACCGGATAAAGTTTTAATTAAAAAAAAAAAAAAAAAATTAATGAAACGCGTCCGAAAATTATACTCTTTGTTTTCTCTACATTCCATTCGATATTTTTTTTATCGACACCTCTCCCCCACTGCCCGCAGACACGGCCATCGTCAAAATATGTTACGAAACTCGTATTAATTACGCGGGCTAATAATTGGACGTTTTATTTCGTGCAACTGAGCAGCCAGTCCCATCATTGACGGAACCCTGTGCGTGGCATTTCAAAAATAAACTGCACTTATGTACTCGTTTTAATTCAACGGATTAGAGAGTTCTAAGTACGCCGACCAAACTTTCGGATATTTGCTTAAACTTCGTTTATTCAACGGTGTAATGTGTATACATAATACTACCTAGACTCAATTTTAATTTCATTTTTTAGACGATTTATGTGTTGTGTTTTTCGTGAACAATAATGGATTCGACATTTTATTCAGCTCGAAGCGTAGTGTTGTGCCAGCTGTGTATTTGTATAGACGTTATTAAACCGTACAGCATTTTTTTGTTTGTTTTTAATAATATATTTTACATCTTCTAATTCCATGAAAATCGAAAGTCAACATTCCATTTCGTCGGTGACACGGCAAGAGGGTCGATTACGCGATTATAAAGCGATGCGGCTTCACTATTAGGGGGGTAAATACACGTTTCGTCCATTGCGCGTGTGCAAAAACAGCTGTGACCATTATTTAACGAACAGTTTGAATTTAAGATTTGGGGTATAAACTATACTTTTTATTTTGTCTTCTCAACTATAGGGTCTAAACGACAATAAAAACTAATCAACAATACGTTATTCATATTATTATTAAGTATTCATTGATAATATTCCCTATTCTAACCGAAGAAAAATTATTACCAACCTAAAAAAAAAAATGTTGAAATCACAAAAAGGTTTTTGACTCCTGAAAATTATGAATTGTGTCGCTTAGACCCTTTTGCCGTGTCACCATCGATATATGTATACATATTTTGTTAAAAAAAAGTCAGGATTCTCAAAGGTTTTTTTTTTTAAACAATAAAAATGACAGCCAGAAAATGTCGATATGTCGATTTTATTATTGTGTTGATTTTCGGGTTACCTTGGTTACGAGGTAAAAAAAAGAAAAAGAAAAAAGAAGACCGATACTTGTATATCTTATACCTACATATCGTTATACATATGTTAACCTAACCTTACCAAACCTTACATGCAGTTTACCGAGATTTGCTCAGAATCGGTTTTTAATTGCGATGGTTTTTCGTTCTTTTCTTGATATATAAACTTATTATAATCAGTCTGTATTCTATTTACTTTTCAAAATCCATACCTACAACAGTGGTGTGCCCGTGGTGCGAAGTACATCTGATTTTTCGAACTATTATTTTAAAGTCGGCATTAATTTATTATTCAACGGTTTCTTCTTGCGAATTTTTTAGCAATTAAAAAAAAAAAATAATAAACAGTTGACAAATTCCAAGAACGATTTCTATGATTATTTACTATTATATTTATGTTTTTTTTTTCGATTCCTACCAAAACGATTTTCGAGGGGAAAAAAATTCCATCGATACTGAACAATAATAAATAAGTCGTAAACACAAACAGTTTATTCGCTAAGTTTGGATCATAAGAAGTCGACATTTTTCATAGGTCGAATCGGTAATTTAATCGGTACATAAAATATTATGTACGGAGTACTTAAAAAAAAAAATCTCTTAAAAATTTATTTAGAAATTTGAAATCTATTGATAAATAATTATAATTATTATTTTGTATTATTATTGTTATTTTAATTATCATTTTTTTTTTTTAGAAAAAGAATATGATAATAAATATTAAGTTTAACGATAAGATATCATAGTTTCGATAAACAATTATTGATAATACATACAAAACAAACATAATTAATATTACTATTATTTCAACGTCGCATTTTTTTTTTTTTTTTTTTAAAGATTTTCACTAAATTCAAATAAAATTCAATGCCAATACAACATAGTATAATAATTGCAATTTTCAATCCATGTCGTGTAATTTATTCGAAGTCGTTTAAAATGCCATTATTGTTATTATTATTATTTTTTTATAATTTCTTTTCAGGAAACGTTTAACCAACATATTGTATCTAGGAATTCTTTTACGTACATTATACTGAACGAAACTACAATGTTTTTATTATTATTTTTTTCCCCCTCCCCATATAACCTATACTCAGAATTCCGATATCGACAGTATACAGGGTGGTCCTTTTTACGAGAACCGGCGATTTTCTCGGAAGATTTTAAATTAATTGGATTTATGTCTAATATTCAAATTATATATTATAACTCATAAATGCTAGTTCCGATATAAGTGTGTGTATGTGTGTGTACGTGCGCGCGCATGGGCATTTAAAATACGTTTTTAGAAAATTAATGTATTCTCTATGCGAATCTGCAGTGTTTTGAGGGGGAAAGGACTGAGGTAAGGTCCTGTTTGAACACGCGTTCTTTATGTAAGAACATGGGGACAAATTTAAAATAACGTCAACATAAACCACAATCTCGATTCCGCGTCGACAAACGAATCGAACAAAAAATCGAAATCCGCCTTAAAATCTTCCGAGAAAATCGATGGTTCGTGATAAATGCATCACTCTGTGTATACAAGTATATGAATAAAATTATTGGATTAAAAGCACTCACAGTGACGCCGTATCGCTCCTTAACATCTTGGTATTATAATATTTCGGTCGCTTTATTAATCGCTACTATACGTATTATACACCAATATTGTATCGAACGGTTAAATAATTACTACCCGACTGTAATATTTGTCCGTGTGAGTTTCGTTTGTAAAATTATATTCTTGGAATATATTAAATATTTATCCGACCGTCATGTCATCGCGAGCTGTATTGATTAAACGAACTGTAAAAAACACCGCGATTATTAAATTCGTTTTTGTTTTTGTTGTTGTTCCTTTTTTTTTTTTTTTTTTTTTTTTTTTTTTTGAATTTTGTAAACAACTTGAACCGCCATAATAGAATTACGTTTAGAAGCGTTTATGCACAAACGTTTAAAACGTTTCAGCGATCAAATTAAAATAACCATAATATATTCTGAAGAGTGAAGATAATAATATTTATATAGTTCTGGTTACTATTCATTTTTGAAATATAAATAAAAATAGTCAGTGTCTGTTACTTTTATATCGTTTTACGTTATTTTGTTCTTATATAATTATGGTAATAATTCAATTCAAAACTTCAGAATTCAATATTATTTTAATATAATGTTAATAACAAAGAATGTTCAAAACAACAAAAAACAAAACAATTACTTTAAGCAAATGCATTATTATTTTTGTTACTCTGAGCAACCTTATTGAGAATTACGTTCGATAGCTATGTCGATGTTGCAGCATTGTTTAAAACGTCAAAAATATATCAGTTTTTTTTTTGTTAATATAATTTATTTGATAAACCTCATTTGTTCTGACTACAAAATGGCAAGTGTTCGGGTGAAACAAAAAGACATTTTTGTCACAATTTCAATGTATTTTATGTGTGGCTAAGATTTTTTGTTCAACGAAACACATTCACTGTGTTTTTACAGTCAGCACGTTTAAAAACGATGCACTGTCGATTTGTTTTTGTTTTTTAATACGATTTAATTTTTGAAGTTGCGACAAAATCGTGAATTAAACCGACGAGTCATATTATAATGAATTCGAAATGTTCAATTCTATTTTAGTTTCTGCATAGTGTGTCGAAGAATTTTTACTAAAATGTGTATTTTTTTTCTTAGGAAATTATTTTTTGATTGATCAGTAAAATTCTCCCGATTGACGCATTATAATTTTCAAACATTAAACAATCGACGGATACAATACCGTCCGTTGATATTAATTAATGCCGTTTCTTTGGTTACAAAAGGAGAAGTAAAATACCTTAACGGTGTTTTGCATTGCAACGATGTATCGTTACGATACAATACGATTTATCGTATAGCTTTCAGTATTATTATCATATAGTACATTGGTATATAGAGTGTATTTTAGTGTACAAACTAAATTATTTTACGTGCCTCCCGGACTTCACATCGCACGACACAGGTCGCCTACCCTTGGTGCGTCCGGTGGTATGGTGTATCCAGCTTTTTTTTTATCATTTTCAATTTTTTTTTCTTTTGTAATAACCAAATAGCAGCTGGTAACGGAAATGTAAAAAAGACCCCGTTGAAATGTTATATCGACATACTATAATATTATAAGATTTAATTCGTATTGAAAATCGAGAACGTTCGCGATGGTATTACGCGTGTTACGATGTTATTATTAAAAACGAGAAATATTAAAAAAAGTTCAATAAAAATAACCGTAACTATGACATATTTTCA